CGCAATACTTAGTAAATCTGTTAGCAGACTAAATATAATAATTTACACACCCTGTTTGGTGTGTATCTCCTGCCATATCAGTATTTGTTGTTTCTTTATATAGATCAGAAATAATTTATGTTAGAACCAGCTTAGCCAGTATAAGAAAAGTCTTGTTTTTGGCCCCTTATTGGTCTCTAGTTTCTTAACGATTAAAGCCACAACCCACAAAATCGAACCCAACCTTCTGTGGGTGGTACAATTTCATAGAGATCCATTGACTAATACTTGAGTATTTGTCCAGAAACCAGAAAAACCTTGTTCCTCCCCCCTTTTTTGGCCCCTTATTCCTGAATGGTTTGAGCCATAACCCCCAAAGTCAAGCCCAACCTTCCCTTTGTGGTATGGAACCTTGTGTTTCAATTTCATAGAGATCCTTAGACTAATACTTAAGTAATTGTCCATTAACCAGAAACCGTGTTTCCCCCCCCCCTTTTTTGCACCTAATTCCTGAACGGTTTGGGCCATAACCCCCAAAGTCAATCCCAACCTTCCCTTTGTGGTACAATTTCAGAGATCCATACACTTATACACAAGTTCTTGTCCAAACTAGAAAAATGCCTTTTTTGGCCTCTTTTTAACCTCTTTTTGACCCCTAATTCCTAAACATTTAGGACCATAACCCCAAAAATCAATCCCAACCTTCCTTTTGTGCTATTGAACCTTGTGATTAAATTTCATAGAGATCCATTCACTTATACTAAAGTTATTGTCCTGAAACCAAATGTCTTCGGATGACAAAGATGACGACATGATAGAAAGCAAATTTTTTGCGGTCGTATAAAAAATCTAACCAAGTGTTATGAATGGCAGAGCCCTTGTAAATCATATTGTTGACACAAAAGTCTGAACAAGAGTGATACAGATTAATGCACAAAAAGTAGTGCAAACAAGTGTAATTCAAAACCACCCTTATTTACATTGTATCATAGGTCAAATTTATTTGTTCGGTGTTAATATGTCCTTTGAGTTAAGCTATTTCAGTTGATATTTTATAGTGTGTCTTTCTATGTTGTGATGTTACACTATTGTTTCAGAAAAAGGGTGAAGGTTTGGTACCATTAAAACATTTAAACCCGCTGCATTTGTTTGCACCTGTCCTAAGTCAGGAATCTGATGTTCAGTAGTTGTCGTTTGTTGATGTGGTTCATAAGCGTTTCATGTTTCTCGTTTTTTATATAGATTAGACCGTTGGTTTTCCCGTTTGAATGGTTTTACACTAGTAATTTTTGGGGCCCTTTATAGCTTGCTGTTCGGTGTGAGCCAAGGCTCCATGTTGAAGACCGTACTGTGACCTATAATGGTTTACTTTTATAAATTTTGACTTGGATGGAGAGTTCTCATCGGCACTCATACCACATCTTCTTTTATCCCCGGCTTAGTATATTTCTAGGAGTTTGATTGGTTAACGCACGTTGTTACAAAACCCATAGCCCCTGGGTGTTGCTAACCCATATCCCCGGACGTTGCTACCCATTACATCGGGGAATTTCACGCACGTTTTCCTTAGTTCCATGGTTGTTCCTTATGAAATATTGAATTCTGTAGATTTCCCATGATGTCTGTATTTAATAATTAAATACTTAATCCACTAAGGATTTTATCTTATTATATCGATTATTTGCCCTCATTTTAGTAAATGCATCACTATGCAGCCACATTGTCAATGAATGGTACTACTGACCTAGCTATGCAAATGACCCATGTTGACGTTACACCGTTTATGATGTAACTCTCACAACATTGCGCGCCAAATTCGACCCATTTCAGTTTCTCTGTCTCTAGTTTAAACACGTCTTATATTTGTCTACATGCAGGGTTCTACCAAAGGTAGTACCCTACACCCCGTTAAAAATATGTCAAATTCCCAAATTTCAATAATAGATATTTAATCAAAGCATCGTTGATGTTGTGATCCAGCCATATTCAATGCTAGTCTGATATTCATTCTGACCATACTTTTTTTCAACATTTTTTTCTCTTTTCATTTCCAATCTTACTGTAAAATTTCTATGTTATTGTCCAAAGGGAGGGAATTTTGCAATATTGATGCAAATATTGATAGATATTTTAGACTCTGTCAGATTTTCTTTTTATAAATATTTGCAATCTAATGGTATTGACAGGAATAGAAAAGTAAATCTTCAAACAAGTCATATATATTTTTAATATGCCATTTATAGTAACTGGCTTAATAATTTCCAGAAAGAGGCCTTGGAAATGCACTTTCTCAACAACAAAAATAAAAAAAAATAATAACTATTTTTTATCTAAATTGGTGTTCATTCTTCACTAAGAAAAAAATACATTTCCTGTATTCAAATTTAAATGTACAAATACCTAATGCTGAGATATTTCCAATTACTGTCAAATAGTAATATAATGGGATATAAATGAGAACAAACAAATAAATTTTATTGCAGAAAATGCTCAGGTAAGAGTTATGCAATTTTGTTTATTGTTTCAACCAAATTTCTTATAATTGTAATTAATTAATTAGAACTTGATTATTGACTTATGTCAGATGATCATGATGATAATGACACTGTTTTTACAATTGATATAAAATTTGCTGCATTTTTTATACATATTTTTTACAATGTTTGTCTTTTCTTTGAAAAAAACCCACATCTGATTAATCATTCAGCTAGCTAGCAAAATTAACAGAAAATTTTAATGTAGTGTAGATAAAAATAAATAATACATTTGTAGGTTTACTATTGAGGTCAAGAATGTGTGTATTCAGTTAGGTGTGTAATAAATTGTGTCTATTTAATTATGTAACAGGTCAAGAGATATTAACTGTGGTGAATTAAGACAGGGTTGTTTCCAATTAATACTTACACCTTTGAGTGTAATTATTTGAAAATCATAACAGTTGATAATCATACTGACCCTTACTTGCCTATGGAAAGAATTGGAGTAATACAATTTCAAAAAAGTATGGGAATCAACTTAGATATATTAATACACATGTTGACCTAAATTTCATTGAACAATAATTTACACAAGCATAAGATACTAATATGATACTTTCAAAATTCTTATCAACTGATTCAATTGATGTACAAATACTTTTCAAATTAATTCCTAAATAGTAAATCATTATAAATTTTGATTTACAAAGGAACTATATGCAAGTGTATATCTAAAATAAAAGGGTTATTCGACCAATCTTTTCTTAATTTAAGGGCAAATAACATGTCAAAAGTTGGCAGTTGATGATTAAAATGGTGTAGAAAGTTTCTGCAAGTCATAAAAACACATAATTAGTTTCAAGATATGTCTTCAACTTAGTATTCTGCACCATCTCCAAAAACAGAGTGATCGCATAGATCCAGCATGGCTGAATCAAAAAATGAAAAAAACGTTGCTTTCACGTTAAACTTTGTGGTCGAATTTCTCTAACAATCGCCAGATTTAGACTAAGACCGGGGATAAATTCGTTATCTACGTTCATATCTGTAGATATGGATATTTTAACACCCTTCAGTACCCTGTACACCCTTTGGCTGAGCCTCAGGGTGTACTTGGATACTTCAGGGTGTTAAAATATCCATATCTACGGATATGAACGTAGATAGCTTATAATATCTACTTAGAATTCAAATTGCTGTTTTACAGTAAAAGATTTATTTAAGGCTTTACATTTACCTATGACCTTGAAGTAAGTTGAGGTAATCCTCTCTTTTGTGGTTATTCGTCTATGATGGGCCAAATAATTTCATCTGTCTTTGTGGAAGTTGATTCTCAGTTTGAATATGATGGACCAAACATTTTATCTGTATTTGTGGCAGTTAATTTTCAGTTTGACCATGATTGACCAAATTATTTTGTCTGTCTTTGTGGTAATTTATTTTGAGTAAGACTTCTACAGGCTTAATTACTTTATCTGTATTTGTTGTAATTAATTTTCCTTTTAATTGTGACCAGCCGAATCAATTAATCCATCTTTATTGAAGTTAAACTTTTAGTTTGACTATGACTGGCTTAATTATTTCATCTGTATAGCCTTTTAGATTTTAATTCATAACTTTGAAATATTAAAGCTGTACCTGTATAAATTCATCTATAGTGGAAGACTGCATTTTGATCTGTACATGTCTTTTATTTGTCAGTTGGTTTCTGCATCATATGCTTATATCCAATGCGAATTTGACTTATTACCAGGTTTGTACTAACATGAGCCACACGACAGGTGCCACATGTGGAGCAGGATCTGCTTACCCTTCAGGAGCACCTGAGATCACCCCCAGTTTTTGGTGGGGTTCGTGTTTCTCAGTCTTTAGTTTTCTATGTTGTGTTTTGTGTACTTCTGTTTGTCTTTCGGTCTTTTTCTTTTTTAGTCATGGCGTTGTCAGTTTATTTTCGACTTATGAGTTTGAATGTCCTTCTGGTATCTATTGCCTCTCTTTTATACCCAAAATCTCCTTTTACTCTTAATAAACAACACTAAGCCTTTTACATGTATATATAGATTCCACTACTACATCAAGTGTGTTACGATATTTCTCCACTCTCGACAGTTAAATTTTAATATTTAAAGCGCGAGGCTTGTCAAGCTTTTTAAATAATTAAAATTTAACTGTTGAGAGTGGAGAAATATTGTAATACACGAGTTATAGTGGTGGAATCTGTTTCTCTAATGATTTTTAGACGATATTCGAACAAAGTTTATCTTTCCTTTTCATAGATTTGCAGAAAGTTGTGTTCTTTAAATGTGATGTCATCAGGCATGGTTGCCTTTTTTCATGACGTCACAATAGGAAATTCAGTAGAAACCAAGAAAATTTGATGTCATAATTAAATTTCGACCAATCATTTTCCGAGTCACAAAGTTTCCTATATATATATATATATAAAGATGAGAAATATTTGTCTAACACCGATCTAGAAATGTGAAAATAGCATGAAAATTAGAGAAAAAAATATATGAACCTGTTCAGAAAGAAAGACAAACAGTAAATGAGATTCTATTTATTTTTAATGCCATTACAAACATTTGATGTTTTTGGCAGATCTAAGTTACATGCATTTTACATGTATTAAATATATACATATTACTGTACATCAGCATCAATTAACAGAAAGTCTTAGGACTCAAACAGTATAAAATCTGTAATAGAAAATACAAGTTATGTCAGTCACCAAAATTTCTAAGAAATGATACCATACAATATGCATGGACAAAAAATGTACATATCTTAAGAAATAACATATTTAACAGATGCTGTGATTTCAAAGCTGTTTTGATTCTGTACCGACGTTATGCATTAGCTGTTTGAGAATAAAGATATATATCCTAGTAGTTTCTAATTTAAATTCTGATCATCACCTATGTTAATTTTATACTTTCAGTACATATTTGATGTTTCTAAATTTGCAATGACTAGAGACACCATTAGAATGTATTTTTCACTGTTAGTAATGCCTGATGTATGATTTTAAGTGGACTAATTCAATAAATAATAAAATCTTTAAAGGGGACAAAAAGAAAGAATATTTAATGGATATCTTTTCTTAATAAGTCCTATCAATGAAGAAGTAGTGTGAAATATTACTGTAAAATGCTATCTTGTATTTTCGTTGGTAAAAGCAGCTGGTAGAGCCAATATTGAATATAATTTCTACAGGCAATTATGGCAAAGTTCAAAGAGTTTACAGAAAATGTATCCTTCATTACAGTGGAGAAGGCTGATTTTAAAAATAAAATTTGTAATTGCAATTAGCTGTATTATTTTTCAGTCACTACTTCTGGGACACATGTGCACTTTATACACAATTTTACAAATTATAATCTCCATTGATACAAGTTTCTAATGCTTAATTATGATAGGATTTTATAAGAACAAAAAGTGAGCTAACTTTTAGCTAAAAACTCAAGAGACAAAGACAGGTAAATTACAAAGTTTATAATGCAGATTTAATAAATGCCATCATAATAATTTAATTTTAGATAAAACATACCTTAGAAAAATGTTACCTGAAACTTCAAGACCATGAGTCTTTGTTTACATTGGTAATTGTCTCATATATAAATTGCATAAGAGTATAAACCACTGACAAAATGTCCATATTTCAGCTTAAGACAGCAATTGCACAAGAAACAAAAAGAGGTATTTACTGTAGAATCATTATTATTTGGTTTTCATGGAAATCGTTGGTACAGGAGAACCAAAAATTTAATTATTTAACAAAACTACAAATTTGACATAGACTTGAATGTAGATTTTGTCATAACCAAGAAATCAAATATCCAGGAAATTGTTCCTTAATCCACGGAAATAAATGAATCCACAGTAATTCCTACGTTTGATCATTAGAGTATATTCCTGATAATGATTTGTAACACCTATTGAATGAAAAACTAACAGGTGAGATAAATCTTTTAAATTTCAATAATTTAGACTATAAAAGGACCTGTCTCCTTATAGAAAAGGAATTTGTGGTTTTATAAATATTGTGAACATAATAATCTATATAGCTTGAATGAATCTTTATTCCTTAGCTTTGAATATTTTTGACAGTTAATGTAATTGTATCCTTATTTTTAGAAAATATTTTAGTTACTGGCATTATACTCTAAATGTTGATGCATGAATACAGTTTTAGTTCAGCATTGTTTTCGTCAGTTTTAAAGTATCTTTAAAGGTAATACTATATTATATACTTAATTATGAATATTTTTGACAGTTACTGGCATTATATCTAAAATATGGAATAACTTGTGACAGAAAAATAATGGCACATTATCAATAATTTTGAATACATTTTAAAATTACATACAGAATATACTAAATTTCAAATACTGATTATAACATCAAGTGACAAGTAACTGACAACTTTATAATTCATTATTCATGTAATATTAACAGTATAAAAGTTTTGAACTATGAAACCTACAAAATATGTTTGACTAGTCAATTTTAACATAATCACAATACAGCACAACCATATGACACATATCATAAATACAATCTGATTCTAAAACAGATCATGTGATCATGTGTCCTCTCTTTGATTACAGGGATCTGACAATGCTTCGATTTTCTTTCTGTTCTGGTCAATAGCTAATGAAATTTTAGTCGTTAAATTTTTAATGGTTTTTGTATCATTTCATCGAAACCAGAGGATACTGAAAGGTCTTTAAAACAGAATGTAGATCCTGAAAGGTCTTTAAAACAGAAAGTAGATCCTGAAAGGTCTTTAAAACAGAAAGTAGATCCACACTGAAAGGTCTTTAAACAGAAAGTAGATCCTAAAAGATCTTTAAAATGGAATATAGATCCTGAAAGGTCTTTAAAACAGAAAGTAGATCCTGAAAGATCTTTAAACAGAAAGTAGATCCTGAAAGGTCTTTAAAACTTAAAGTAGATCCCGAAAGGTCTTTAAAACAGAAAGTAGTTCCAGAAAGATCTTTAAAACTGAAAGTAGATCCTAAAAGGTCTTGAAAACAGAAAGTAGAATGGATCATTGTCTGATCTTTGAAAGCCAAGCCTGGACACAGGATCTGCATCTCCATCAGATTGATAATAAATACAACATCAAATTCTATATGTACAAATGTCTTTTCTCTGTACAAAAAATATAAACTTTGAATAGTGTATGTCATTTGGTACAAAATATACATACAACAAAAAAACATGTTCATATAAAAATTTATGAGTTAACCATCTTTAAACAGTCAATCCCTGATTGTTTATATTCAAATTTTTAACAGAAATTAGTTTGCTGTACAACCAGGTAATCCTTCGTTTTAAGTAAAAACAACACTCATATGTTTATGGCACATATTTGTTTTAAAAATGATGCAGAAAGGGTTAAACTTATATAATTTCATTTACAAGGAAGAGGCCTTATCAAAAACATATCTAATCACAACAATTTTCTTTTTTGAAAAACTAGATACATCTATAGAATTGCCTTAACATTAGCAAGTTTTAAACAGTATTTATTTTATTTCTTTTTTACAGCCACTCCTACGGAAATTGCTTTTGAACCAAAAGGTACTTTAATGCCAACATCTTCCATTATTAAAGAAATTAAAGATCCATTTTCAGTGACCCAATTTCTATTTTTCCCATGAAGACAATATTTATCATCTTTTTTTGGCACTCGCATGAAGTACATCGTCATAGAAACATTTTCTTATATACAATGCAAGGACAATAGTAAAATGTCATTTGGATCAGCTGGTAAGATGCTTTATGTTTTATAAATGTTATAAGATTTTCTATGGCATGAAAAAAAACACAGTATAAATATCCAAAATATTTGTAACACACAATGAGTGAGATTATAGCATTGATTGACATTTTTATTTTGGTGATATTGTTTAAATATAGTAAAACCTGTCATACCAAGCACCTTATATAGCAATTACTGTAAAAAAAAAACTTTACTTTGGGTGGAGTAGAGGGCATTGTTTATATAAAGGTCTGACTATATTCTGATGTATACTGATCAACAAGATATCAGCTGAACATTATGCAACAATTTTATTTTACCTACAATTGCACCAATATCAAAACTAATATACAACTGTACAATCATCCCTTAACATCATTCAAACATATGTAAAGTTCATAAAACAATATACACTCAGTTGAAATATACCATGGAAACATAACCACTAAATATTCATATGTTATTTTGTCTCATTGTTTATTTTGAAATTACCATTTAACTTTAACAATTCTTTTGATAAATTAACTAAACAACATTAACCTTTATTTCTTTAAAAATTTATGTGCAATATGAAAAGGCCAAAGAAAATGTGTTGATCACTTTTTTGTGATGAAAATAAAACTTAAGGAAGTAGAGAATAATATATTTTAGCTACTTCTTTTCAATGAATTTGGATTTTAAAATATGTCCTTATGTTTTGAGTGACAAAAATAATAATTTTCATTGTAGAAAACCCAAATATCTTAACCATTATAAAGTAAAACATTATGAGACAGTTTTTAAACCTTGCCAGATTAGCAAGTGATATTATTTCCATAGAAAACTTTAACCAACCAAGCAAACTCCAAGAACACTACTATCTCCCAATTGATTCAAAACACTGCCTTCACACAGCACTTGGATTATCCAAACTCCTCGCATCATCATTTAGATAACAACCATCCTGAATTGCTAGCTAATACAACAACTTTTCCGACAGTTCATAGGTGGAGAGTCGCTGGGATTTAAGTATTTTGGTTTCTTGCTCTTGTCTCTGTGTATAAAACTGAGCATGCGTGCACGGGTTTTATTTGTCAATGCATATGATTTGAGGTGAGATTTCAGAGTCTGCGGTAAAGGAAGATTGTCTATGCCATAGATAGTTGTACTGGAAACAATTGTGTGACAGGCCAACTCCTGTAAACTTAGCACTGCAATAGAAGAAATAAAGAATAACTGTAATAGAATGTTAAATGATTCCTTGTCAGACTTTTCTGGCTATACTTTTTTGGTCCTTTTTTGGTTTATTCAAATATTTTTTGATTATTTAAGTGAATTTTTTAAGTCCAAGGACCATAACTTTGCACATAATCATCAGACCGGAACAAAATTCGAACTTGGTCTGTAACTTGTCATGATAAAACAATGTACCAATTATTAAATCAATATCTTCAAGCATGACGCAGAAAACTGAATATTTGAGTGAATTTTCTAAGTCCAAGGACCATAACTCTGCACAAAATTCGAACTTGATCTGTAACGTGTCATGATAAAACAATATACCAAATATCAAATTAATATCTTCAAGCACAAAGAACAAAAGCGTGGAAAACTGATTTGCCGGACTGACGGATGGACAGACAGACAGACAGACAGAGTGCAAAACTAAAGTCCCCTTCGACTTCGTCGGTAGGGACTAAAAATCTGGCTGAGAATGTCAGTCTAGTACAAAGCAGGGTTAATATTCATATTACATTAACAAGTTCTTGTCCTGAATGTGCATATTAATTTGCCGCTGGACATTAAGCAGCCATCCATCATCATCATCTTTTTTTTCTGGTCCCTAAAATATAGTTGTATTTCCTGTCTTCCTACATACCCTAAATCTCCATGCCTATGTTAACACATGTTATGGACATTTAAGCTTATGCACTGTTAAAGTCCAGAATTGTTTGTTAAGCACTGTAAAAGTTCAGAATTGTTTGTTAAGGATGTACTTAGGTCAGGTTTAGGAATTTTTGTAAGATGTTCGGACTCCTTGGATTTTTTCCTACAATACAGGGTAAAATATTTTGCCTCATAACAACCATTTTTCTTTTCATATTTTCATATGACTTCAATAGCTCATTAAAGGTCATTTACCAAAATTTAAGCAGATTCTAGATTTCTTTTCTTACGATTTGAGACCCAAATAATACCAATGCAAATCTAAGGTAAAAGTCCGAGTCAGCCTTTTCTCACCTTTTTTTAAAAATTAAATATCTCGAAAAGGAGCTCTATAACCTATCAATATTTTTAGCTTATTTTGTTCCTTAACTAATGCTCTTCTGACTTAAAGTATCAATTTTAAATTCTAGATTTTTTTATTTTCACCTAAGTACATCCTTAAGCAGTGTTAAAGTCCAGAATTGTTTGTTAATAAGCACTGTTTAAGCAGTTTAAAATCAAGAATTGTTTGTTAAGCAGTGTTAAAGTCCAGAATTGTTTGTTAAGCAGTGTAAAAGTCCAGAATTGTTTGTTAAGCAGTGTAAAAGTCCAAAATTGTTTGTTAAGCAGTGTTAAAATCCAGAATTGTTTGTTAAGCAGTGTAAAAGTCCAGAATTGTTTGTTAAGCAGTGTAAAAGTCCAGAATTGTTAGTTAAGTAGTGTAAAAGTCCAGAATTGTTTGTTAAGCAGTGTAAAAGTCCAGAATTATTTGTTCAGCACTGTAAAAGTCCAGAATTGTTTGTTAAGCAGTGTAAAAGTCCAGAAGTGTTTGTTAAGCAGTGTAAAAGTCCAGAATTGTTTGTTAAGCAGTGTAAAAGTCCAGAATTATTTGTTACCTTTATTATGTCCCCATGATCTGCTGACCCCATTTCTTTTCAATGCCAGCCTGGACAACTCAGCATAAGATTCTGTCACATTAAAATCACAGAGTGGACTGACTTCAAAGAATGCCATATCATTTCTCAAGGCATAGGCCTCAGCAGCTGCCTCACTAACTTGTCTCTTGTAGGCCAAATGTAAACGATTTCCAACTAAGATTTTAGGAACTCCCGGTGCATGCTAAAAAGTAAAAACATTTATATTTATAATTTAGTTTTCTACAAATTATATTTCATAATTCGGATAATGAATAAAGGGATATTAGGAATCACCAAAAATATTTAACCGTACAACTAACAACAACAATAAACAGTGATAAACATCCAATACCTCTGAAAACAATAAATACACAAAGACAATCAACAATGAACAACACATTGTTCAGAGACTTGGTACAGGTACAAAATGACTGAGTGTTTTCCGTTGAAATTTTTAAAGGAAAGGGAATAGAACAAATGGAATGGGGGCTTTTTAAGAGTAAAAGAGAATTTCAAATTTTAAAAGTTTGTGGCCCAAATATATGTGGAGGTATTATCCCCAGCGGTTGTATTTTTGAATAAACATCCCCTTTTACCTTTCTGAACTGTATTTCATATAAGTAAAACACAAAATAAAAGAACTGTATAGTGCTGCTACCATCACACTACATTTCCCAGGGCTGCTCCACAATTTTTTTTTTATTTGGTTCATAAATTAAAATATAAATTAAAGTTGACTTTTAGATGTCTTAACATTTCAACACACACCATAGAAACCATCAACATGATTAATTATGAAAATATGACAAAATCTTCATGTGTGTAATATTGCCAATAAGGTTTGGTAATAAATTGATCTCACCTCATTGACCTCTTTAATCCAGCGGTCCATTCCATCAAATGACCATTTGTTTGTAATGTCATATACCAACAGGATACCCTGAAATATTTAACATAAGAGGTATTTTTCAGTGATCATTATAATCTCTGGTTTTAAATGTTCAACAAAGCAGTAGCTCTTCTCACAAATAGCTTGAAATTATAAGTTTATAAAATGGACTATTCATGACTTGTGGATATTTTTCTTGCAAGACTATGATGATAACGGTAAAATTTTAATTTTCTTTTCATATATCTAAACTCATTCATTTTCATTGAAAACATTCAAATTTCTGTATTTCTGATACAGTTCTAATGTCACAATGCTTCATGAATCCGTTATGTTATTAAGCCAGAGTAAGAGTGGATTCCTCAATGATATCATAGACTACATGTATATTCTAATTAGTAATTTCAGAATCTAATGCAATCTGGGTAATATTTTCAAAGTGTACACCAAAACATTAGTTTTAAGTTTGTCAACTAAACAGAACGTAAGAATAATGAAATTACCAATAATCCTTTTTAAACATTCTGAAAAAGCCAATTATGTATATGATATTTACATTTATTCAAATGTCAGAGTTTTCCTTAAATAGATTTACCTGAGCTCCTCTGGAATATGACCTAAATATTGTACAGAATCTTCCTTGGCCTGAAGTATCCCTGAAAATTAATATGAGAAATGATCATGAAGAAAATGCAGGCCACACAACCTTTGCTGGTATTTTAGGATTTATATTTGTTTTGTAATTTATAGTAGCAATAAGATTAAAATACATTAGCCATACCCTAAAAATAAAATGCATAAACATGAATAACAATCATACCACATCTTCTTATTTTTACATAGAAGACTCCATGATGATCTCTAGAATCCTTTGGTTGTTTGCATTGTTGGGTTTTTACCTCATTGACATATGCAGTTGTATACTCCTAATCTCATTTTAGTCATTTTGGTTGTCTTTTGATAATTTATGTTGCTGGATTGATGTACCATTGATGCACATCGTTTGCTTATTTGTTGCTTCTAAGTGATTTTGAAGAACGAATAAATTACATCCTATTGAGGTTGGCGGTACAGGAATCCTAAACTCTTCATTATTCTGAATGAAGTAAACAATATCTAATGCACATGTACACTGTACATGTAACTCCTGACGAATATGAAATAAAAATACTTTATCACTTCATATCACCAGCAGTCACTTAGAAAAGTAATAAAGGAGTAATTTTGTCTGCATCTTTTGTGTACATGTAAGTAGTTGACCATTCAGGAAATACTTGCTTTAATCATATGTATCTTACCATAACTGTAATTTTACTCTCTTGCCATCAAGAAGTATGGTTGTTGTCTTGTAATCTATTCCTGAAATATGCAATAAGGTGGTCTGTCTGTAAAAGTATCAAATGGATTTATCAAATCTGAACAAAAAGCAGTGTTTCTCTGCATTGTAAGCATTTGAAGACAAATTGAAATAAAATGAACAAGAGTTAAATATTAGTGGGAAAATACAAACTTAGTAGTCAAATGATGTATTATGTATGGTTTGCTCTATGGTCGGGTTGTTGTCTCTTTGACACATTCCCCATTTCCATTCTCAATTTTATTTATTCTTTTGAGAATGGATTGATTATTATTTTGAGGCAGAAATTTACTCCTCTCCTTTCTGGAAATTAAAATGATTCTATAAATATATATCACTCGACATCTAACAGTACCAGCAATTATCGTCATGGTGGGACTTAAGATTTTAATTTGGCCCTATAAAGTTTTTAGATTCTGTATTTAGTAAATTCAGGGGCATGTTTTATTGCTCTCTTTGATTTATATTATCCGGAAATTTGGTTCTTACTTTGGGAGAGTATAAAATACCAAACTCCATAAAATTAGAAAGACCCAAATTTCCAGACAAAATAAATCAAACGTTCCAGAAATTTCAGTCCATCAAATTTTACCTTGTTTGGTATTTTAATTTTTAAACTCACCAAAAAGTGAAGGATCTTGGGAAATCAGGGTGACCATTTTAATAAACTGTTAACACAGAGATATGTCTCGCCTGTTTGTTATTTTGATTATGCAAATGTTGAAATTAAAATAGCAATACTTTAACATGTAAGTTATGCAAATATTCAAAGTCAATAAACCATGACTGGAGGTACAGGGCTAAACAATCTCCATGGAAATGAGATGTGCCAATGCTAATACAACTGCAAACCAAATACCATCGACTTTTCATAAGTCGTTCCCTTTAAACAAACCTAAACACAAACATTAACTTGCAAACTATGTAAAAGTTTCAAAGTCAATGAACCATAATTAGGGGGTGGGGTTATATATCTCCATGGAAATGAAATTAAACTTGCAAATGCCAATACATTTGCATACCGAATATCATTGACTTAACATTAGTGGTTCATCTTAAACTGACCTAATCACAAACTAATACATGTAAACTAAGCAAAATTTTCAAAGTCAATAGACCATGACTGAGGGGTAAGGACCAAATATTCTCCATGGAAATGAGATGTGCTAATGCTTATACAACTGCATACTAATTATCACTGATCTACCACTAACGGTTCCCCTTAAACATGTTAAACTGACCTAATCACAAACTAATACATGAAAACTAAGCAAAAGTTTCAAAGTCAATAGACCATGAATGAGGGGGCGGGGCCAAATAATCTCCATGGAAATGAGATATGCCAATGCTTATACAACTTAGTGCATACCAAATATCATTGACCTACCACTAGTGGTTCCCATAAACTGACCTAATCACAAACTAATACATGTAAACTAAGCAAAGTTTCAAAGTCAATAGACCTTGACTGAGTGGGTGGGGCCAAATAATCTCCATGGTAATGAGCTGTGCCAATGCTAATACAACTGCATACCAAATATCATTGACCTACCACTAGTGGTTCACCATGAACTAGACCTTATCACAAACTAATACATTGTTGACGCCGCCGCTGGAAACAGCATACCTATGTCTCGCTTTTTGATTCCGTCAAGGCGAGACAAAAATGAAGTTCATGTAGGTCATTACACATTTCAAATGGACTTATTTTATCCCTACTTTGGGATATTTCTGAAAATATTTTGAACCAACAAGCACACAAGGAAAATTCTCTCTTAAAAAGTCCAGACGAAAAAATGGCTTTGGCTTTATGACGTCTAAGAAAGGCGTCACAGCAAAAAATTCAAAATAAGACATCATAATAATTTTGACAAGTACTTGTACTATCCATGGAAAAAATACAGTTTCAACAGGTTGGGAAGGATCCTCATGATCATTTATGGGTATTTTATACCACAAACCGGGTATCAATTTTCAGTGTTAAAAATATAAACTTTGGATTAAAAATATTTTCTGTCATGGAGCAAACACTCGGGTAAAGGACAACATTTTGCCTAATGACACCATGACTGAAATATAATCAGGATAAAAGTTAACAGCCTTCAAAATGCAGGATTTTTGGAGGCCATTATCTTTGTATTAAGTTCTCATTTGAACTATGTTCTTACTGGGAAAAATGTTGCCATTTATATGAATATTTGCGCCATGACAGCTTTTATGATGAAGAACAAAATTTGATTTTTTATCACTGTAATTTGATACCCAATTTTGGATATAATACCCAAACATACACCTTATCGCTATTTGGAAATCTGCGCCGCTTGAACTTTTGACATCATACATTTTGTACAACAATCACTTATCCATACACCTTATCGCTATTCCCAGCTGACCCGAGAATCTGTCCTGCTTGAACTTTTGACGTCATACAACAATCACTTTTCCATTGTGGCGTCAGATATTTTTTAATGTGACGTCAAAATTTTACGGGAACCTGTGTGATGTCCAGTAATGGCGGACAAATATCGATAAGGTGTATTGTGGCATCAAGATATTTTCTATTGTGACGTCAAGATTTTACTGGAACCTTTGTGATGTCCAGTAATGGAAGACAAATAGCGATAAGGTGTATGGGGATAGTACCCATTTATGAGGATTCTCCCAACCTTTTCAACTTCAATACATGTGGCATATTTGATTTGATTTCTTACCACAAGTTGAAACGCCATATGGAGATTCAGTAGCACCATCATCTAACCCAGTAATTAATTCTTCTTTTCCAACGTCACTGTCTCCAACTAACAAAAACTTGAGTAAATAGTCATATGATTTTGGAGAAGGAGATCCCAACCCTGTTACAGATCTGTTCAGACTATTGCTAGGTGAACTTTCCAAAGAGGACATGACTTATTCGTGTACATGACATTTTACAGAAATCACATGTTGGTCTTAGCAATCGATTACTTCTGCAAATCTTGGGATGCAAGCTATAAATTGTATAGTCGAATAAACATAAACAGTTTCATCTGTTAATCAACATCCATTTTCTTTCACACCGGAAGTCATTAATGCGCACGTGTGGAAGGAAGTATTTTGTTTTTGCGGGAATAATTGATACGAAATGTTTTTGTTTATGTTAGTATCATGAGTGAAAACCCTTCCTGGGTTTTATTTTAAAAGTTTGCTTGACTTGTAGACTTGAGAACAAAAGTGTCACAAGCATTTGGAGTTAAGTCGCACGAAAACGGTGTCGGTGAGGGTGCGGGGTGGTATAAAAATTAAAAGGGTCATTTTGCTCAAATTCATCCTCAGCATCCTAAAATACTTAAAAACTCGTTAAAAAGTCAATACGCGTAGAATAACCAGTGATAACCAATAAACCACAGCGTCACAACCTCCTTTTGTATGATAAATGAATTGGGTCAGAGATTTGAAGATGAGACAACTCAACACGAATCGGGGCTGTTCAGCAAAAACATGTTCGCTCCCATTCACGTTCGCACCCTACACGTTAGCATCCTGGGTCTGTTGGTACCCTACACGTTAGCACCCTTTTTATTGGTTTTGTGTTAAATAATTTATCAATCGTTTTTGTCGAGCCTGCGACTTTTGTCGCTAAAGCGAGATATAGTGATCCTACATTCCGTCGTCAGCGGCAGAGTCGGCAACCTGATCCACAAATATTCACTCTGTGGTTAAAGTTTTTAAAATTTTAATAACTTTCTTAAACTATCAAACTTGGACAGAAACTTGTTTATGATCAAAAGCTAGTATCTAGAAGGAAATTTTGTAAAAATATATTTCCTGTTTTTCCGTATATTACTTATAAATGGACTTAGTTTTTCTTCCTGTTAACATTACATACAGTCTGTAGTTAAAGTTTTTAAAACATTTATTAGATTCATAAACCAAAACCATTCTGGATTTTTACCAAACTTGGACAGAAGCTTCTTACAATCAAAAGATAGTATCAATAAGAAAATTTTTAATAATTTTTTCCCCATTTTTGTTGAGCCTGTGACTACCAGCAGAAGTAGATGAGACACTAGGTTCCGGGAAACCCTTACAAATTTTTTGGTTTAGTGTATTGTTATAAATATTTTTTGGTTTTTTTGTTTCAAAATGAAGTGATTTTCTAAAAAACGATTTTTGTGTTGAATAATTTTTTAATCATGTTTTGGTTATTGTTTTGCTATAAATAAGTTTTTTTCATTGTTTCAAAATAAAGTGACTTTCTAAAAAGGCTTTTTGTGTTGAATATTATCTTAATGTTAAAATACCAAACCGCTATTAAACTCAACAACAATAAAATTTGGATCTTCCTTGTTTTTACTCATATATATACCAAGCCAAATGCATGCTAACTACATGCAGAATTTACATTAAAGCTAGTTAAAACAACAACAAAGTTTAGCTGTGACGTGTAAACACCATATTAACAGTAATCATACATAATTAACATATAATAATTAATCCTCAAATCAGTTTAAAACAAAATTTCATTTAAAAATTCCTGAATTTTTATTTATGAAAATAAAAATATTTTGATATAAACATCTAATAAACTGCTTCGCTGAGCGCAGTTGGATACATCGGCAGAGGTCCAACCCTGAACAGTTGGGGCAAAAATGGACACAATATTCAAGCTGGATACAGGTCTGAATTTGGATTGTAATTAAATATTTGACATATTATAGGTTTCTGAATAATTGTAGTCAAAGAACTTGAAATTGGCTATATGAATTGAATTTATATTCAATTAAAGATTTCTTGCTGATGTGCAATACACTGTGCTGTTGCGCAATACTTAGTAAATCTGTTGTCAGACTATAAACAAGTTATGTTCAATAACTTCTCAATGTTATATCAGAAATTTATAAAAAAACTAAAGGGAGGTTATCTTAATAGATATAAATCAGTCATCAAAGTTTAATGAAAACTGCTCTAAGCACTTAAAGGATATTGTCCAAAAACTTGAAAATCACCCCTTTTTTATGAATAAAATCTTATAACTCGGAGACGTAAAATCTAAAATTTATAAAAATCAAAAGGGAGCTCATGTCGATAGAATTAAACAATTCACCAAAGATTCTTGCAAATTGGTGAAATTGTTTTTGAGTTATTGTCCGAAAACTGGAAAATCTCCCCTTTTTTAATGAATAAAACTCTAAAATTCGGAAACAGTAAATCCAAAATTTATAAAAAACGAAAGGGAGCTCACTTCAATAGATATAAACAATTCACCAAAGTTGCATGCATATTGGTTAAAGCATTTTTGAGTTAATGTCCGACATGTTGACGACGGACGGACAGTCAACGGTATACCATAATACGTCCCGTAAACTGGGGTATAAAAATTCATCAGGTTTTTGAAGAAAAAAAAAGGGTGCAAACGGACCCAGGGGGCAAATGTGTAGGGTGCGAACGGACCTGATATCACTCAGCACCGAGAGTGGAGACAACTCTGACCGAAAATATTAATACAAATTGGACTGTTTATAAAGTCAACTCTTCAGACCTTCTTACAAATTCAACTCAGACCCTCCATAATACACACTTTAGTTATATCTGTCAAGTGACTTTCATGACCACATGACCAAAATGTAGACATTGTCACTACCAACACATGTTGAGCGTATGGGTGGAAAAGTTTGATGATATACTGCACGAAATATTAGGGAAATAAAAATCTATTTAGTTGGTAACCCTCCCTTCAGTCGTATGGGATATTGAGATTATGTACCTACAGAACATAAATTATTTTTATACTATCCTGCAGAATGATGATCCTGAAGATGCCTGAAACTTTTAATAGGAGCAGGGAATCAGGCGTGCCTTCTATCTAGTAAATGATGTCATAAGGGAGTGCCTAGTTGACGATCAGTTTTTATACGCCCGTCAAAATTTTGACGGGGCGTATTATGGTATACAAATGTCATCTGTCCGTCTGTCTGTCCGGCGTAAACATGTTGCACCGTAACTTGAGAAGACTTATCCAAATTTCATGAAACTGAATATAGTTGTTTCTTATGATGGTCAAACGATCTGTATACTTTTTGGTGAAAATAAGATTAAAACTTTTTGAGATACCGGACTTAGTAACTAAAACAGGTTAGTATTTTTTTTTCACATGTAGTGCCGTATCTCAAAAACAATTTATGATTATTGCTTGAAACTTCACACACTTTTTAGTTATATTAATCTAAAGATCTGTATACTTTTTTGTGATGATTCAAAATTTTATTTTTGAGTTATTGAGTATTTTGTAAAAAAAGGGGGAGGAGTTTTTCACATGTTGCGCCGTATCTCAAAAACGATTTATGATTACACATGTATTGCTTAAAATTTTACACACTTCTTAGTCATATTAATCTAAAGATCTGTATACTTTTTGGGTTTGATTCAAAATTTTATTTTAGAGATATTGAGTTTTTTGTAAAAAAAAAGGGGGTTTTCGCATGTCGCGCCGTATGTCAGAAACTATTTATGATTATTGCATAAAAATTCACACACAAGACGACGAGCGTATCATGCGCTCATGGCGCAGCTGTTTTTTTTCAGGATATCATCATCACGATCATCCGGATCAACTTCAACTTAGGGGCCTTAACAACTTGGGGCCAGACAACCTGAAACCGATATTCTCTGTTCTAAAAATATGATACATGTATGTTAATCAACCCTAAAGTCAAAGGGAAACTTATAAGTGTTATGCAAGAATTTCCTCGTGTATCTAAACAGATGCATACTTTATGACAAAAAAGTTCACTCTTATGTATTTATTAAAAAGGCTTTTTGTCAAACACTATTTCTCTTTAATTTAAAACAAACTTCTTTTAAAACACATAATGCATATATTTATGTTTAGAACATTATAAAATAGTGTGGCTGAATTGACTATGGCGGAAAGGACCTATGGCTGAACTGGTCATGAGCCTGAAATGTCTTGAAAGTACATGAAATACTATATACATTACACTTGCATGTAAATTTGTTTGTCTCATTACTTAAAATGGAACAAGTTCCCCACAAATTTTGCATCAAAATTGAAAACATTTGATGTCATAAATAAAAAGTGATTGTTGCGTGTCATCAGAAGATTATTCAGAACAAGTTCAGCTTAAAATCCAAATATTTGAATCTATTCTAATATCATACAAGATGTGAAGATAGTTTTGGCTTGACACAAATAGATCAAGAGTAGCTTCCCTTTTGTCACCATGTTGGAGGTCTTTGTGCACAAATTTCTTCATAAATCTTCCAATTCAACTTGTTATACTAACATGACTGATTGCTAGACTTTAGAAAACATTGTTTTTTGAACAATTCTAATTTCTTTTATATAGATATAAGAAGATGTGGTATAAGTGCCAATGAGACAACTCTCCATCCAAGTTCAGCCTTGATTTATTAACCCTCTTTAAATAAAGTATTTATTATTATTATTATTATTATTATCGCTATGATCTAGTAAGTATCTTTAATCAGACTTTTTTGTACCACATGTTTCAACTTGGACGTTGGTTAGTCAAATTTTACAAATTTTCTAGAGTAGTTATTGCTTAGTATCTTGAAACTATGATAGATACATTGTAGGTAAAATTAAATTTTAAACAGCAAAATTTGATCAGCAATACAAGATTTACCAAAATACTGATGTGATCAAAACCAATGGATAACTACTTATAGGAGTTATTGCCTTTTAGAGTCGATTTTGAATTATTTTTGGACTAATTTTTTTTGCTTTTATTTTGAAAATTATAATAGATATAGATAGAAACTCTAACCTGCAACAATGATCAATACAAGATTTATTTTTTTACTTGTGAGGGATTCAGATTTGTAGGAGCCTGTTGTTAAAACTTAGCTGGAGCCATCTAGGTCTTTGCAAATTTGACTTTGTTCCTTTTTACAGTTTCACTGGGCCTTCTAGCATTTGTCTAGCACTTTGCTAATTTGACCTGGTCCATTTTTACGATTACCTGGACTATCTAGTTCTTTGCAAACTTGAATGAGTTTAAATTTTACAATATCACTGAACCATCTCAATTTAAATTAAATCCTTAATTCAATATTTTTATTTTTATTTTTTGTTCATGTCTTTTACAGATACATCACTGACACTTGTAACATGTATGTAAATATACTATGGTACAAAAAATAACAACAAATTGTGCAAGATAACCAAGGAAGTAGATTGAGATGACAGTATGGAAGGAAAAAAGGTAAAACTGGTAAATAGTTCTGTCAGTGTTACATTTTATTGCTACATTTATGTAATGTTCATATGAGTAAAAATACTTCAGTCATATTGTAAAAAAGGCAAAATAACTTGTTTCCTGCCAACTGGCAGAAAAAAATATGGTATGTATATTCTTAAAATGTTTTTAGTAGACTTTCTACGTAAGGCAAAATGTGCTTAACCTTCAACAGTGCTTAAACATGTAAAATAAGATGTCAGGACTTGAAAACTGCTTAAACAAAAATATCCATAATATGTATTAGGTTAGGAAGGGAGGGAGGAAACCAAACTATTTAATATTTATTGACCTTATACAGTGTGCTTTTTCTGTTCTGCTGGAACAAAGGGGCCCTAAAATTAAGAAATAATTCATGGGGCTTGAATTTATACTGATTTTACCACGGGTTGGCCCTTTATGCTTAATAATTTACCATCAGCCCCCATGAATTATTTCTATTCTAATAGGACAAATACGGCAATTCTTTAGGATCGAAGTGCTCTAGGTGAAGGCAAATATTTGCTGTTCATGTAAATAAACGCACTATTACATTGACGTAAAAGAACGGAGCAAACTGAACTAGTGAAATGCTGAAACTATTTACAATAACGTATTTAGATAGGTTTGGATGAATTTAAATGATAATTTTACTTACATGTAAAAAAAAAAATGGCTTATCATCGTTTGTTTACGTTCCCTTGTGATGATTTTTCCGTAAAATTCTTATATTCTTACGTCATTGTTCAGTGACGGGAAGCTCATTCATAAAAAAGCATATGCCGTGGGAGTATGATTGGAACAGCCCGAACAATATATTCATATTTACCACGGGTGTGTACTCAAAGCGTTTGAAGAAAGTCATATTAGAATGGCCCCTATTTCTAGACCTGCCCCAATTTCAAATTAGGATGTATTGACCAATATTGCAATGAATAGTAGATAATACAATGACTAGATAGCTTATGTGTCTTTTTGTTGAAAATTTACATACTTGCATTCTAATCATGATGTCACAAATACCACTCGTGTTGATGTTCCACGAAAATTTAATGAAAATGGGTAAATTTCCATTGATTTTGTGGACTGGAAACATAGAGCGCATGCGTCAACAAAAAAATTCTTTTCACATAATGTTTGCTATAACATTTTACATATCTGACTTGAAAATTTAGTTTGTCCACGCCTGTGCTCTATGTTTCCTAGGCCTTAATTTCATTGAAATCCAGATGATTTGTCAAATTTCATAAAAAACTCTCTTTTTTGCCTATTTGGGATGTAAAAATCAATGCCTAAAAATAAAACTTTGACAAAAAAAAATATTATATTTAGCTTTGTCACATGTTTTTTCATCAACTTAAACATTTTTTATCTTTAAACATTGAACTTAATAATTAGGGCCAAATATGGCCCTTCCCGAAGTTACTCCTTTGTTGGAAGCATTCATACTAAATGATTTAGTAATTACTTCGTCTTTCTGTCTAACCTGAATGATACTTTTTTAACATAAATTTCTTAGGACTGTTTAACATTTTATTACTGCCTAACATACAATGAAGATCATGTTCATTTCTCACTTCTGCTGCAATTACAACTCTATAATAACAGTTACAACCTCTTAATAGTCAATTTACTAATGATGGAATCAATCCTATAATTAGTGATCAGTTTGTAGTAGTTGTTTCCCTCAGGAGTGACATAAATTTTCATTGAAAAAGAGCAATTCAAAAACATCTCTAAAGGGCAATAACTCCTATTAGCAATCTTTCACAGGTTAAATCAATTTAATTGAAAATGAAGAGCAAGTGGAAAGAGCAAATTAAATTTATCTGTGTGTAGTGATTTTAATCTTTATGTTTTTCAAATATTTTAAATTCATTTAATGCTAAAACTTTTGATATTTATAGTGCTTTTCATTAAAAGTTGATAATTTTTTTGTTTCAGGAATTAAGTGAGAAATATCTAGCATTAAAGAAAAAGATAGAGCAGAAAGAAAAGAAATTGCAGGTTGATATTTATTCACTTGTCCGTCCAGTTTTCGGTCTAAACTAGTTACTTTTCAGTTTTCTCACATACTATAAGCTAATAACTGTTGGTATACCAGATTGATGTTACTAAAGGTAAATCATGCCCTATAAACTGATGTATGTGTCAGCTTATTTCAGATAATTATTCTTACTGAAACTTTCAATTTTGTTTTTTGAAGAGTTATTGGACATAGTTTGACTAAATATGTTTGTTGACAGTTGTTATATATTGACTTAATATTTATTGATTAGACCAGACAGACGACTAAAACTTTCAATATAATTGACATAGCTGTGCTACCCTTGTCCGTCTGTACGTAACATGAGTTTCCCTCGACCAAATGTTATGAAACTTATACACAATGCTTATTACCACAAAGCACAGATCAAGTTTGAATTTGCTTGTCGTCACTTTTTAGCTCACCTGACCCTAAGGGTCAAGTGAGCTTTTCTCATCACTTGGCGTCCGTCGTCGTTAGCTTTTTACAAAAATCTTCTCCTCTGAAACCACTGGGCCAAATTTAACCAAACTTGGCCACAATTATCATTAGGGTATCTAGTTTAAAAAATGTGTCCGATGACCCCGCCAACCAACCAAGATGGCCGCCATGGCTAAATATAGAACATAGGGGTAAAATGTAGATTTTGGCTTATATCTCTGAAACCAAAGCATTTAGAGGAAATCTGACATAGGGTAAAACTGATTATCAGATCAAGATCTATCTGCCCTGAAATTTTCAGACAAATCTGACAACCTGTTGTTGGGTTGCTGCCCCTGAATTGGTAATTTTAAGGAAATTTTGCAGTTTATGGTTATTATCTTGTATATTCTTATAGATAGAGATAAACTGTAAACAGCAATAATGTTCAGCAAAGTAAGATCTACAAATAAGTTGCCATGACCAAAATTGTCAGTCGACCCCTTTAGGAGTTATTGCCCTTAATAATCAATTTTTAACAATTTTTCGTAAATTTTTGTAATCTTTTGCAAAAATCTTCTTCTCTGAAACTACTGATACAAATTTAACCATACTTGGCCATAATCATTATTAGGGTATTTAGTTTAAAAAATTTGTCCGATGACCCCGCCAACCAACCAAGATGGCCGCCATGGCTAAAAATAGAACATAGGGGTAAAATGCAGTTTTTGGTTTATATCTCTGAAACTAAAGCATTTTAGAGCAAATCTGACAGGTGGCAAAAATGTTCATCAGATTTAGATTTATCTGCCCTGAAATTTTCAGACAAATCCGACGACCCGTTGTTGGGTTGCTGCCCCTGAGTTAGCAATTTTACAAAAATTTTGCAGTTTTTTGTTATTATCTTAGATGTCATTATAATATCTAATATCTAATACTATTAATTATGATTTTAACCTTATTTTACATGATTTCCAAAGCATCAGTAAATACAGGTGAGCGACACAGGCTCTTGAGAGCCTCTAGTTTTCTGTTCTTGAGTTATGCCCCTTTATACAGGCCTCTACAATATATTTTTTTTTCAACTTGCCCAATAGGACAAGTACGTACCAAATCTGTCTTGTCCGAATGGAATTGCAACTTGTCCAAAAAAAAAACCTTTATACTAACCTTTTTTGCATTTTAGGTTGATTCAATAAACAAAATGAATTAAAACAGTAGAACAGAATATGATTTATATCTCTTGATATCCTTTTCAAAAATATGAGTTGAGAACAACTGAATGTAGTCATGTCTAATCACAGGACTTAGGTTCTAGTTTTCATCAATGCCAAAGTCTCACCAGACTCTGCACAGCAGACACAGTCTGGTAAGCCTGTCAGTCTACACTCATTTGGTTTGTATCCTGGTCTTTTAAGTTGTTAAGATATTGATTATTATGATTAATGCCTTACTACACTAAAATATTGTTTTGTCTAAATATGATTTTATGATTTTTATGGTCAATAATTTCTTCATTTTTAGCCAAAGGGCCAAGTGAGCTTTTTTCATCACTTGGCGTCTGTCGTCGTCGTCGTCCGTCGTCGTTAACTTTTACAAAAATCTTCTCCTCTGAAACTACTGGGCCAAATTAAACCAAACTTGGCCACAATCATCATTGGGGTATCTAGTTTAAAAAATGTGTCCGATGACCCCACCAATTAACCAAGATGGCCGCAATGGCTAAAAATAGAACAAAGGGGTAAAATGTAGATTTTGGCTTATATCTCTGAAACCAAAGCATTTAGCATGTTTAGAGTAATCTGACATAGGGTAAAACTGATTATCAGGTCAAGATCTATCTGACCTTAAAATTTTCAGACAAATCTGACAACCTGTTGTTGGGATGCTGCCCCTGAATTGGTAATTTTAAGGAAATTTTGCAGTTTTTGGTTATTATCTTGTATATTCTTATAGATAGAGATAAACTGTAAACAGCAATAATGTTCAGCAAAGTAAGATCTACAAATAAGTTGTCATGACCAAAATTGTCAGTCGACCCCTTTAGGAGTTATTGCCCTTAATAGTCAATTTTTATACGACCGCAAAAAAATTTTTTTGGTCGTATATTGGAATGACATTGGCGTCGTCGTCGTCCAAAGACACATTAGTTTTTCGCACTCTAACTTTAGTTTAAGTGAATGGATCTCAATGAAATTTTACCATAAGGTTCAATACCACAAAAGGAAGGTGGGGATTGATTTTGGGGGTTATGGTACCCACAGTTAAGGAATTAGGGGCCAAAAAAAACATTTTGTAACTTCCAGACATAACTTGTGTGTAAGTGTATGGATCTCTCTGACATTGTACCACAAGGTTCCATATCACAAAGGGAATGCTGGGATTGATTTTGGGGGTAATTGCCTCAAAATTTTAGGAATTAGGGGCCAAAAAGGGGCAAAAAACAAGCATTTTTCTAGTTTCATGACAATAACTTGTGTGTAAGTGTATGGATCTCTCTGAAATTGTACTGCAAGGTACCATACCTCAAAGGGAAGGCTGGGATTGATTTTGGGGGTAATTCCCTCAAAATTTTAGTAATTAGGGGCCATAAAAGGGCAAAAAAAACAAGCATTTTTCTAGTTTCATGACAATAACTTGTGTGTAAGTGTATGGATCTCTCTGAAATTGTACTGCAAGGTACCATACCTCAAAGGGAAGGCTGGGATTGATTTTGGGGGTAATTCCCTCAAAATTTTAGTAATTAGGGGCCATAAAAGGGCAAAAAAAACAAGCATTTTTCTAGTTTCAGTACAATAACTTGTGTGTAAGTGTATGGATCTTTATGAAATTGTACTGCAAGGTTCCATATCACAAAGGGAAAGCTGGGTTTGAGTTTGGGGGTAATTGCCCTAAACGTTTAGGAATTTGGGGCCAAAAAACAAGCATTTTTCTGGTTTCCAGACAATAACTTGTGTTCAAGTGTATGGATCTCTCTGAAATTGTACTGCGAGGTACCTTACCACAAAGGGAAAGCTGGGATTGAGTTTGGGGGTGATGAATAATAAGGGGGTTCAAAAATTTGGAGGGGATTTTTTTTTCCTTTTTTTTCTTTAGAATTTTCCATTTTAAATTGGTTATTTCTGATTTATATATAAAAGCAAATAATAATGATATGGTTTGAATAGGTAAATTAAAAATTTTTAAGTTCTTAGACCACTTTCATTCTGTGTGAGAAACCTATGCTGTGTCAAATATTTAATTACAATCCAAATTCAGTGCTGTATCAAGCTTAAATGTTGTGTCCATACTTGCCCCAACTGTTCAGGGTTCGACCTCTGCGGTCGTATCAAGCTACGCCCCAGCGGAGCATTTTATTTGTAAATTTTTGTAATCTTTTACAAAAAATCTTCTTCTCTGAAACTACTGAGACAAATTTAACCATACTTGGCCATAATCATTATTAGGGTATGTAGTTTAAAAAATTTGTCTGATGACCCCGCCTTCCAACCATCATGGCCGACTTGGTTAAAAATAGAACATAGGGGTAAAATGCAGTTTTTGGTTTATATCTCTGAAACTAAAACATTTAGAGCAAATCTGACAGGTGGCAAAAATGTTCATCAGATTTAGATTTATCTGCCCTGAAATTTTCAGACGAATCCGACAACCCGTTGTTGGGTTGCTGCCCCTGAGTTAGTAATTTTACAAAAATTTTGCAGTTTTGTGTTATTATCTTAGATATCATTATAATATCTATTATCTAATACTATTAATTATGATTTTAACCTTATTTTACATGATTTCCAAAGCATTAGTAAATACAGGTGAGCGACACAGGCTCTTGAGAGCCTCTAGTTTTCTCTGGTACCGGACAATCGGACAAGCGTTATTGTCGAGCATTGTTATAACATTATATGCAAGTGGGGGCATCATCTGTGTCCCAGGGACACATTCTCCATTTATTTTAGAAATGTTAAAGATTAATTATTTAAGTAATTGAAGGAGTTTTCTGCTCATGGTTTTGAAAACAATTTTGTAATGCCTGGATTTATTATTAATCAGGGATAATAATTATGATGTAATTTTTATGATACTGTAAATATGCATGTAGGATTCATTTAAACCATGAAATCAAGCATCCACAAAAATACCATTTCTTTTCAATTCAGAATCATTGATACAGACAAAAATAAATGAATACACAGTGCATGCATATAGATATTTTCATGATTTTAGAGAGAGGACATTGTTATTTTTTAAACACAGTGCATTTTTTTTCGTTTATTCTGTAGAAATTCAATAGGGTTCTGGAAGCAAAAGATCATGTAAAGAAAAAACTAAAAGAATGCAACCAACAAGAAGAAAACAGAGAGTCAGTACAAAGTAAAGACCCAAGCCTTGACACTGGTAGACAGCATAAAATTACAACAAATGTTTCGTCAAAGAAATCTCTAATTAAGCAGTCACTGCTCATACAAAATCAAATATTAGAGACAAATTCACTAGTTGAAACTAGGGAAACCGCAATTTCAAAATTATTGGATAATTCTGTCACTTCCCGCATAAAGAACACTTCCCCTGTATCTACTATAAAAAAAGATAAAATTCATCCATGTTATCCTGATGACAAATGTGATTCTGATTTTACTGGCTTCAAATCTTACGTTCTGCAAATTAGGAAAGACTCCAGGAATGATCATGGTGATGATATTACTACATGTCATGAACGGGAAGATAAATGGAAAGGGTCCAACGATATTTACAACACTGAAAACAAGGAAATGAAGTTAAGAGATATTGATACAAACATGAGTTATATTGGTCAATCTGAGGAATCACCGATTGTAATAGGAGATACCCAACCAGCTTCAACGTCAACAGATAATTCACTGAATTCTGCACTCGGAAGTAAGAAGAGATTATCACTGAAAAGGAAGAAAAAATCAGATTCTAAATCTAAATTTAATTTGAATAAAAAACAGAAAAATGATGAAGGGGGCTTAGATTTTTGCCTAATTGATCATAAGGATGAAATAACAAAACCTGCACAGACAGAAAATACTTCAAAAAATACATGCACAACAGATTCTAATAGTATTCCATTACTAAGTAATATTTCATATCATCATTCTGATATAAAACAATGCAATGTTAATCATGTTAATGGACTGTCCAGTGTCATTAACAGCAAAATTAAGAATTTAAATAAAAACCAAGAGAAAGAGAATGTGGTAAATTGCATAGAAACAGCAGATTCATCAGAAAAACGTGAAAATGCAAGTCAGTCTTTGTTGGGTATTCAAGTGAAAAATGATTCAGAAGTCAAATTAAAAGAGGGACATAATGTGTCGTCTCAGGAACTCTTTGAATTTACACAAACACCAATATCCATGAAACAAAAGAGATTGGGGAGGTCTACAAAACTAAATAAAGAACAAGTTGAATCAGTTTTTGAGTTGAAAGTAATTAAAACTAAAGAAAATGAGAATCCAAAAGATAATGTGGATGAGATCTCTCAGGAAACTGTCATTGAATGTACTCCAGATATAGGATTATCTGTTGATTTGGACAAAGGTTTTGTTTTGGACACAGCTGACAAAGCTGTCAATAACAAATTTTCATATAATATAAAGGCAGCCATATTGATTGATAATGAAGAGTCATCTGTGAAAAATATAATTCTGAGCAGTAGTAATACACAGTCATCATCACAAGATTCCTTGATAGGTCATACGCAGGAAAACTCACAACCTAGAAGAAGAGGTAGACCCTCTAAAACAAAAAGAAGTAAGCAGAATAAAACCGCATTTTCCACCAGGTTTAACTATTCTGAAAAGAATCAAAACAGTGAGGCAAAATTGCAAACAGTTGAAAATGAGAAAGTCAAAGGGCTGATGGAAAATATCGAAATTAATAATGAGTTCAATGTGCAGTCAAGTCATGACACTGTTATTGAATGCACACCTGATATTCCTATGAACAGAGAACTGCATCATGGGAATTTTACAGATAGTCATCAAGTAATGGATGATAAAGTGCAAAATTTAATAGACTTGAATGCAAATTCTGAATCTAATTACCAAGATTTAGAAATGAAAGAAATTATGTTTAATAAATTAAAGCTTATGAATTCTGAACTAAAAAATGACAATAGACTTCTCATCAATTCACAAGAATCTATTTCATCAACTTTATCAGATACATTAACTGTTACATGTAATCGGAGAAAGAAAAGAGGTCGTCCTGTAAAAAAGAAATCCATCAGGAAAACAGCTGAGAGAGAAAATAATAATGCTGATTCATCTTCCAAAGATTTGAGAGAAGTAGATAAAAAACTCAATGTCATGAAAAATAAATTCTCTCAGGACATTGTTGAAATACCTGGGAGCCAGGAACTTTTTGACCAAGTTGAAAATTCTGAGGATCATTGCCTTTCTGAAAATAGGTCAGCAAGAGGAGATAGATGTGATAAAAACTTTGAAAGTCAAATTACTGGTCTGGACAATACATGCACTGAAACTTCAAAAAGCAGTGCTTTAGTTTATGAAAGTCAGGAATTGTCTACCTTGAAATTATTGCAAGAAAGTTTTGTTGAAAAGAAGGAATATTCTACTAGGAGGAGATCATCCATGGGAAGTCCTTTTATGATTTCTTCTCTCTTTCAGTATATCATTGATGAGTCAAAAAGAAATATCAAGGAATTCAAGGAGTTTGATTTGCCAGTTCAAAAGTTTGGAAAACTATTGAGGAGTAGGCAAGAAAAAATTGGCGATCATGGTGTTGAAGAAGCTAAAGCTTTATCAAACATCTATGATAAAACAGTAAATAATAGTGAAGTTGAAGATGTAAATAAATACATGTACCACAAACAAAAAGATGCACATTCCATTAAAGACATTAATACTGCTATCAACATGAGCAAAGAGGAATCTCAATCCTGCCAATTGATTAACATGGCCAAAGACGAGGAAAAACATTCAGATTCCTTAAAAATTATTGATAAAAATATGATACCAGCAAGGATGGAATTGAATTTGAATGAATTTTCATGTGAATCTCAAGATATTAATTCACAAACTCCATTCCAACATTTTGAACTGCCAAAAATCTGTGAAGGTACAAATGATGATTCACAGGACGAATTATTTATTCCAAAATTTTCATCATCACAGTCTTTATTTACACCAAATCCTAAAGAAGACAGAATAAAACCATTGGAATGCAACCAGAAAGTAAGATATGACAATAGTGATTCTATGGATTCACAGGTAGACAGTACATGTATGATAGAAACAGATCAGCAAACTTCCTTAGAGGTAAATAATAGAAATGTGTCAGAAATAGACAACTTTCACATTTAAGCTTTTCCTCTACATTTTCAATGTCATAATGACATCATTTTTGTCGAGCCTGCGACTTTTGTTGCAAAAGCGAGACATAGCGATCCTACATTCCTTCGGCAGCAGCGTCCACAAATATTCACTCTATGGTTAAAGTTTTTGAAATTTTAATAACTTTCTTAAACTATCCTGGATTTCTACCAAACTTGGACAGAAGCTTGTTTATGAATCATTCATAAGATAGTATCCAGAAGTAAATTTTGTAAAAAAAAAATCCTGTTTATCCGTATTTTACTTATAAATGGACTTAGTTTTTCTGCCAGTTAACATTACATTCACGCTGTGGTTAAAGTTTTTAAAATTTTAATAACTTTCTTAAATTATTCTGGATTTGTACCAAACTTGGACAGAAGTTGTTTATGATCAAAAGCTAGTATATATCTAGAAGGAAATTTTGTAAAAATTTATTTCCTATTTTTCTGTATATTACTTATAAATAGACTTAGTTTTTCTTCCAGTTAACATTACCATGATTACATACAGTTTTTAAAACATTTATTGGATTCATAAACCATCCTGGATTTTTACCAAACTTGAACAGAAGCTTCTTAATCTTACATTCAAAAGATAGTATCTAGAGGAAAATTTTTAATAATTTTTTCCCCATTTTTGTTGAGCCTGCGACTAACAGCAAAAGTAGGCGAGACACTTGGAGACACTTGGTTCCGTGGAACCCTTACAAATTTTTAATCATAGTAAGTATCAATTTCTCAATGACTTCATTTACACCAATTGACCTCGGGTAAACCTGTGTTATCCATTCATAAAAAGGAACTCAAAATTTCTTTAGAAATTTTGCTTTAAATATAATTCTTAAATGTATAAGAAGTCGTACCTTAGACAATATTTTGCATGCCCTATGCCAAAAATAAATCATAGACACTGATAGAGCATTTTGATCATTACTATTTGTTTTTCAATGATTTTCTGTCAGCATGGAAAGTTCAGAATAATCATAATGATCATGTTAAAGATTATAAAAAAAAATATTGACCTTGGATCTATTGACCTGAAATTTAAGTTAATTTATATATAATTAACAGCATATACATTTGTATAAATTCCAAATTTTAAAAATGTTTAGTACTGTAAATTCAGAAATTATTGCGAAAAATGGGTTATAATCGCAATAATTTAAACTCGCATTTTGAAATTTTTTATATGAATTAAACAGGATTTTTCTCAATATCGCAAAAATTAGAATCGCATTTTAGTCTAAAATGACAAAGTCACAATAATTAATGCACGCAATAATTTCTGAATTTACAGTATCTTAAAAACTACTTTTCAAGGGAATATGAAGTCTTGATTACAACAAATGGAAATGACCCACACAATTATTTGAAACAGCTGAAAGAAACTTATCACACTTATGAATGTTTCATATTTTTTATATGTCTAAATCAAATGTATGTTTTTTGTTAGCTACCAGAAGATGAATCATTGATATCTTTATGTACCTGTAGTATGAAGTTTAGAAAAAAGGAAGTACCTGTGATTGGTTGTTTATCTAGGAAATCTTTATCACTATGGAGATACAAAAAGGGGTTTTCTCCTCTACACACATGGGCATTTGCAGAGGTAAGTATTTAGTGCTGTTGTCATTCAAGCTTACATCCTACATAGAAGCCAGGGATGGCAATTAGAAGTTTCTTATGTCTAATGTTACATAAAAGTAGTAACAGGCATCCATTGACCCCAGAAGATAAGATATAATTCTGACTTCCAATTGTGGATTAGTGCTTTTATTGATGTTCTTCATAGTAAAGTCACAATGATGCCTTCGTCATGGATCAATAACTTGCACCATACTCACCTCACTGCTTCTTCAATATGCTGTCTAGCACTGCTTTGGAGGAATTCCTTTCTAGATGTCAATCACGCTGGCCAACAATAAAATTACAATTGTTTGATGTTGCCTACCTACCCACCTCAAAATCATCCTACCTGGAAAAAAATTTGACCCAAATCGTTTCAAATTTTTATTTTTAAAGATTTTTTTCTTGTCTAAAACATGAAACTTAATGTTGTTGGCAAAAAAAAAATCTTACCTTCCTACCCAACCTTACGAGGCATGCGTAGGCAACATCAAACAAATAACTTTTTAAGGGTGGCCTAACTGTGAATTGAAGAACACAGCTATCAACAAATTTAAAATTATATCTGGCAAAAAAGTATTACAAATACTGTCAATCTCACTGTATGATACAAAAGTAGTGCAAATATATAGACAACCACAGGACACATCAGGTAATATATGTTAAGTTTGGAACAGCTCTATTTAGGGATACATCCAAATCTCACAAATTATAAAAATGTAAAAGTGTGAAATAAATTTGATGTGGAGTACACATGTAAATGTCAAACCAACATAACAAATAACCATAAGAAATCTAGTCATGCTAGAGGTTTTCTTTTGTGAAAATAGTATTGAGTTAAATGCCACTTTGTTTATGTAAATTTTTTATTATTTCACAGTATACTAATTAAATTTGCTTAAAATCCCCCCTCCAATTTATTTTTGATAAAATGTGTGTAATATTTAATCTACCATTCCACTGTTGTTGTTTTTTTAAGAATCAGACAGCAGAGAAAGTATGTTCCTTTTCTATAGATGGGAGAGCATTGTTTATCATCACTGTCAGGAGGGGAGATAACTCTGCAGATGTGTACATATCTCACTACAGTAACAAGAGAGATAATTGTTTATTTACAGTCACAAATGTAGAAGCAGACATGTTAGTAATAATACATTTTCTATACATGCACAGTTATTTGCTAGTTTGTTAAATGTGTTTTTGATTTATGGTGTGTGTGATTCAAATTTGGACATATTAAGTAATTTGTTCACTGAATGATTTAGACTAGAAGCTAACCAAATGGACTGGCAATAAAAAAGTCAAAAATCTAACTGGAATGGGTGATAAATAATGTGCTGTAAGGGGTTTGTTTTTTCAGGGTTTACATTTTGAATTTCAACATGTTCAAATGCAGTACTTACTGTTTTATGATGTTTTAATTTCGTGATTTTCTTTTCCTTGAATATAACAAATCCATAAAAATCAAATTTACAAGAGGGAAATTTTTTTAGCTTTAATTGTAAAATGAGTGAAGATAAGCCTCTTGCAAAATTTTCCATTTTAAAGCATCTTTATTGATTTACCTGCAGTGTTAAATAATATATCTATCATTAAAGTAATTTTCTTTGTAGTGTTGAAGCCTGCCATGTAAGTAATAGAGTAATAGCGGTTGGTTACAGTAAAGATAAGATGATCCATGTGACTAAGTATGTTCTACACAACAACCTGAAGAGTCTGGCAAACAGTGAAAACCTCGAGAGGACAGAGGGATGTCTGAAATCATTGTATTCAATAGAGAATCTACCTGCTGCTGTCTCTGTTTGGTCCAATAATGGAGAGTTTTGTCTGTGGTAATATTATACTTATTAAAATTTGTAAAATATATAGCAGAATGTTATTACATCATTATTACCTGATTCGCTGAAGGAAAACAGGTCTAGTAACAACTCGACTCTGTCTGTCCGTTCCATCAGACAGAAAACTTTCGTCAAAGGGCATGATTTAATATTTGGATTGCAGCTTTATAATGTTGAGTTGTGGCGATTTAGTAATTTTTACATCTGCCATATAGCCACTTCCTGTTTGCCTATAGTTTGAAATTTTACAACATTAATTGTATAATGAAAATTTCGTCAAAGTTTTCTCTGCTCCTATTGAAGGGAAAACTTAATATTTGGACTGCAGCTTGATAATGTCGAGTTGAAGTGAGTAAGCAATTTTTACATCTGTCATATAGCCACTTCCTTTTAGCCAATAGTTTGAAATTTTACAACACCCATTATATAAGTTAAAACCTGAATGTGAGGGAGGAAGGTTTTATCCAGGAAAAGGGTACTTTTGACAGCCACTGAAAAAAAGATTAACCTGTATGTTTGATAGGGGATTTCCATTATTAGGGCCCCACCTAGGGATGGGTCGCCCTATAGTGATCAGTCTCTCCATCCGTCCATCCGTAACAAATTGTGTCTGCTCTATACCTAGAGAACCGTTATAATTTCATACTTTATACTTGACATGTATATTAACCAACACCAAAGGGTGTGTCATAATGTTTGTACAACTTCCTAGGTCAAAGTTCAAGGTCAAAAATTTGGTTTCAGTTGACAACCCATGTCCTATGGTAAAGATCGTGTCCACTCTATATCTTGAGAACCGTTATTTACAGCGGGGCCCACAAAGATGGCTCCCATCTCAATGATGTCTAGTTCATCCAGAATTACCATCTAAGAAACTATAAGGGACAAGAACATATAAAATAAAAATCACAAGGACTACAGTATAATACCATGGGATCATCATACAGTAATTTGAAAGGTATTAATTTTTCAATTTTACCAATTATAAAGTAAATGTACATAAACCTTCAAATTCATAATAATAGTACTTGAAATGCCAAATTATTTCCTCAAATTAGATTTCTATTTTTCTTTTTTGCAGGAATCATGAAAACAAGAGACTGTTGTTAAAGACTAAGTTAGACTGTTTAAACAATAATCCAAAATTAGCAGGTGTGGCCTGGGAAGAGGTGAGTACATTTTTCTTCTCATTTGCGACAAAATTGCTTAAGGCAAGACATTGGTGTTGTTTTTCCGGCGACAATGTTGTCAGAGTCGACAATTGTTAAGTTTTCTGCCTAAGTTAGTTTGATAGGAACTACTTGTGATAGATCAATGATATTTTGTTTGAAGTTGCATTACTATCAGTACATATCAGTTTGATGACAATTTTGAGGCCCTGCCCCCAGTTCATGATCCAGTGACTGAATCAATTAGCAATTTTCAATGTTAAGTTTTCTGCTAGAGTTAGTTTGATAGGATCTACTTGTGATAGATCAATGATATTTTCTACAAAGTTGCATTACTATCAATACATATCAGTTTGACGACAATTTCAAGGCCATGCCCCTGTAAGTCATGGTCCAGTGACTTTGAATTGATTAGCAATTTTCAATGTTAGTTTTCTGCTAAAGATAGTTTGATAGGAACTACTTACAATAGACAACAATATTTTCTATAAAGTAACATAACTGTCTGTATATCTTAAGTTTGTCGATAATTTAAGGCTGTCCACTAGTACATGCTCCAGTGACTTCGAATTAATTAAGGATGTTGCTGAACGTCAGATTGTCTTTTTCTGAATTTTATGCTGACAGGTGATACATATCACTGTGTCAACAGTGTATGTTAGGTTTCAAGCAGTTTGGCCTGTAATACATGTATAGACCAATCTTGAGTTGTTTTTTATGGATAAGTTAATACACCAGTTGATCCGACGTCAATCAGCGTAAATTACGTCATTGAACAATCGGTTCTTATTATGATGTAATAACATAAGCATTGTGACATTGGAAATGTATGGGAAAGGGCATGAATTTGAAAGTCGTCTATTGAATAGTTTGTTTGCCCATGAATAAAAGATATATGAGGTCAATGATTTGCTGTATTGCTGAATGGATGACTGTTAGATGTACAAATGAACAAATATTGAACCAAAATATTATTTTTCCTAGTTGATTGAAAAAAAGGAACAATTTCCAGATTTTTTAATCGATCTCTTTATTGGATTAATCATGTAGTAATCACCTGTAGTTGAGGATTACAATGTATACATCCTGGACATGTTGAACTTAAGCAGAATTATAAAAAAATTATTCATTTAACAGTTTATTTTCTATAATAGATTTGATTAAACAAAATTCTCTAAATATAGATGCATATTTCTATAGAATGCATGTTAAATTGATGAGTTTTGTTCTCAAAATAATGTTTAAATCCTTATTGCCTCAAAGAAGTCTATAGATTTTTCATTAAACTTTATATTGCAGCTGTTTAAATTCTGTATTGATTTTTTAAAATAATCATATGGTCAGTGACTTTGTAGTAGAATTGAGTTATTAGTGTCTATAAAAGTCAAAACTGAGAGTGCATATCCATTTTAAACAAAAATCTATGGATTATATTTTCAAAAGTGATGATTTTAAGACAATTTTAAGAAAGTTTTTGCTGACTTGGTGTGCATTCTATACAAATTTGCATTTTTTTAAAGAATTTTGAACGATGTTTGACATGCAGAATTGTGTGCAAAATCTTTTATAAAAGTCTGTGACATCATTCATCTACTGCTAGAGACACATGCTTTTCACTTCTTTATAATAAAGCTGATCATTTTAATGAAATTTTATAGTAAACAAACTTTGACATATAATGTAATTATATATTTTCCTTTTTGATTTCAGGGTTTTTTCTTCTTTCAGTGTTTTGACTTGAATGGCCAGGGTGGAAAACAAGTAATATTAAACCCACTGACAATGAAATCTTGTGTTGGAAGCCATTTTGAATCTGGAAACTGGTCAGGGTGTGTATAATGTTTGTTGTCTCCCGTGTAATGTTGAGGACATAGTAATTGTTGAGCGTCTGTCTGTAGGTCCAATTCTTGCCATATATTTATGACATTTATATCAAAGGTTCATATCATCAATTTCTCAGACAAGGTCAAAAATCAGTGCAGATAAACTTTATAAAAAGAGTTATGTCCCTTGGAAATAATAATTATATAGAAAATAGCATTATAAGCACTCTCACACCTATATTTTTGTAAGAAATTAATATATGTTTATATCAGCAATGACTTGAATGAGTTAGAATATCAGCACTGATCTATTATTTTTACAGGAGTTATGTCTCTGAAATGTATTAATTTATATTGAAAATTTTATTTTAAGCACCCTTACACCTATATTTTTTATTAAGAATTAATAAATCAATTGAAAATTAATCATCTCTATTTTGAAATATATTTAGCATTACTCCCCTATCTCCCCAAAATGAATTAAAAAGCTGCAAATAGGAGAAATGTCAGAATATTATTACAAAGTTTCAAAATATACAAGATTTTTTTTCAACTTGTTGAATTTGGTGATGAATTTTAAATAGTTGAGCCCTGTTTAAATGAAATTCCTAGGTCCACGGCTGTTAATAATGTTAAAGATGATCATTTCTCCAGTTTTATATAAATTATTTAAGAAAGGTTTTTTATCCTGAATAACAAGTTTTAGAATATTGTAAGGGAACTAGAGGAAGTTGCCAGTCTTCAATTTTCCTATCCACAAACAGGAGGAAAATTTGTTTATAATCTTTATTGGGAAGAAAATCACCCCACAATACTATATAACATAAGAAATTCATTTTATTAAGTCTCCCAAACGAAGTTTGGGAAGACTTATTGGTTTTGCTCAATCTTCTTCTTCTTCTTCTTAGGAATTGAAAACCGTTTGTGATAGACACAATCTTTTTAATTGAAAATGTTCTAAATGATAAAGCACATTAAATGAAATACAGTGTTAGTCCCCAGGGGTCACCCCTACCCCCTGCCATTTAAAAAAGTTCTAATATCTTGTAAGTGGTCAAGATCCCCACCCCTAAACCATATATATTCTGGTTTGTCATGTGAAGATGGTTTGAATGATATACAGGGCTAGTCCCCAGGGGTCATCCCGACCCCCTGCCATTTGGGGCAATATGCGCAATTGTTTCTCCATAGGCGGAAATGGTAACGTTTTCTTCTGTAGCTCAGTCCATGTCGTAACCTTGGATATGTATGATGGCTCGTTTTGAAGCAGAGACATTTTCACTCGTGGTTAAATTTTTGGGGTACGAAGTGTGATTCATTTTTCCGTAAATTAGCATACCCCGAAAATCCTTTCATGATGCGGCTCTTCCTGGTAAAAAAATCCCTTTTTTCACACAATAAATTCTTTGAAAATTTAATACTTTGAATACATTTAATAACTCCATAGTTTTTACACATTTATTCTATGGTCCTCTTCTTTCCAAATCAACACAAATGGTTAAGCTCAGTCACTTGTTAAAAATAGAAACATGTCCAATATCACTACACAGAAATTTTTTGTTTACACACAAATTTTGTGTTCCTCAATTTGAGTCGCATAAGGGATATTGACCCATTTGAGAAAGGTCTAATATCTTGTAAATGGTCGAGATCCCCACCCCTAAACCATATATATTCTGGTTTGTCATGATAAAGCACATCAAATGAAATACAGGGTTAGTCCCCAGGGGTCACCCCTGTTGAGATTTTCGCGGGAACATAACGTCTGTACTATTGTACTTGTCCATTGTCGACGTCGTATTGTCAGTGACGTCGCCTTGGGCGGAAATACGTTAGTTGTATATAAAATGTAATGGCTGAACAGTTGTCTTTATACACATTGCCTAACTATCATCTATATTTATGGTACCGTGACCAATGGATCTCGAAAAATTGAAATCAGTTCGATCTGGGAACAGAAGCGCTGTTACCAGACTATTCCGCAGATTAGATGAAGAAAAGGAGAATACGAATTTCGATGAAGAAGAAGTCATTGCAACGCTCGGAAAACTTGTGCAAAAACAAACATTGTTTGAGGACTTAAATGATCAAATTCTTAAGTTAACAGAACCGGAAGATGTGGAAAATGACATTATTGATTCAGATGAATATTCAGTGACTATGGAAATGAAGATTTGACACATACGTAAGTTCATACAAAATGTACAAACCCGCAGTCCCGTCATATTGAATCACATACTACAACTCACACGTTAAATCCAGAAACTATACCGTTTGTTCCAACGCACAACATAACCAACTCACACAACGCACAGTCGTTTGAAAACCCGTCTGTACAAGCCAGTCACACATTTAACACGCAACAAAGTACATTTTCGTCAACTAGTAAGAGTCACCGCCTACCAAAACTTTCGCTTCCAACCTTCTCAGGCAACATTTTAGAATGGCAAACTTTCTGGGACTCATATGAGTCGGCCGTACATCTTAATCTGTCACTTACAAATGTACAAAAATTTAATTACTTGAAAGCACAGCTAGAACATGAAGCACTACGATCAATAGCAGGTTTCGCACTAACAAATGTAAACTACGATGAAGTCGTAAATTTGTTAAAAGAGAGGTTCGGTCAACAAGATAAAATCATAAATGCATACATGCAGGCATTATTAGAAATTCCTTCGCCTAGAAATCAGTTAACAAGCTTACGAAGTTTTTACGATAAAATGGAAGGTTACGTCAGGGGATTAGAAGCTTTGGGTCAAACACAGGAAACATACGGCACGTTACTTGTTCCCATTATTATGAACAAATTACCCAGGGAAGTCAGAAAACATCTCGCGCGAGAACACAGAACAAAAACTTTGGTATTACGGGACCTCCGTAAAAGCATATTAGACGAGATAGATATAATGGACGCAGGACAAGAGATAGAGTCAACACACAATTTGCCCACAACATCGTCTTTCTTTGCCGGAGCGAAATCGCCGAAGTCCAAATCTTACAAGAATATTGAGACTAGACCTTGCGTTTTCTGTCACGAAATACACGCACCTACCCATTGCAGTAAAATAACCGACACAGAATCCCGTATGAACATAGTAAAACGTGATAAGTTATGCTTTAATTGCCTTGGTAAACACAGACTAAACGAATGTAAATCTAAACACACATGTAGACATTGTAATAAGAAACACCATACAAGCTTGTGTAATGTACGTCTAACAAACAGCATAAAACCAGTCCATGAGGTAAGCCATAGAAACGGGGGTAGTAACTCAGCACATACGGATTTCCGCGCGAAAGATAATCAGAGCAGCAACCCGCAAAACCCACCATCTTCAAATTCGACAAACGTTCACCTCGTAAATGATAGTCATACAACGGAACAAGATACTACCATTTTGTATTCACAATCGACAGAATCGCGATCAAATGTACTTTTGAAAACCACCGTAGCACAAGTAGGGTCGAATCAGCTCTAAACCGAGACAAACATTCTTTTTGACGAAGGAGCGCAAAGATCGTTTTTAACGCAGAACTTAGCGAATAAACTCAACTTACAGATAGAGGGAACAGAGATAATACATTTATCGGCATTTGGAGGTGAAGAGAAAAACGCGAGACACCTAGAAAAGACAACAATCTATCTGAAAACCAATGCAGGACACGTATTGCCAATCAAAGTACTGATAGTACCGATGATAGCCATGCCTCTACAGAATCACATACGTAATATTGATACACAAAATGGTTATTTGCGTGGTTTAAAGTTAGCGAACACGATGACACAGCAAGATTCATTCGAAATATCGTTGTTAGTAGGTGCAGATCACTATTGGGACATTGTAGAAGACCATATAGTACGGGGAAACGGTCTGACCGCCGTGAAATCCATGATCGGATATTTGCTTTCGGGACCTACATACGGTAAGAAAAATAACACGTCGAAAACTAGCATGTTTAATGTTCTAATATCACACAAAGTTGAAGAATACAATCTAGAGAGATTTTGGAATTTAGAATCAATAGGAATAAATAGTAAGGAGGTAGACGAAGACGGTGATGCATATATTAAAGCCTATCAGGACAGATCAATTGAGTTCCGAGAAAATAAATATTTCGCTAGGTTACCATGGAAACAGGATCATGATGAATTGCCTACAAATTTAGCAGTCACGAAGAGAAGGACAGCAAACGTCATTAAAAGACTTACTCAAAACCCAGATATGTTAAAGAAGTACGGGAACATCATACAAGAACAGGAACGTAGGGGATTCATAGAGAAGGTGGATGAAACAACAGAAACTTCAGAAAAACTACACTACATTCCTCATCATCTAGTACAGAAGGAATCAAGCACTACGCCTATCAGAATTGTTTACGACTGCAGTTGTCGCCAGTCGCCTAATTCGCAAAGCTTGAATGACTGCCTCTTGGATACACCGCCGAAGCTAAACGACCTGACAAAAATTCTGATGAGATTTAGAGCCAACCCTGTCGCCATAACAACGGATATTGAGAAAGCCTTTTTACATGTAGGATTAAACGAGGATGACCAAGACGCTACACGTTTATTGTGGCTAAGTAACCCATCCGACCCAACAAGTTATTTACAGACTTACAGGTTCAAATCCGTCCTTTTTGGAGCGACTTGTTCACCGTTTATACTAAACGCCACAATACTGAAACATTTACAACGTTACAACAGTAAAACAGCTACATTGATGGAAAGAGACTTGTACGTGGACAACATTCTGACAAGTTTACAGAACGAGGATGAGGCTGATACGTATTATAAGGAAGCGAGAACAATGATGAAAGACGCCGTATTCAACCTACTATCGTGGACGTCAAACAGTCAGAATATACGCAAGCTAGCCAAGACGGAAAATGTACTAGATATGGACATAAACACAAAAGTACTTGGTATGTTATGGAATAGCAAATCCGATGATCTGATGTACCAGAAATGTGATATTCCAATACGAGACATTGTAACAAAAAGGGAGATTTTGAAACATTCGTCGAAAATATACGATCCACTTGGAATAATCAGCCCGGTAACAATAAGAGCAAAGACACTAATACAGGATCTATGGCAAAGTGGACTGGATTGGGATGAACAAGTTCCGGAAAACTTTAAGGCTACTTGGATTAATGTAGCAAGCGACTTAGAGAAAGCGACAGAAATCGTCTTTCCGAGATATTATTTCTCCGGTAATTCTACTTCGGAACAACTTGAACTACACGTATTTTGAGATGCCAGTCCAAAGGCGTATGGATCGACTGCATATCTGAACAACGGAACCGAAACTGCGTTACTGATGGCAAAAAGCAGAGTAGCGCCAGTGAAAAACCTAACATTACCGCAACTAGAACTTATGGCCGCGGTTATTGGAACTAGACTAGCGTCACATGTACAATCGACTTTCGAATGTAAAAACATGGTTTTCTGGTCCGATAGCTGCATAGTATTGCACTGGTTAAAATCATCGAAACCGTTAAAACGATTTATTGCGAATCGAGTGAGAGAAATAACGAAATCTACAAATCAACATGAATGGAGATTTTGTCCAACAGAATGCAATCCAGCCGATCTCTTAACACGAGGAATTAACGCCGATCAATACATCGATAGTGTCATTTGGAAAAAAGGACCAAATTGGTTAACGGATCGCACAAAATGGCCAGAAATAACTCCCACAAGTAAAATGGTAATGACAATTACAGGAGAAAACGACGAAGAGGAATTTCTAAACAATGAAGTTCATACTGATCACTATGGTATTAGTAACGTTATAGACATTACGAAATATGGGACTTTCAGGAAATTGATTCGAGTAACTGCTTACGTTCAGCGGTTCATATCTAACTGCCTATATACCAAACATCGGAGAAAAGGTGGAATTTTGACGACATATGATATAAATACCGCGGTGCGTTCATGGATATTAGATTGCCAAGAATCTTCATATTCAGCCGAAATAAAAAGTTTAAAGGACACACAACATAAAAACACAATGAAATTTCCAAGAATAAGACAATTAGGACTCTTCATAGATGACAATGGTCTTGTGAGATGCAATGGAAGAATTCACAATGCACCGATTTCAGAGAATACCAAATTTCCGTATCTTATACCTGCGAATCATCCACTTACCAAACTGATTGTGATAGACGCACACGAACGTTCACTCCATTCTGGACTTAATGCTACGCTAACTTTTGTACGACAATCGTATTGGGTACCGACACTTCGACAATTTATTGAGAAGTTATTGAATAAGTATGTAACTTGCCGCAAAGTGATGGGAAAATCTTCAGCAAACCAGACCCGCCACCGCTTCCGAAAATAAGAGTACAGGAAGCCTCGCCATTTACCGTCACAGGGGTCGATTATACAGGCGCTTTATACGTAAGGGATCAAGAGGGAACTTTAAAGAAAGCGTATATATGCTTATTTACGTGCGCATCGACTAGAGCAGTTCATCTCGAAGTAGTTCCAAACATGAGCGAACATTCATTTATACAGGCATTTCGACGCTTTGTTAGCCGTAAATCTCTGCCTAAAATTCTAGTATCTGACAATGCATCTACATTCATTGCAGGATCTGAGGAAATAAAAAGATTATGTGAATCGGATATAGTAAAAGATACTTTATCAACACACGGTGTAGAGTGGAGATTCATACCGAAACGTGCACCATGGTATGGTGGATTCTGGGAGCGCTTAATTGCTCTTACGAAGACAAGTTTGAAAAAAGTACTTGGACGATCCCAAGTTAACATGGAAACATTACAAACAATTGTTGCGGAAATAGAAACTATCTTAAACGACAGACCGCTTACTTATCCATCGTCCGATATCAAAGACTGTGAAGCTTTAACACCGTCTCATCTACTATACGGAAGGCGCATTTCAACATTACCGTACCCACAACCAGAAATCGATAACATCACCGACCCGACTTACATGGGACATTGCGATCTTAATAAAAGTGTACACAGACAAACGCAATTGATTCAACATTTCTGGAAAAGATGGAAATCCGAATACCTTACGTCGTTACGTGAATTTCATAGGACTACCGGAAAAAATGAACAATTAATAAATACAGGAGACATCGTGCAAATTCACAACGAATCTCCGCGTATAAACTGGAAAATTGGGATCGTAACGTACCGAACTGGCGAGAGGTAACGACTGACTTGTAAGATCTGCACGAATAAGGACCAACAATGGGGAAACAAATAGACCGATCGCAAAATTATATCCATTAGAAGTTACACAAACGATGACAAACAATTCTAACGTTCCAATAGATGATCAGCAGGAAAATATTGAGAACAGACCGAGACGAAAAGCAAGTCTTCAAGCCTGTGAGACCATACGGAAGTGGATACACCAATGATGTTAAAGACGACCATTAGTGATGTAATTGATAGACAATTACGCGTTTTAGTGCAAAGTTGAATTTTATTCTTATTTCATGAGTGACATTAATTGAATTTAATTGCTAAATGTAATTTCCGTTTTAAATGATTTCATGTACTCAGTATTTCAAAGAAAAACACAACGCGAGAGACAATTTCAAAGTATTATTATTTATTGATGGACAGTAATTTATCAGTGAAACGATTGATCAATGGATAATTGAGATTATTTAGAAAATTGTGATATTTTTTACTTTTCGCGGCCCCAGTATGTTGAGATTGTCGCGGGAACATAATGTCCGTACTATTGTACTTTTCCATTGTCGACGTCGTATTGTCAGTGACGTCGCCTTGGGCGGAAATACGTTAGTTGTATATAAAATGTAATGGCTGAACAGTTGTCTTTATACACATTGCCTAACTGTCATCTATAACCCCCACCCCCTGCCATTTAAGAAAGTTCTGATATCTTGTAAGTGGTCAAGATCCCAACCCCTAAACCATATATATTCTGGTTTGTCATGTGAAGATGGTTTGAATGATATACAGGGTTAGTCCCAAGGGGTCATCCCGACCCTCTGCCATTTGAGAAAGTTCTAATATCTTGTAAATGGTCGACATCCCCACCCCAAAACCATATATATTCCTGTTCGTCATGTCTCGAACATTTGAATGACGTATGGGGTCAGTCCCCAGGGGTTCCCCACCCCCAATGTTCTAGTATCTTGTAAATGGTTGAGATCCCCACCCCTAAACCATATATATTCTGGTTTGTCATGCCAAGATGATTTGAATGATATACAGGGTTAGTCCCCAGGCATCATTAATGTATATAACTTTACTAGACCAAACCAATTTTCACTGGTCTTTGCCCAATGTCAGGCAACCCTATGAATTACGAATTATGGGAGCTTCGTTTGGGAGACTTCGTAACAGCATCCTGTTACAATCATTTCTTGTTCTAATTGAATAACCTACATGTGGATCACAGCTCTCCATCTTTCTTCCAGGATTTCCTTTTTTTACTATCTTGTTTGTCTTCGTAGTTTCAGTTTTTGGATATAAGCATACTCCGCTTAATTGCTTAATTTTGTCTGACAAATAGGCTTTCTAAATAAACAAAATTCACTGTATTTTTAACCATATTTATTGACAGAAAACCAATTATTAATTTTGGGTGGTATCAAGCATAAGGATTGGCCAGACAGCTCCAGTTGTCTCAGTGCAATAACTTATGAACTGTCCAACCAATGCTTTTAAAATTTTAATGTTTTGTAACTGATGACACAATTAAGGTCAAGTTCTATATTGACATTTTTTTCTTTTGCCGTTCAGGAGTTATGGCCCTTGATTGATTGGAGAATGACACTTTATGTTATTTCTGCACAATAACTTAAAAACTGTTCAATCAGTGACCTTTCAAACTTTGATATTTTGTTTCCAAGGACACAATTTAGATATAGTTAAATATTGACGACTTTCACTTTCGCTGTTGAGGAGTAATGGTTCTTGATTGATTTGAAAATTGTATGTAATGCATTTCTGTGTAATAGGTAATTTTGATATGTTGTTACTAATGATAAAAAATGAAAACAACATGTTGCAAATAAAAATAAATTTTGATATTGATAATTTTCACTTTTTCTGTTCAGGAGTAATGACCCTTCATTGCTTTATCAATAACCCTAATAGATATCATAAAAACCTGGTTTACTGCAATGTTAACAGCCTCTTGTTAAGTTTAGATTTATTTTTTCTGTTCTTCTCAAGTTTTCACAAGAAAATAATTGATCAATTGATATACTGATTTTTACAATGAAAATCATCATGTGCACAGTGGAAAAAATCTAGCAAAGTTAAATTATTATATTGCATATATTTCAGTCACAATATTTTGGAAGAATGCTAATTTAAAGATGATTCCATTTTAGGTATAGAAGTCACCACACATCAATCAATGTTATTGTCACACTGGACAGAAACCAGAACTTGTGTGTTTGGGACAGATATTCTACAGACCTCTTACATGAATCAAAACAAAGACATGCTATATGTGTGGCACATGTTGATGGACATGTGGCTACTGGCAGTGATCATTGTGTTCATATACATTGATATGATATATTTGAAGATTGTTGTTGAAAAAATAGATATTTACTTTAACTACACCTCTCTTTTAATGTAACAATATCAAAACTTGGGAATTAATAAATTATTTTTGCAAAAGCACATTCCTCTAATAGAGTTTTAAAAGATTAAGACACTGTGTCTTCTTCTTTTCATCAAGGTATTGATTTGAAGAAAAGCATCAAATTGTATTGTACACATGTTCACTCAATGTAAATTGCTTTTTGTCTTTATACATAATGGCATTTTAAATCATCTCTAAGGAAAATAGCTAGTAAATTTTGTCAAAACATGACCATCTAGTAGAACCATTTAAACTGTATCACCTTTTTTTAAGTTGGGCACTTTAGACTTGCTCCAGCCATGGCTTTGAACTCTTCTTATCGTAAGATTAGCATAATCTGACAATCTAGTGATAAAATATAACCCTTCTGTTATGATTTTAAATATTTTATAAACTTTGCCCATTTGTAGCTCGCCATGCCCAAAGGGCCAAGTGATCTTTTCTCATCTGTTGTTATCGTTAACTTTTACAAAATCTTCTCTGAAACTACTTGACCAAATTTGGCCACAATCATCATTAGGATATGTGTTCGAAGACCCCGATTGTCAAACAACATGGCAGACATGACTCAAATTAGAACATAGGGGTAAATGAAAGTTTTATTTTGAAAACCGCTATAAATAAAGTACTGATACATGTGTGTATCAAATTCTACCTTTAATATTTATTTGTTTTCTCACCTGTGAAGAATGTTGCAGAATGAGAGACATAGGGATGACAATCCTTTGATGACGAGGGCATAATCTATTTGTATAAACTTTGATATTTCTTAGGGTAAGAGACCTGGATGCTTCATATCTTGAAAAATGCCTTTTACATGTTATATTGCAAAGCTTCCATTGCATATTTCAATTGTCCTTGACCTCATTTTCAAGGTTCAGCAACTGATTTCAAAGCTTTTTTTTGTCACATGAATTTCTCACTTATGAGTAATTGGATAACTATATTAGGTGTATGGGATCCTTGCAAGGTCTTCATGTTTGTCAGAAAGGGTTCACCATACTTGGACCTCATTTCATAGATCAGTAATCAAGGTTAAGTTTTTGTGGTAAAGTATGTATCTGAGATACTACAATCAATTGGTCAACTATATTTGATGTACAGAGTGATTGTTAGGTGCTGACCTTGACCTCATTCTCATTGTTCATTAGTCAATACTAAGTTTTGATTGTTTGGTCTGTTTCTCATATAGGTGGACATGTCTGTCTGACATGTTTCATCTGACCATGACTTCATTTACATGGATTATTGATAATGTTAAGTTTATTTGACACCTTTAGTAAAAGCCTTTATCTTAAAGACTTTCAACATAAAAGTTAATCATGATCAATTAAGCAGGCATGCCATTTCAGCTCGTGCACTCTTGTCCACATATTTATCACTATTGTGAAATAATTAAATGTTTTGTTACTGTTATATTTTATGAATAATAAAAAAAAAGTATTTAATTTGTATCTCTGTTTTTAATGTAAGGTCATATGTACTGTTAGATCCAGCTTCAACATATAGGGCATGATACATTTACATCTTGAAAATTTCAAAATTTGTCTCGCATTACCCAAATTTTGCTAAAGGTACCATAATTTCCTTTTAATAACAAATTGTTAACATGTTATATAATAGTTTATGACGATCAATATAATTCATATTTCATGTACCAGTACATATGTTGTATAGGACTGACATGTGAGCTTTTCTTGACCTCATTTTCAATGTTCAGCAACTACAGGAAAATTATTGGGTCATTTCTCAAAAAGGATGTAGATTCCACATGTTGTCTTTGAGTAAAAGATGTAGAAAATACTAGAATATAAATCGATGAGACAGCAACCAAACAACATGATGTAAAGCTCACACTATGAAAACAGTGTCTTCTTTGGAATGTGACTTTGTGTTCTCGGTGACAGTCGTAGCACACTATTACTGTACACATTGTTATCTATGTAATTAATAGAAGAGCACCTGAAATATCTTAATAACGAAAACATTTTTTGGTGGTCAGCATTTAGATTTTGTGATAACGGTTAAAGTAAAAGGTGAACTCTATTTGATCTGTAGAATAATTAAGTGTACTTTCGAAATAGATGGTTCACTTGACCATGAATTCAATTTCAACGTTTATTAATCAGTGTTGTTTTTAGCCTTTTTATGCAAAGTGTTATAGAATTCTTAATTACATACATTTTCCTTAATTATCAATGTTTTAATAATCTACATCTACAAAATATTGTTCAATTATATATGTTAATAAATTATTCAATGACGGCAAATACTAACTTTCTAAGGTATTAAAACTTGTCACTGCAATAAATTTTATGGTAAAAAATTGTCACCATAGCTGAAACTGAAACATTTGAGAACCAGGCAAACAAATTTGTTCCACTGAAATCGTCTTTAACAGTTGTTTTCCACTACTTCTCACCAAACAAATATTCCATGCAAAAAATTTCAATTTGAATCAAATATATCCACTGTGTCACGTCACATAAGAAGATTTGTCTTATTAGCCTTCTTGTCTGTACAGGTCCCTCTTGCATTATATTTTATCTTACTTCCTATACATTTCTAGGAATATCATTGGCTGAAAGCGTGGAGACCGTATATATTTGATATGGGGTTAGTAGGCGTGGTTTATCTTAATACACAGTAGTGATATTACGTCCCTTAATACAAACAATACGGCGTTAGGGAAAATCTTAACATTTCACCTGGACAACAGATAAAGAAATTGATAATGAACGATTGAAATAAATGCAGAAAACACATTAAAGCAAACAAGTTGTTATTGTGACTTTGTTGGCATTTGATTTTGTATAGACCAATGGAAGTAACTTCTTTATATTGAAGCCTTAATCACTTTGAAAGGCCACTAGTCTAAATGCCACATGTAAAGATAGTCGGCAAGATAAATTTGTTACACAGTGTGCTAGCTTCGCTCTCACCTCATATGGAATTTACTGACCTTGTATCTATAATATTAGGTCACTAGCACACTGTGTAACTAATAATGTTTAGCACATTACTGAGTCGAAATCAATTCCTTTGTCTATTTTTTCTTCTCTATTGAAATGATGTGACCTTCATTATACTGGAATTTTGACGAATTGCTGATACTTTGATCAACTATATTGAACAAAAATGTTGTTTATCAAAGTAATAAGTTGTTAGTGCCAAGGAACCAGACTGCTACCATTTCAAACCAAAGAATTAAACTTACTTTTGAATAATGTCAACAGATGATACATTTTTTTTCTCAATGAATTATAAGAAAACTATCATGTATGACCAAAACACAAAAACTTAACATTGACCAATGAACAATGAAAATGAGGTCAAGGTCAGATGTTAACTGCCAGACAGACATGTACACCTTACAATCATTCAATACACTAAATAAGACCAGAACACAAAAATTTAACATTAACCAATGAACCATGAAAATGAGGTCAAGGTCAGATGAAACCTGTCAGACTGACATGTACCCATTACAGTCATTCCATACACCAAATAAAGTTGACCTACTGCTTATAGTATTTGAGAAAGGGACCTAATCACGTAACTTTAACCTTGATCACTGATCCATTAAATGAGGTTAAGGTCAGGTGAACCATGTCTGACAGACATGTAGACGTTGCAAGGAACCCATATATACCAAATACGGTTATCCTATTACTCATAATAAGTGAGTAATTCACATGACAAAAAAACTCTTTTTTCAAGCAGTTGCTGAACCATGAAAATGAGGTCAAGTACTTTGGACATGTTACAGACAGAAACTTCGTAACATAAGGTATCTGCATACAAGATATGAAGCATCCAGGTCTTCTACCTTCTGAAATATAAAGCCTTAATCAATTAGTTAATGCTGCTGCCGCCGGTTATTAATACCTATTTCTCGCATACTGCGACTTTCATTGCAGGCCAGACAAAAATAACAAAAATTTGTACCAACGAATATACATTAATCAGTAGTTAATGGACAGAATTGATTGCTGTAGGGCTTGTGGACTCCTTCAAATAAACACATTTATAACAAAGATTTTATTAGGACAAGTCTTCAACAACAAAAAATATGAACAAGAACAGTTGATAATGATTCAAAAACTTCTATAAAAATGAACATAAATGCTGTTGTTGTTGGACTGTATTGAATCTAACTCTTCTTACATATGCATTCTGATTAATTCCAAATAATACTATTTTTCAATTAGAGGCTCCAAAGCCTGCATGTCTCTGATAGCATCAATGGCCACCCTCAAACCAAATAAAGCCTATTAAGCCTCCTCGTTTTGACAGCAGCAGTCAGCCTTTACAGTAATTCTTTTTTCTTATTTGAAAAAATGGCAAACAAAAATTTGAGAATGAGGAATTTCCATGAAGTACTTTGATTCAAAATTCTAGCCAAGTAATTACAGACAGATAAAAATGTTATTTCTTATTATATCAATAAATTGCTTCGCCGAGAGCAGCTGGATACGACCGCAAAGGTCCAACCCTGAACAGTTGGGGCAAAAATGGACACAATATTCACGCTTGATACAGGTCTGAATTTGTATAATAATTGGAGGTAATCCAAACATAACTTTGTACTTTTTTTTAATTGTCCATTAACGAGGAAACCCTTGTTTTTCCCCCTTTTTTGCCCCTAATTCCTAAACCGTTTGAGCCATAACCCCCCAAAGCCAATCCTAACCATCCCTCTGTGGTATGGAAACTTGTGGTATAATTTTAACCTTCCTTTTGTGGTTATAAACCTTGTATTTAAATTTCATAGATTTTTATTTACATTTACTAAAGTTATTGTCCGGAAACCAAATGTCTTCCAACGACGTTGACGACTTGAAACCAATATACGACGGCAAAATTTTTTGCGGTCGTTTAAAAAGGTTTCTATAAACATGCATAGTTACAATATTAATGTCATGTATGCAACCTGATCAATACAAAATGAAAACTTCTCTTTAGTCCCAGAATCATCATTCCTATAAGGCTTGACCACATTTTATACAAAAAACTGCAATAAAAAACATTATTTTTTAAAAAATGTAAATACAGGTAACTTAACAGGATTTTGATATTCTAAGAATTAAGGATTTTTTTTATATTTGAAAAAAATGTTTTTTTCCTTAAAACTTTCGAATCTGTAAAACTTCTTACTTCAAATCAATTAAAATTAAATTTATTTTATCTACAAAATGACATTTTCTGAATTAATTAATTGTTCAAATATAAGTTCACTCACAGTACAATGACTACAAAAAAAAAATTAAGAGCTGCACCATGAGTGTATGAGATGCTGTTGCTCTTTTTATCTCAACTTTATGCTTTCAATGAATATAAATGTAAGGTTATCTAGAATTTAACTAATTTTTTGGCCTCAATTTTGGAAGAAATAAATTTTCTAACCATCCAAAGTGTGAAAAAGGGACAGTTTTCAACTATTTTTCCACAAATCAAGTTACATAACTCCGCAATGTCTATCAGAAATTTATTAAAAAAACAACTAAAAGGGGCTATTTTCAATAGATATAACCAATTCACCAAAGTTTCATGAAAATTGCTCAGTATTTTTGAGTTATTGTCGGGAAACTGGAAAATACCCCTTTTTTTATGAATACAGTTCCAATTCTCGAAAACATTAGATCAGATTTTTTTTTAAATCGAAAGGGAAGTTATGTCAATATATAAAAACAATTCAAAGTATCATGAAAATTGTTCAAAGCATTTTTGAGTTATAACCAGAAAATTGGAAAATTCCACCCTTTTAAGAATAAAGTCATGATACTCGGAAACGTAAAATCAGAAATTCATAAAACCCAAAGGAAGCTTACGTCAACAGATATAAACAATTCACCAAAAGTTTCATGAAAATTGGTGAAAGCATTTTTTGAGTTATTGTCCAATGTGTTGATGACGGACCGACAGACAGTTGGACAACAGTATACCATAATATGTCCCATAAAAGGGTGTATTAATAAAAACAGTTATCAATAGGCTAATGACTAACCATAAGCTGTATAAGGACCGATAACACCTTTTCAATGAATAACATAAAACAGTCCACAAATCGCTACACTTACCAAACATTCAGAGATGTGTATCCACCAAATGCTGGGGATGGACTTTGTTGGTCCACAAGGAATAAAGAGATCACTATGAATTTAATATAGGGATATTTTGATATGTCTATCATATTTAAGTACATAATTCATACAATTTTGGTCATCAGCATCATACAAAGAAAATACTGTTTACAAAATATAGTAAACAGCTATGGAGAAAACATTTTCATCTGAAAAACTATGAAAAAATGTCCCTCAAATATTTACAAACCATCTCTAATTTATTGGAAAAGAAAAAAAAACAATTTTCAATCTGGGAACAGGTCATTTATATAGAACAAACAGTAACATAATAAAGCAATAACTTTGTTAAATGATGGATTAGAATTACAAATTTTCATTATGTTCTAATGGGCAACAATAACATTAAAACTTAAAAAACCAACCTAATTCTTAAAAAAAAAAAAACCAAAAACAACAAAAACCATCAATATAGATTCATCATATGAGGTATGTGAATTAACAGAATAGGCATGAAATACAATGTATAATGTTTTAGTTATTGCAACAAAATACTTAAAAACACCAGGGGGAAACTGCAAAACATACTTGAAAGGGCATTAGCTACGATTAAGAAAAAAAAATAGAATATGATTTACAAAAGCAGAACATTGAAAAAGTATTTTACTATTAGCATTTAGTTTGGTACAATTTTGTCAAAATAAGCTAAAAAAATTTTGCTATGTAAATTGGCAAACACAAATTTGACAGCTAATGCCCCTTTAAAAACAGTATCTTATATTTCAAATTTTTTCCACTAGTTTAATAAGACATTCACATTTCCTTAGAACTTAAAAATTAACTTGACACTGGCCAGTTCTTGTACTTGATATTTCAACATTGAATTTTTACATGTAAAATAAAATAAATGTTATCTTTATCAGCAAAATTTACAAATTTGACAAATTAAAAAAAAAAACATCTCTTAAGAATGGAAACCATCATTAATTTGCTATTCAGAATCATCTTTCATATTTTAAGTTAGAGTTGTCTCCCATGGTAAAAAACTCAAAAACAACAATTTACTGTTTATTTAGAAATTTTCACTGATAAAAATATTGCTAATTTCTGTTTCCAGAAGATAAATTTGTATTAATTGTTTACAGGATGTGACTTCAAATCCAATTATTTGCCTAACTCAGCCAAAACTGAGGACCAGATAATTTATATCATATACCTTGATGTTACTTTAAAGTGCTGACACTTTGAACAATTGTATAGAAAAATAAGATATTTTCATAACAGGTATAACTAGTTGTAATGACACATTAACAGATAACTATGATTAATCTTCCAGAGCAATGTTCCTGAAGAGGTAGGACATGGATTCATTGTTGTGTATTCTGCGTATTGCCTCTGACAACATGACACTGATGTCAACAGTCTTTATCTTGTGACACTGCATCTTCTGAATTTCATGTGGAACTGTATTTGTCACTACAACCTAAGAAGACATTTTAATGAAATACTAATGCTACTGCAGTAATATTTCTTTGTTACAAAATGTATATTTTTGTATCACTGTCTCAATTTGAAGGTGTTTTTTGCTGTTGTTTTTGGTAAGTTTTTTTGGTTGTTTTTTTTTAGTAATATTAATTTGGATTTTATTTTCCGCTTTCTTTTTGTATTGCAATTTTTTATGCATATAATTGTTTCTTTCTTTTTATTTGGCTAAGGATCAAACGGATTTATTTGTTGTTTGCTTTCAATTTTCAGGAGGCTGTTCTATATGCTTTCTTTATTTTTGTTTTTTTTTAATTCAGCTTTGAGCATACTCGATACCAATTTGTTTACTTTGTTCCAGTTATGATTTGAACTTATTTCCCTCTAATTAATTAAAGTATTTCTCTAATGGAATAAAAATGCTTAAAGCATGAAGTATGGAAATAACCTGACCTTGTTACCTATAAAGGCCTGTTCATAAATTAATCAGGTAGGGATGGGAAGCACTCAAATAAAATAAATATAAGTGGTTGCATTTTCCTTAGAATTTTATAGGAATTTTTAAATGGAAATATTTATTTCATGGGTGGTTTTTGTCTTTAAAAAAAAAAATCCCTTTGCCCCTCCCCCCCCCACCCCACCCCCCCCCCCCCCCCCCCCCCCCTTTGCATTTAATGCTGGAACAGCCCTAAGTGCATTTGATCTTATCTGAAAAACAAAAGAAATATATAGTTTTCTCACCTCATCAATACAAGATTCTTCTATTAACCTGGGTGCATCAGATGACAAGAGACCATGTGTAGCCATTACAAATACCTTGTATGCACCACGGTCTTTTAATACTTCGGCTATTTTGACAAAGGACACAACATCATCAATCATATCGTCCTGGAAACAATAAATCATAACTTAAAATAAATAGTATAAATAATTTATTTTCTACTCTTTTAAGAAATCAGGAATGATTCTGCCCTGAAATAAAGTTATCTGAAGACCATTAAAAGTCATCTGAAAATATCTCCATCCCTTTCTAATGTTTCATTTTCTATACCAAGATCGGCAACTTTTGATATTTTTTTTCATGAAGCAGAATATTCGATTAAAAGTTAACAATTTTTCCAATTGAATATAAAGTTCTAAAAATATGCTGAAGATACTGAGTTTTTTACTCAAGAAAACTGTATCTGAGAAACCTATTTTTACATATTGAAAGAAATTGACACTAGGGAGTAATACCACCATTGTTTTTCCCTTATTAGTCTTTGTCAAATTGGCACTTTTCAAAAAATTGTGCAGGATTTATCATTGTTTCAAATAAAGAAATACTTGGCATGAGAAAAGTTTTATTCTGTCCAGTACTACAGACAAAATTTCACATAACATTTCATTGCATATAAGGTAATAACCATCACTGGAAGTTAACCGATCAAATTTCCACCCTTTTTTTCCTGTTTACAAGCTTTAGTAACCATGTAACCTCAAACTTCCAAAATATTTTATACAAACACCAAATAAAAAAAGCAATACTTTAACATGTAAGTTATGAAAATATTCAAAGTCAATGAACCATGACTGAAGGTACAGGGCTAAACAATCTCCATGGAAATGAGATGTGCCAATGTTAATTCAACTGCATTATGTAACCAAATACAATTGACTTATCATATGTCGTTCCCTTTATCCAAACCTAAACACAAACATTAACTTGTAAACTATGAAAAATTTCAAAGTCATTGAACCATGATGAAGGGGTGGGGCTATATAATCTCAAAGGAAACGAGACCTGCAAATGCCATCTCAAACTGATCTAATCAAAAGCTAATACATGTAAAATAAGCAAAAGTTACAAAGTCAATAGACCATGACTGAGGGGGCGACGCCAAATATTCTCCATGGAAATGAGATGTGCCAATGTTTATACAACTGCATACCAATTAACATTGGCCTACCACTTATGGTTCCCCTTGAACTGACCTAATCACAAACTAATACATGTAAACTAAGCACAAATTTCAATGTCATTAGACCATGACTGAGGGAGCGGAGCCAAATAATCTCTATGGAAATGAGATGTGCCAATGCTAATACAACTGCATACCAAATATCATTGACCTACCATTAGTGGTACCCCATAAACTGACCTAATCACAAACTAATACATGTAAACTAAGTAAAAGTTTCAAAGTCAATAGACCATGACTGAGGGGGCAGGAACAAATAATCTCCATGGAAATGAGATGTGCCAATGCTAATACAACTGCATACCAAATATCATTGACCTACCTCTAGTGGTTCACCATAAACTAGACCTAATCACAAACTAATACATTGTTGATGCCGCCACCGCCGGAAACAGCATACCTATGTCCTGCTTTTTGACTCTGTCAAGGCAAGACAAAAACCCTTATCTACTGGCTGATAGGTAACAATACTTACAACAATTATAGCTATCCTACCACTCACATCACCTACTACACTTAAAGGTGGCTTCTCTTTACACTGTAAAACTGAAAACAAAAAGCCAATTTATTAATATACTCATCATATATACCAGGATTAAGTTAAGCTATTGTTCCATAATTTCTTTTATGCTAATATTCAGTTTAAATTTAGAAAATTCACTAAGGAATAATAACAAGTTGTGTTTCCATGGATATTTGATTTTGTGGTTTTTCCAAAGTCTGCATACAAGCCTTTATAAATGTTGTGGTGTGTTGAACATTTAAATTCCTGGTTTACCACAACCCAATAAATCAATGAAAATTGGTATCAACAAATAATAGTTAACCCACAGTAACTTCAATGGTTTATGATTCTGCACAGAAATATATGTATGGGTCAAGATTTACACAAATCTTCAATATATGAATGGGGAGTGTTTTTTGTAAATCCCAGCTTCACATATCTGATACTGAGCCCCCTTTGTGGCTGGTGAAAATTACTGATGCATTTGTATTCTGCAAGATGGAATTTGGTATGAAAGCGAGTGCATGTTTTAAGACTGTCTGAGTGGTTGGATTAATCTGTCTGTTTCTGGGATGGTAACTAGTTTCTGGGGAATTTTGTGAAACATGAAATGGCATACATTTGTTCTTCTGTCTGCTATGTCATTAAGCAAAATATGTAGTAGCTAAAACTGAAGTAAGGGCCCTAAACTGAACTGGCATAATCGATTGATTTATTTGCCTTTTCCTTTACTGACGTTGAACTGACGTGAAAATTACAACAAAGAAAACCAAGTATGATAGGAGCTTATTGCATATATTGTTTATATGATTCTGCCATTTTAAGTCGGATTTGATTTTAATCCAAAGATATTTTGCCTGTTAATGTGTTTAAGCACGTGGCCAAGTAGCTATAAGTGTTATTGTATATATCCTCAATGATTGGCAGTTAGTTACCCTAACATGTAACGGAAGAATAAAATTCACAACCTCAACACAAACATTTTTAACTGTGCATATAAATATTCTTTACTTATTTGCAGATAGTCTGATACTCTTAATTGGAGAAAAGCTAAAAAAATATGGTCACTCTACATCCGTTTTCATATTGTGACCAATTCTGTAATGGAAGTAGACATGCTTGTAAGTTTGTAACCTTGTAATGGTAACTGGATTTTCATTTTTGTTTGATGGACTGGACATTACAATTGTCAGATTGTTTTGAAGAGTTTTGCAGTCACTTTCAGTTTCAATTACTAGATATGCAATAACATCATCTGCAAAAAGGCATATTGTGGAATGTAAGCAAGATGGTATGTCATTTTTATAGATTAAAAACAAGCATTGCCCAAGAACAGAACCTTGGGACACTCATGACTTTACAGGAAGATAGCCTAAAATCCCATTCTCTAGGATTATTGCTTGGGTACAACGTGATAAAAAGCCTTTTATCTAAATTGAAACTGTGGTTGTGGATTCCTTATGCAAAATTAACTTTAGCACTGAAAGGAGGTTTTAGCTTTTCTGTTTGGAACATTGTAAAATATAATTTACCATGTATATATATTTACTGAAGATCTCATCCAATTTTTCAATAAAGACTAAATATTCATTTAAATTTGATAGGGATCGAACATAATTTGAACAGCCACAGTAATGGCAGTAGTATTTGACTTGCTTTAGTGAATGTTAGTGAGGAAAGGTGATCTCTATTGATTTCTACAAATTAGCAAACACTAAGGAAAAATACAGCCTCCAAGGAGATATCAGCTTATACATACTCAATTTTTCCACATGAGCACACAAAGTGAGGTGTAAATCAACTACTACTGCTACATCTTGATTGAAAATACACATTTTTTTATAGAGAGTTCAAAGACATTAAGGTTAATAACTGAACTGACAAAAAATGGGTACCATCTATTCACCATCGGGAAAATTTGCAAATGCTTACAAAAATTTGGGGCACATATTTGTATAAATAAAACATTAAAAAAGTTTGAAGGCTCTGGGTTAAAACTGAAAAAGAAATTAATTACACAAATAGGTACCCTCCCTTGAGAATTTTACTGGAAACTATAAAGTTTTACTCACTACTTATCCAGAGGAAAATCTACAAAATTCTCCAAATATGTACACAAAGTAAGGTGCACATTTTCATCGTGACATTCACATTACCACCCCCACCCCTTATTTCCCCAACAAGGTTGTTCCTGATTGATCTGACAATTGAGCTCATCCAAGGCTTTGATATTAGTGATCATTTATTTCCAATTTTAAGGGGGTTTGAAAGGAAGGTGTAGTCATGTTGACAACAAAGTGATGTCAGAATGATAGACAGACAAAAAGAACAGATGAACAGAGAAATCAAAATATTCACACCTGCAAATATATTGACTGTATAAAATGTTACCATGGTAAATCTCAACTTTTTTAAGACTTTTTTTTTTTTAAATAAACTTTTCCAAGCAATTAATATTCTAGTCAGGTCAATCATAACTGATATTTTCAAATTTCAGTTTTCATCAAACCACACTTTCATTTATTTTAACTCTTTAAACTCCGTCTGGTGAACCAACGCCTGTGTGAATCCTTTCAGTAAGAGTCCATGAAGTGGATACCTTGGTATGCCGGGTTGATTACTATTTTAACTCTTGTTTCAATATTGAGGAAGACATGTCATTCTGATAAGTCACCTTGACTGTTAACCTTTTACATAGTTTGGTTTTATCATTATCCTCAATATTCTATAAAGATCTAAGACATTCAATAAACTTTCCCCAATCACATTGTATAGTTATTTCAAAATGTCCATAAATCTGACTAAAGTCAAGGACCTATTCAGTGGTTGTCTTTATTTGTATATTAATATTTTTTTTCGCTAAGGGAATTTGGTGTTAAGAGTCAAATCTTTGTTAAAAGATGTACCCATATTTTGACAATGTTACCTATTACCGGTATGTCTGTTTTGTTCACGCATTGTTGTAAATATAATGGAATTTGATGCAACTGTCATACAAATGAGAGGTTTAGCACTATAAAACCTGGTTCAATCCACCATTTTCTACATTTGAAAATGCCTGTACCAAGTCAGGAATATGACAGTTGTCCGTTCGTTTGATGTGTTTTATCATGATTTTGCCATTTGATTAGGGATTTTCCGTTTTGAATTTTCCTCAGAGTTCAGTATTTTTGTGATTTTACTTTTTAAATCTACTCACAAATTTTTCTAGTATATATTAATTTAGAGACTAATTGCATAGACTATTAGGCTGCCATAGACCCTTGTCTATTGTTGCAGACTACATGTTGCCCTGTAAATTTCTTTTGTTGTTTTTGTTGTTGGATTGCTGTGTCATTAATTACCCTTAATCTCCTTTTATTCAAATCTGCATGATAAAGGATGAAGTCAGTCAAACATACTGTAAATTCAGAAATTATTGCGAGGTTTTTATTATTGCGAATAATGCGACTGGGTAAGTATCGCAATTGTTAGAACTCGCATTCAGATATCTGATGCATACATCAGTATGCAGATTTTCCTGACATCACAATAATTAGACCCACATTTTTGTCCATTCTTCAAAAATCACAATAATAAATCAACGCAATAATTTCTGAATTTACAGTAGTCATCTGGAGTCAGTTTCACAAAAAAACTTACGACTAAGATTGATTGTAAGTCAAGAACAATTCAGTATACCTATGATCAATCTTAGTTGTTCAGTATACCTACAATCAATCTTAGTTGTTCAGTATACCTACGATCAATCTTAGCTGTTCAGTATACCTACGATCAATCTTAGCTGTTCAGTATACCTACGATCAATCTCAGCTGTTCAGTATACCTACGATCAATCTTAGTTGTTCAGTATACCTACGATCAATCTTAGTTGTTCAGTATACCTACGATCAATCTTAGCTGTTCAGTATACCTACGATCAATCTTAGCTGTTCAGTATACCTAAGATCAATCTTAGCTGTTCAGTATACCTACGATCAATCTTAGTTGTTCAGTATACCTACGATCAATCTTAGCTGTTCAGTATACCTACCATCAATCTTAGCTGTTCAGTATACCTATGATCAATCTTAGTTGTAAGTTTTTTTGTGAAACTGACTCCAGATGTTTACCCTCAAAGCTTACTGTAAATAATGACAATTTGTCATTGTCAAGGGTTGACAAGTTATATGATACTGTTATATTTATAAAGAGATGTTGTATGATTGCCTATGAGACAACTATCCACCAGAGTCTAAATGACATGGATATTAGCAATTATAGATCAATGTTGTTCAGCAATGTGAGAAACCTGTATTCTAATGCATTTTTTATGTAACAATCTTTTTCATTGGCTAAAAGTTACCGTCAAATCCACAGTTGACCAGTCGTAACTAAGGAGGGACCCACCATTTTGAATTCATTGGATCAACAAATGTCAATATTACTACAATATTATCAAAAATAAAACAACATCTACCTAACAATCGCTGTTTTGATGTGATTTTATCCAAATTTGAATCGTAGAAGTAATGAAATTACCTTCAGTTTGTAAGTTTTCATTTGTATGACGTCATGTTTAGCAATGACGTCTTTGCGCCAAAATCATTCATGAAGTTTCGCGGAATTTTATTTTATTTCAAACTTATGCATTTTTCCAAACTCTAACGTATTATTTCTTTTTGTAATGCATTAGAATCGGAATAACAGTACTGTAGTTGAAGAGTTGCCACCGTCAATTTTGATTTGACGGTCGCAAATTTCCGTTTTACGGTCTCCGCTATGCGTCGCCAGTAAAACTGCATTTGCGATCGTCAAATCGCCAACTGACGGTGGCAACTCTTCAACTACAGTACTGTTATTCCTTAAATGTATGGCCCAGACATGAAAAATGTGAACAATTAAAAAGATAACTCATGAACTACATCATAATAATACAAATATGACAGACATGAACCAAAGATAACCACTGAATTACAAGCTCATTAATGATTAATATTAGTTTAAAATATTTAAGTAAAAAAAACCACTTTATATACGATGATATAGTGCACACTAAAAAAACTCCTCTTACTGTGCTTATGCAAGAGTCACTTTCACACTTCAGAATGGTTGAACACATTATTCATTCATTCAAACCAATCAACTGGTGAAAAACTTCATGTTATTCCAGTTGCAGCATATAATAACTAGAGGCTCTAAGGAGCCGGTGTCTCTCACCTAGCTCTGTGTGCATCTTCAACAAAGGACACTATCCAACATTGTGGACTAAAAGTATTAGTTTTTTTGCCCAAAACACAAACAAGGGTAAAATAAATCGTCATTTAATGGGATCAAAAAGAGTCTCCGATGATTTCGGCAAGATTTGACTTATTTGTAGATCTTGTCTAGCAGATAATTTTTGCATTTAAAAGTGTCTATCTAGCTTATAGTTTTCAAGATAATAGGCAAAATTGCAAACATTGGTAAAAATTATCATTAAAGAGCAAGAACTCCAATAAGGAAACGACTGACATTTTCAGCAATGTTCAATGATTTGATGATCTTTTTTTAACTTAAGTTTTTTTCTGTCTATTATAATTTATAAGATATAAGCCAAAAATGTAAACAAAATTGGTAAAAATCGTCATCAAAGGGAAATAATTCCTATAGAGTTGCATGATGACCTATTTGTAGATTTTGTCTTGCTGATCATTTTTGCAAATAGATAACAGGCAAAAATGTAAAAAAATTGGTAACATTCGTAACTTAAGGGCAATAACTCCTGTAGCAAGTCGTCTGACAGTTTCGATGTAAATGAACAACTTTCTAAATATTTCTGCCCCTGTCAGATTTTCTCTTTTCATAGCGGTTTTCAAGATAATAGGCAGAACTTACATTTTACATGTATGTTATATTTTTAGCCATGTTGGTTGGCAGGCGGGATCTTCAAACATACTTTTTAAACAAGATACCCCAATGTTGACTGTGGCCAAGTTTGGTTGAATTTGGCGGAGTAGTTTTCAAGAAGTAGATTTTTGTAAAAAGTTACAGATGACAACGGACTTCCTACACCGACAAAAACTGGTCGCCATGAAATTGCCACGAGTGCTGAAAGTGGCATTAAACAATAACAATCAATCAGGCACAAAAGTATTAAAAAGGTTACAAATTGATTAACAAACTGAATCAGCTTTAAACACAACCTTTTTTTTGAATGAGTTGAATTTTTTCACCTGTTGCTCAGTATGAATGAATGAATTCATAATGCCACCTAAAAAGGGGGTGTTCTGAAAGTAAAACTCCCTTGAACAAGCACAGGTATTAGCAGCATATGTACTATATAAATAGCAGATGTAAACACAAAATTTCACTAAATTTATTAATTTTTATACCAATTCTATAAAATGATTTCAATTCAAAATCTGAAAGCATTGTAATTATGCAGTCTTAATTAGGCGTACAAAAAGATATGCTGTGTTTCTTTTTACCTACATAAATAAAGGTAGGGTTTGGTCAGATATTCCTTAGTTTTTCACAACTCCTTTTTTGATTTGAACAGAAGTCTGTTAAAGTGTAAAACCGAGGAAAAAAGTTCTAACAAACCAATCGTATTCAAGTATTTGTATATATTTACAAAAATCATTTAAGAATTATCATTTTCTTTTTATTTGGGCTTATAATACTGTAACCAGACCAAAAGACTCAAAGGACATGCAGGAATAGATTGTATCCCTTTACTGAAAGACATTCAAAACAAGAATGTGTCCATAGTACACGGATCGGATGCCCCACTCGCACTATCATTATCTATGTTCAGTGGACCGTGAAATTGGGGTCAAAACTCTAATTTGGCACTAAGATTAGAAAGATCATATCATAGGGAACATGTGTACTAAGTTTCAAGTTGATTGGACTTCAATTCACCAAAAACTACCTTGACCAAAAACTTTAACCTGAAGCAACCAAAAACTTTAGCCTGAAGCAGGACGGACGGACGGACGAACGAACGCACAGACGGAAAATCATAATGCCCCTCTTCTATCGTAGGTGGCACATAAAAAATATTTCTAGCAATGTTTTTATGGTTTATTGTAAACATGTGATAGTATCTAGATTTTTCTCATCAAGGATCCTAAACTAGCTAAGCTCCTATACCTTTACCAACATACTTTGTCTTTAAACCGGTTTATATTTTTTATGGGTACTAGGTATATGTCTTACTTTACAAATAGAGCACCTTGCTTTAAATTAGGTAATATACTGTTAAGGAATTATATTACTTTAATTCTTAATTCTGATTGGGTAGTATTTCTGATATCTAATAAAATCACTTGTGTCGACATATTTATCTCCATATGTAAATATTTTACTAACCTAATAAAAAAAAAATCTTTAGGCCTCTACATCCATCTTTGCTGTCAGAATATTAGTAAAAAAAATTTAAAAATGTGTTTAGTTGTCCCACTTACAGTTACCTATCAAGGACACACAGACGAGAAGAAAATGAACATCTTGCTATATCTGCAATTTTCCTTCTAAAATATTACAGTACGAAAATAAAAATCACAGTGAAGGATAAGTGAAACATATGTAAAGTCTGCTATATGTATATCAAGCCTGTTTTCACATCTGGTTTGCAACAAATAAAAAATAAACAGTAAATTCAAAAATGTTTATCAAATGTATTAAAGCTGTTCTGATACTACCCGGCCACATCAAATTGATTATTTCTATTTTATTCCTTAATTTTCTAATATAAAAAAGTAATTAATTTTCCTGAAGTAAGAGTTGAAAATGCATTATTCATATATTTTTGCAGAAACTTTGTTTCATGTTAAACCCTTTCTAGATGACATCGCAGAGATTTAATTTCGAAATTATCTAATTTTTTTGATGTATTTTTATAACTGAAGATCCAAATTTACATATTCGTATTATTTTTCTACTGGACAAAAGTCATGAAAATTAGTTGGGTAACAGTATTTGGTGTGGCCTTATTCATCAACAAAATTTATTTGAAGGAGAGGTAATAATGAAAGTATTACTTTGGTTCTAGGTGGCTATTTGTATTATGTGACTTGTACAGTTTAATTGTGTAGCAGCAGACATTTAACTGTAAATTTGCATGTTATTTTACACCATACAATATATACAGTAAACAGTCACTACAAAACATCTAAAAAAAAACATTACCACTGTTAAAACTCCTCAAAATGAGCGTCATACTTACACCGAAAGCCTGAAAAGAATTTATCATCAGTTTAACTACTGGAGCAGCTAAAATTATTACTAACTGGATAGCTTCAACACCCTCATTATTCAAAAATATATTTGGAAGTACGTAGCTATCATCTAGTTAAGAGACAACTGTATTGTATTTGAAGCTTTGCTGACATCCATCGGTAGTTTTGCTGTCGCAAATTGAGTTTACCTGGTGATGCGTACCATTGGACTAAACGAAACATATTTTTAGCCCAAATGGCATCTCCCATCATTCACATGTTACATAATTATATCTGACTAAAGTCAGAATTCTCTGTCAAAAAGGATCTATATTTTTATTGCAATAAATTGTTCAGAAGGAGGTACATTCAGTTTAAATTATATTTCTGATTTTGTGAGCACTTAAGAGTTTTATAAAATTCTCTAAAAGTACTGCACTTGTATATTTCAATTTTTTTTAAATTGTACGGGTAATTAATTCACATATCAAATTGATGTAATAAATAAAGATAACAATTTATTAAGAAATAGTTCCTTATATGAAGAAAAAAAAATTTCTTGTCTGTAAGATTGTAATTGGCGAATTTCTGGATCCATTTCCTGTCAGAACAACATTGAAAATATCCGATTGTGTATGGTTCTGAACAAAATTTTCCTGAATATTCCTATCCTATTTGCCGATATATTCTTATATCCGATATTCGATTACACGATAAAATTAACATTAAACATATAGGGAAGGGTTTGGTGTTTTTAAATAATATTACAATAACCGATATTTTTTTGTTTAGCCGATATCCTATTAGGTGGAGTCTACTGTACTAAAATATATTGTAGACCTATCCATACAAACCTGGAAGACTTTCAAGACCAAATCCCATTCCCACATTGGACCCAGCAGCAGCCTCTGGTAGAGGAGGAGAGTTTCTGCCATCTTCTCCATCATCTTGTTCCATGATCTTATCTTCCCCATGAATAACAGCTATACCAAGACGTAACCTCTCTGCATATGATGTAGCTCGTTTTACAGAGTTCGGATTTCTAGCCACTATAATGGCATTTCTGTAATCTGGAATCTGAAGAATCAATCATTTAAGTGAAATATTCTTTTAAATAACAATGTCTTTATATGTTTGATATTGATGCATCTTTAAACAGTCCTACCAGTGAATCAAAGTATCTTTACTATATGTGCAGCAGTGGAAAGGGTATAAATACCAAATCCTAAATACTCTGAAATAGTTTTCTCAAATCCTGAAGAAGTTAATCATTGGTTAATGAAAATAATCCTTTATAAATTTGGTGCATCTGAAACACTTTTACTGGATTTACATTGCACTTTCATCACGAACAAGAGCTACATAAATCTCAAATTCTTTGACGTTTGATTGTAAAATTCATGTTTCTGATAAAATTGACTGCTAACTCCTGATATCTTGAAAAAGCTTACATATAGAAGCATTGATACCTGGTATCACAAATTATACTTCATAAGAACTTTATGTAAAATTCTGAGTTATAAAATTTGGAAAAAATTAACAAAAATAACATTACTTAACATTTTTCACCATAAAATATTTTGAAACTGGAGCTTCACAGGCATGACAGGATTATCAAAAATTAGTTATGAAATTAATGTCTCCCAATTAGAATTGTCATTTCAAATTCAGATAGCATTATTAATATACACAGTATTTTCTTAAATTGAATTAATTAATCTGTAACATGTCCAACATTATTCATCTTGTGAAACTTCTTCAAAACTGAATATTTAACTAATTGCTGCACTGATTATAATGCTACACATGATACTTACTGATTGTTCTATATAATCTATAAGAAATGGTGATGCCCTGAGATTCTCTATAGAAATGTCAAAGAAGGCCTGGATTTCTTTCTGGTGTAAATCCATTGTGATAATATGTGTCAGGCCTGGAAAAAAACACATTATACTGAAAGGACTGAAACCAATGAAAGTATTAGTAGACAGGTGTGAAGGAGAATGGAGACCGTAGTATTTTCATGATACTTTTTAGTAATTAAATATACATTTTTAATGAAAAAAACATATAAGCCCTATTGATCTAAATATTTGATACAAGTTGGTGAAAGTAAAACCTAGTAACAGTACAAGTTTGTAAAAATCACATACAAGTGGACATTGTAATGTAGGAAATGACATGGATTCAACCAACATGGCAGTCTCCATCACTGCTTGTGATGATTTTAAAACACAGAATGATAATTCAAGGTAAAAATGTTTTTAAATAGTAGACTTAAAAAATACCCAATTGGGGCTCTCTCAGAGCTATAAGATGCTAAAAAAACAAGTATAATATAGTATCATACCAATAAGTTAAAAGTTCTCTAATAAGCTGGCCATGACATAGATAAACGTGAAAAAAACTGAATTAAAAGTTCTTCTAAAAGCTTACCTGATTTTCCTAGCAAAGTAGCCATTAATTTACACACTATAGACCCTCGTTTCCTCATTTTACACTGTTTTGAATATGGCATGTATGGTACAACTCCAATTATATTCCTTGCACAACTGGTTTTACAGGCATAGGCCATAATCATCAATTCCATCAAATCATTGTTAACATCTCTGAAAAAAAAGGTGTATTCAATAAATAAAATTGTTTTCTCTTATAAATGTTATTTTTTATTGGAAAGTATCAAAATGTTTATTCTGTTTACATTCTATATCTTACATAGTACTAAGATACCATTAACTAGTACAACATAAAGACAAGTTAATGTGTATCCGTTTGTGAAATGGTATACAATGTACAAGCATCCTTAACTCAAAAAAAATATCTTTTTACATAACTGTACTGATCTGTACTATTGTAACACAAATAGGAAAACTTACTCTTTTCCTATTTGTACAGTGTATAGTCAATCTACACTTCAACAACTGACTTTTAATTGTATACAGACATATCCAAGACAACTTACTTTGTACCAGTCTGTACAATATAAACATCTTTTCCTCTGACAGACTCTTCAATCTCTACATTGGTCTCTGAAAGGAAAAAACAACAATATCTAATTAATTTAAATCTCTTAAATACTATTCATCTATGAAACCCTTTAAATCTAAAATAAAATGCTCTGCTGGACGCAGCTGGATACGACTGCAGAGGTCAAACCCTGAACAGTTGGGGCAAGTATGGACACTACATCCAAGCTTGATACAGCTCTAAATTTGGATTGTGATTAAATATTTGATACAGCATAGGTTTCCGACATAGAATGAATGAGGTCAAAGAACTTTTGAAATTGGACATTCACCTGTTATGGTCTAATATCCAAAATATAATAACAAAATAAAATTGACCGCAAAGTCTTTGAATGCTTTCATGTAAGATTTAAATAATTAATGCTTTTACCTCACCTTTGAAAAATGAGAACTGGGACCTGTATAAAAATAAGGAGATGTGGTATAATTGCTGATGAGACAACACTTCACCAGAGACCAAGAGACATGGATGTAAGCACTACCGGTATAGGTCACATTACAGGTCTTCAACAATTAGTAAAACCCTAAAACTACATAAAACAAGCATTCTGAGAGTATTGCATGGCAATACATAGTCCCCTACCGGGTAAAAATTCATTATACTGGAACAAAATCCTAACTTGTTCTATAACTTGTCATGGTGTAAACAAAAAGTAAATATCATGTCAATATCTTCAAGCATGACTAAAAACAGTGTTGAAAACTGATTATTTGAGTGAATTTTTCAAGTCCAAGGACCATAACTCTGCACAAAATTATTAGACTGAAACAAAAATTTGAACTTGATCTGTAACTTGTCATGATAAAACTATACACCAATTATCAATCAATATCTTATAAGCATGATGAAAAAAACATTAGATATGATTAATAGTTCTCTAGAAATAGATATGATGTAATACAGTGTATATCTATTTTCAATTTATAATCAGATATAATTAATAGTGCCAAATATTTTTTTCTTTCATTTGTCACAAACTAATACAGATTTGTAACTTATCTATAAAATGTCAACAACTTTTATCTACACAATGTAATGTATTGAAATATATACATTAATAAAAATAGATTATTATCTAATTAAAGGATTTCTCTTCATAATTTTTTTTATATACATAGCATTCAGAAAATTAGTTTATACTAAATAACAAACAAACCTGTCAAAAAATTCCTCAAATAATTTAACAAAGAATGTCTTTTCAAAAATGAGTTATCTCCCTTTGTACAGCAATATGGTTTAACATAGTATTCTAACATTAGATATGGTCCAGAGTTATGGTCCATAACTCTGGACCTAATCATCAGACCAGAATGAAATTCGAACTTGATCTATAACTTGTCATGATAAAACTATATACCAAATATCAAATCAATATCTCCAAGAACGAAGAAAAAAAGTGTGGAAAGCTGATTTGCCGGACTGACAGATAGACAGACGGACAGACAGATGGACAGGGTGCAAACCTAAAGTCCCCTTTGACTTCGTCGGTAGGGGACTAATAACTGTTTTATCATGTATTCAGAAACTTTAATTATGACATAAAATTGTAAGTGTTGTACAATGTTGTATGAATGAGATAAGCCAGTTTAGTCATTTCCTGGATCATCATCCCATTAGCTTTTACATTGATTCACTTCTTATCCAGCCTTTAGTTAGGATTTCATATTTTACTACTTAAAATAAAAGAAGCATTGGTCATCTTTGAAACTCATATTTTCTTTCTTGAAAATATTGGAAAACAGGACAGGAAGTAGGTGTCTGACAGATACAAATAAAAGAAGAATGTGTCTTAGGATTAAATGCCTCCGCTCAAGCTTTGCAATTTTCCAAGTTAAAAAGGGGTACAACTCTACATTTGTAGAATGGTAAATGACTCACAACCTAAATTTGAACTCTGTCTGAGTGTTGTGCTCCTTAGCAATGTGCATGAGTTTCATAAAATTTGCATGAGGCAAACTTAAGTTAGAGTGTGGAAACGAAAATGTGACTGACAGACAGAAGGACGGTCAAGAGTAACACTTAATAAAATACCAAAAATGTCATCCTCAAAACTTAAATATGGCCTAAAATGATATTTATCAGTATAAAGTCTGTCTCTCTTACCTCTGTTTGTCTTGTGGAAAACTGTTATCTCAGATAGCTTAATACCTAAACGTCTGAAAAAATAATAATAGTGTGTTCATGGTGTAAGAAAGCATGATTTCTATATCAGCAGATTAGGTGCTTTGAGTTTGCAAGCATTCCTTGATACAGTAGTGGTTGTTAATAAAAAGACATGAAGGTATACAACAATCTATAAATATTACAACACAATTTTATTTTAACCATAAGATATTGTTACATGGAAGGCTTACAGAATACAAAGGAGAAGGTTCACGAAGGGTCAGTATTGGCCTTGAAATTTCATGAAATTTAACTTCAGCAAAACTTAAATAACAAATATTTAAAAATATCAAATACAAATCTAACAGGCGCAGACACATTACAACAGTAATAATGTCATTATGATATTACAATTCAGTTGTGAACTCTTATAATGAATATCAATATTTGGACTAACCTTTGCTACATTTTGTTTTTAGGTTTTACTTCAGACAACATTGGTCCCATGCATGGACCAACCTCATGAACATAATTTCTTGTTAGGATATGCATCTCACTTATATACATTTTTTGTATTACAAATTTATTTTGGTCAAATGATGTGGTCAATAATTTTCAGAAGGAAAAAAACCTTAAAAGTGTAGTGAACAAATTTCTAAAAAAACATACATTGTGAAAAGAAGTCTGGAAGTGATTGATCAGATTTTTGACATTGTTTTACTTTTTTACAGAAAATATCAATGTCATCGTCAGGATCATACAAATGAAATTGTCTTCATCGGCTGTAATATGATCAAAAATAAAAACATTCTATGAATAAAAAAAAGTGAAAATAACCATGTTGTAAAATGTTCCTTTCTGAAGTATGAGGTATGGATTATTTCCCTTTTCATTTTCTAAATATTTTTTAGTCTTTTAATTCAATTGTTTGATAATCTTTCATTTACATTTACTTTATTTTATTCTTTATTTTATTTAGTATTTACAATTCGCATATGACTGAAATTTGAGGTCCTATATCTATTTGATATTTACTTTAATTTTGCATTGTACTTATTTTTTGTTTGGCCATTATTTTTTGTTTGACCATTATTTTTGAAAGAACACAGGGGTGAAACTTAACTTTGTAAGGCCAGTAGCCAGCTGGGCTACTAGACTTGAAAATCAGTTAGCCCAGACAAAAAGTTAGTAGCCCACTTTATTTCACTATGAGTATCACCGCCAAGAAAATTTTGAAATTTTAGACTCAAAACCCTGCATTCTGAGCATACCTGGAGGTGATTTAGATGCTTGGGAAAATGTAAATTTTGTCTTATTTTTGTTGTTGACTTCAATCAAATTTAATAAAAAAAATCATTTACAGAATCTTCATACCCTGTGTACCAGTTTTTTTTTTAATATCTTTTTAAGACAACTAAAGAATTCTCTGTCCTCAAATACAAATAGATGATCGATGAAATATTTAATTTTATTTCTTTAATAATCTAATATATTAAATATCTTGATCGATTTATTTTGCGTAACTACGTACATTTGTAAACAAATGACCCCCCTTTTTTCTCAAAAGACTTGTACACGTATTTCAAAAGCATTGTCATAAAATTGATATCTCCTCTGATTTTCTCTTTTTGGTAAACTGTTCAGTAAATAGGAAACTAAAATCATTTTGAACTAATTTTATTTATTTGTGGTCGACAATATTCTACTTTCGTTTTTTGACCTTCATTCTCTGGACACCACGTGGGCTTTGAAAAGGGAACTACAAAAGGTACTGTTTTCCAGATTCTTAACAACATTATATATATTATACGTTCTTTTATTTGACTGATATTATTTCATAACATGCTATTGTCATCTCTCTGAATTTCTTCGCTTTCTTGAAGCCAAAACCGAACAGGGTACCTATTTGATTGCTTCATATTGTAAATGACCATTGGAACGTCTCTCTTGTTATCCTTGCAAACATACGATACTTTCCGGACTTTAAATAGACGACCAATCAGTGACCTGAATTAACGTGAACTATATTTAGTCAAAGGTAAACACTGATTTTACATCCTTGTTTATCGCGACTTCGACTTTGCGACAATACGACTCTCGACACTTGCCTGTATACATTTTAAAAAGATTTTTTTTTCTTTTTGAATTTATATTTTTGTCAGTGAAGTAGCCGGCACTTGGAGCCACGGTAAACAGCGGATTTCCGTGTCGAGTACTTTGTTTTCAATTCGCCACCTGGGCTACCACAACTGAATAAAAAGATAGCCCAGGTCAATTTCTGGTCGCCATGGGCGACTGGGGGACCGTTAAGTTTTTTCCCTGGAACACATGTAATCAAAATATTATAATAATTGAGTATGAACTAACTGTTAGAAGTTGGGTTATCTGTCTTAGTGAAAGTCTCATGGCCACAGGATGGCTTCTGGTGGCTACTGTGGATTCATTATTATTCATGAGATACAAGTTTTCACAGATTTCTTGGTTACAGGTGAACAAAAAATCTAAATGTTCAAAGAAGTAAAAATGTTCTATTGGCTTGTAGTCAGAAATGTGAAAAACCACAAGATCAAATTTCCACAAAAATACAATTTTTCTTTAATCCACGAAAAAATTGGTGCACACAAATATAACTGAATCCAGTTACCAGCTGGCCATGACAACTAAATACAAATTTAAGGATGGCCTGCTTTAATTAATTTCTTGTTTTGGTATGAATTGATTTTTTTTACATTTATTAGAAAACACAGTCACACAGTGTTTTCATAAGAACTGGCCGTCGGCCAAATTGACAGTTTCAAACAGTTTTTTGGCCGGTTCAATCATCATCAGCCAAAAAAATATGGATGCATATTTTACTTATTGGATTATTTTGAGTGTCGCAATTATTATTATTGTTCTTGGTTTATATTTACATTTGAGAGTTCCAGTTAGTATTTCTATCGGAACACTCAGCCGTTATCTGATTCGAACAAGAATTCTTAGGAAAATCCAGAGAGTTATCAAGTATATATACAAAGTTGTGCAATGTGATGAATAATGAAACGTTCAATTACAGATTTTTTCCCCCCGCTAAGCAACACAAACGTGTGCATGTGCAATTACCCCCTTTACCACCCTCTTTAAAAGTAGTCAAGAGTTGTCTTAAAATTTGTCGTGTTGGCCTTATCCGAATTGTCTTTGGTCCAAGTTGTCATGTATTCTATTTCAGGAATGTTGTTTGTATTTTAAATAAAAATGAAATGCAGTTTATACGTCAGCGAGACAGCAACCCAATGACACAAAAAAAAACAAATATGACTAAAAATTATGTCATTTTTGTGTTGAGCCGTTTAGATTAACAAATTGAATGACAACTAAAAATTTTAGAGACAGCTTGTGTAGAATATCCTACTTTGCTATTAACTGTACAAGCTCTGGGTGAGAATTGCCTGCTAGAAGCATCATTGGACATTTTATACCAGGTCCTGAAGATGCCATGTTTTTCTTGGTTCGGTATTTATCTCCCCTTTGATTAAACTGGAATCAAACGACCTTGACAATCAAATGTGAAAATAAACTGTGATCATAAATCAAACAAATCACAGTTATTATGTATCCATGAAGTAGTTTTGATTTTAATAGTTTCAGATAAATTCAAGGAATATTTACTCTAAATGTGTGTTTTGATCAATTTGTAAAGTGAAAGTAAAACCGGAAGTAGAGCATTTACCCGCGGGATATTTTTTTTCATTATGTAAACAAACATATACACGTGCAGTTCTCATTTTCGCTTTCTCTGCATGTTGGCAGTTAGAAACTTTAAACTTATGCAGAGTACAAGGAAAGTTCTGTATATTATGAATGACCCACAAACATCAAAGTATTTCAATTCACCTAGTGTTACTAGATCTCAACTTTTAAGGACTGGAACTAGTGGAAGCTCCCAAAAATGCAGTAAAGAGTCAAATGATGTGCTTAAACGAAAAGTTAAGAAGGAGAAAGTAGAGATCAAATATGAGACTGATTTCAGTTATGAGTATGGAGGAGAATTCAAGAAAGAGAAATGGGAACCACCTACTTGGAGAGATCAGTTGAAAAACATACATGAAATGAGAAAGAACAGAGATGCACCTGTTGATTCCATGGGATGTGATGTAATAAGCGATGTTACAGCTAAACCAGAGGTTTGACAATTGATTTTGCACAGTAGCAGCACAAGCAATACACCAATCTCGAGATGTTTTTTATGAATGAGTTTCACCGATTGACCTTGGGTCATTTGGCCCAAGGTCAATTGGCGTAAACGACTTCATGGAACAATCAGTACATACTGTGACGTAATAACATTAGCATTGTGACATAGGAAATTTATGGGAATAAATAAGCTTTATTTAGAGTCCGCAAGGTATACAAAAGTGCATGAATTTGAAATTCATCTATGCAATTGTCTTAACTACACCGGGACTAATACATTTAGTAGGATCAGTAATAGAAAAAAAAGGATATGGGGTATCCAACCATGACACAAAATCAGCACATGCTAAGCATAAAAAAAAACACAGAAAGGCAAATGAACAGTGCTTTAATTGCTGTTCTTAATCTCAAAGTCACAGTGATAGCTTCAACACGGAGCAAAAAAACTCTCAACTCACTGCAAGTTCAGACGGCACCTAGTACTGGCTTGAGCGGAATTCTTTGCAAAAATAATTTGGATAGACTTTGTAAGACGTAACACCACCTAATCAGGCCCGGTCAAAACAGAACATACTGGAAAGTAGTACATAGATTTAAAACAAAATAGTTCCTACCCATAGCAGTCGGGGGACTTATTGAAATAAGTGATTTTTAAATCACTTATTTAAGTAGCAAATTCGAAGTTTTGTCACAAGTTGTGATTTTGTAGTTTTACCAAAATTTTAAACACATAGGTTTAGATAATATCTTTTCATTAGTGAAATTGAAAAAAATGAACTTTTTGCTTCTTTTAAGCAGCAAGGTTTATGCCTTTGATGCAATCATTTAGCTGCAAATTCTATTTTAGTTGAAAAAATGCTATAAAAATGGCTTTACATAATGAACTGATACTTTCTTTACAGATTTTTCCCAGCAGTGGGAGTATTTTTCCTGTAAAATTCAAGGTTTCATCTTATAGATTATGTAATAAAATTCTACTGTTTGCGATCAAAATTTCACTGTTCGGGGGTGTTGAAATTAGTGGGGGTTATTAAAATAATGATACTTAAAGAAGTGATTTTTTGGAAGGAAATTGATGTATGATACTTAAACAAGTGATTTTTATGTCATTACCCTAGATTTAGAACAAGGTCTTCACCTGACATGACCCAGTCATCCTATCAACACAGATGTTGGTTCTGATAATTTTAGCAACATAATTAGTCCCTGGATCATTAGTATTCTCTATTTAAAGCTACAATAAAATTAAGTCACTTAGTCTAGTGATTAATTTGTATTACTTAAATAGGTGATTATTAAAGAAAGACAACTCTTACTTCCAACCTTTATGGACATAATGTTACTTGAATCAGTGATTTAGAAAATCACTCATTTAAGTTAGTCCCCTGACTGATAAGGGTAAATCGTAAACTATGTAGAATATATTTTAGTATTTTAGGTATCAGATGAAAGGTGAAGGACTGGTGATCCTTGTAGAACACATTTGTAAAAGTTATGTCATTTGCAAAACTGTTACCACTCAAATTTTTCTTCTTCTATAAAGTCTATAGTAGTTTTGAATTTGTAACCTTTGACCTTTTTATATTCCAGTTAATTCTCAGATTATAGTTCTTGTTATCAAGTCAAACCAAATTTAGCTCTTGCTGTTTTATTTTAGGTGTACAGATACCAAGTCTTGTTGTCCTTGATGTCAAATGGATGTTGTCAAGTCAAACCAAAGTTAGTTCTTGCTGTTTTATTTTAGGTGTACAGATACCAAGTCTTGTTGTCCTTGATGTTGTCAAGTCAAACCAAAGATCAGATTACATCAGCTGCAATGTCAAGATTACGGGAACATGGATGTACCATTGACAACATTCTAAAAACAGATGATAAAAAGCTTGGTGAGCTGATTTATCCAGTTGGATTTTGGAAGGTATTCTTACAATAAATATACCCCTTGATAACTGTGGTGGGAGGTAAAGTGTTTTAGTAAATCTGTCCATTAGTCTGTCCAGTCATTTGTCTCTCAATTATACATGTTTCTAAACATCTTCACAGAATTTTGTGAAACTTTCACAAAATCTTACTTCCATGATATACTTTTGCACCTAAATTTTCTTAATTTTCTGAATAATTTTGAGGGGTTTATTTTGGCATTACATGGAATTTGTCATAGCCACACATTACAATATAAATTTGTATCTGCTTGGCCTCCTCTAAAACATCTTATTGAAATTTATTGAATCTTTCTCAGAATCTAACTATATACAGTCAGGGGTACTACTTGTATAAGTTATCTTTATTTACTTAAGTAAATTGTGTTATGTCCATTTTTTCTTATAAGGTTTGAATAATCTCCCCTTAATTTTCTCAAAAATTTACTTGTACAAATGTATAAGTAATTTTTTTTTACAATCCCTAAAATTCTCAGGTTTTGAGATGTAAAAACATTACTTTAACAATTTTTCTCTGGTTAGCTCATAATTATTTATTGGAGTTCAATGTTTCATCTCATTAATTCAACAAAACAACTAATTGCACAAGGCCTTCAAAAATTGCCCATTGGGGGCTTGTAAATGAGCAGTGTTCTGAAGATATGACAAACGAGATTTTCATTGTCCATGAAATTACACTTAAATGATAAGAAAATACATCTGCAAAGGACAGACAATTAAAAATTCTATTGGAGCAAAGAAGTCCTGAGAAATTCAAGAAAAGAAGATAGTATGACTTTTTTACTTGTATAAGTAAAAAAATCTGAATGTTGAAGGGACATTACTAAGCCAATAAAATGATTTACCTATACAAGTAAATAAAATACACTTGTATAAGTATTGTGTCAGATATAATGCCTTTGTGCACCACCTATTTTTTGTTTTGATCCACATTTTTTTTTGTTTCTCCAAGTAAATCATAGACATTCCTGCATGTGGAAGTGTGTATTATTTTGTGGGCTTTTAATAGTTTAACTTGATTACCTGAAGTTTGCAAGGTCAATTGCTTTCAATAGTAGTAAGCCAGCAAGATGGCCTGACTGAAGAGCAAATTATACACTCGATATCGTTACTTAATAAAGTTGAAAATGTTGGGATTACTCCAATTATTCACAGGCTCTAGACCCCCCTTTTTTAGCTCACCTGGCCCAAAGGGCCAAGTCACCCAAGTGAGCTTTTCTCATCATTTGGCGTCCGATTGTCGTCCGTCGTCCGTTAACTTTTACAAAAATCTTCTCTGAAACTACTTGGCCAAATTTAACCAAACTTGGCCACAATAATCATTGGAGAATCTTGTTTAAAATATGTGTCCGGTGGGCCAACCAACCAAGATGGCCGCCATGGCTAAAATAGAACATAGGGGTAAAATGTAGATTTTGGCTTATATCTCTGAAACCAAAGCATTTAGAGCAAATCCGACATGGGGTGAAATTGTTTATCAGGTCAAGATCTATCTGCCCTGAAATTTTCAGATGAATCGGACAACCCGGCCGTTGTTAGGTTGCTGCCCCTGAATTGGTAATTTTAAGGATTTTTTGCCGTTTTTATTGGTTATTATCTTGAATATTATTATAGATAGAGATAAACTGTAAACAGCAATAATGTTCAGCAAAGTAAGAACTACAAATAAGTCAACTTGACCCAAATGGTCAGTTGACCCCTTAAGGAGTTATTGCCCTTTATAGTCAATTTTTAACCATTTTTCGTAAATTTTTGTAATATTTTACAAAAATCTTCTCCTCTGAAACTACTTAGACAAATTTAACCAAACTTGTCCACAATCATCATTAGGGTATCTAGTTTAAAAAATGTGTCCCATGACCCCGCCCGCGAACCAAGATGGCCAACATGGCTAAAAAATAGTACATAGGGTAAAATGCAGTTTTTGGCTCATATCTCTGAAACCAAAGCATTTAGAGCAAATCTGACGATGATGAAATTGTTCATTAGGTCAAGATCTATCTGCCCTGAAATTTTCAGACCAATCAGGCCACACGTTGTTGGGTTGCTGCCCCTGAATTGGTAATTTTAAGAAAATTTTGCAGCTTTTGGTTATTATCTTGAATATTATTATAGAGAGAGATAAGCTGTAAACAGCAATAATGTACAGCAAAGTAAGATCTACAAATAAGTCAACATGACCAAAATTGTCAATTGACCCCTTAAGGAGTTATTGCCCTTTATAGTCAATTTTTTACAATTTTCATAAATTTTGTAAATTTTTGTAAATTTTTACAAAATATTTTCCATTGTAACTACTGGGCCAAGTTCATTATAGATAGAGACAATAGTAAGGAGCAAGAATGTTCAGTAAAGTAAGATCTACAAACACATCACCATCACCAAAACACAATTTTGTCATGAATCCATCTGTGGCCTTTGTTTAATATGCACATAGACCAAGGTGAGTGACACAGGCTCTTTAGAGCCTCTAGTTTCTAAAAAAAATTGTTTTTGTGTCTTAATTTTATTTTTATAGATATTCTGTATATTTTGACTTATTTAATGTGTTCTTGCTCTTTTCCATACAATATTACGACCATCTATTTTTTATTACTTTTATTGGCAATCATACCACACCTCCTTATTTTATATATTTTAAATATTTTACTAGTTAAAATTATCCCCCTTTGTCAAGTCTGATACTAGTAAATCAGTAAATTAGTACCCTAGTTAAGGTGATGGTAAAAAATAAGTTAATTATACATTTTATTTCAGAGAAAAGTGGAGTACATCAAAAAGACTAGTAAAATTCTGTTAGACCAGTACAATGGTGATATTCCTAAAACAGTGGAAGACCTCTGTAAACTTACAGGTGTTGGACCAAAAATGGCTTATCTAGTGATGAAATGTGCATGGAATGAAATACAAGGTATAGGAGTGGATACACATGTACATAGGATCTCAAACAGATTAGGATGGCATAAAAAACCTACAAAACAACCAGAAGATACAAGAAAAAGCTTGGAGGATTGGTTGCCAAGGTAATGTTGAAAGCCTGTCTAGGGAATTTATTAATCAAAGTCGCTCATTCTGTAATGACCTCCTCACAAAATACAACAAATATCTGGATATTTGTGAACATTCTTGCAGATATGAAGCCAATTTTTTGAATAAATGACAAATTATAACATTACCAAAACGTTCAACTGTCAACTTATATTTGTTCTGCCTAACAGAAGTTCCCCGGGAAACTTTGTTATGAACAATGACATAATATCTGTTCCTGTTGGAACAAATATTCTATACCATTTATTCTGTAAGGAACAAATTCTGTAATATGTTTTCCAGTGGAAAAAATATTACAGATTATTTGTTCCATTTGGAACTTATATTATGAAGGAACTTCTATTTCATGACACAACAACACTAATACAAGCGAACATAGCTTATTTTAAGAAAATTTATATTGTCCAAGCTATTTTCTTATTTCTAGTAGATATAGGGCTGACACTTGGTATGTAGCATTATGATAAGGAGATAGTTATGTATCTTGAGAGTACATATATTATTATATTTGGGTTACTTGAATTCATAACAAATTTAATACCTATCAACACGTGCCACATATATTTTTTCTATTGATTCATAGTATGTCATTTTGAGTACCATGAATTATCTTACAAATGAATTTATTTACAGAGAATTATGGTCAGAGATAAACCACTTGTTAGTTGGATTTGGACAACAGACATGTCTTCCTGTATATCCAAAGTGTTCTGTGTGCTTAAATAAACAGATTTGTCCATATGGGAGAAGTTACAAATCTCCCAAGAAGTCACCTAAGAAACTGCCAAAGACAGAAATCAAAAAAGAGGAACCTGTTTGAAATGTATATTTTATGTGTAAATAAATTGAAAAAAAGTATAAACTTGTCATTATCTAGTCATTCTGTTTTTGTACAACCAACAAAAAGCTTTGTTATTGATACTTGCATAATTCAATACTAGAGATTCATTTTTCATACATGTATTGTAAGATCTTCTGGAAGAGATAAATATATTTTTATAGCTTGGTAGTGTTGGACATCTAATTCCTGTTTGGCCATACTTTGAATTTTCCAATATATAAACTGAACTTATAAATTTTCTACACATACTTAGCCAGCCCCTCAACTGTGATACATTGTTACATGTGTGCCTTTTCCAGATCTTTTGGATACTTATTTCCTGTTTTCCAATTCTAATAATAATGAGTTTGGGTATTCTTAATACAAAAACCTGTGCTTTCTTGTTTTTTAATTAACCTTTTAGCCTTGCAGCTTATGTGAGTTTATAACTTTAATGTATGATATACTGTCACTACATGTAGGTAGTGTGATATCCTGTCTGACATAGTTGCAACTAGAAGAATGGCCCCGCTCTCAAATTTTCAAAGTCCAAAGCCTGTAATTTCAGCAAAAATCAGCATAGCAGAACCAAACATTAACTCGATCTGTAACTCGTCATAGTAGACTCACATACTAAAAATCAGCTCAATATATGAAGCAGTTTCGAAAAAAAGTCTTTATAATTGTTATTTGCAGAATTGCTGAATGGCGGGGCCATAAAAATATATCTCTTCACTGCATCAGTCATTATCCCTGATGTGAGAAATAAATAAAAGATGAGATTTAAAGAAACATTAACCATATACAAAAAGATATTCCAGCTATATTAAAAAAATGGTGCATAGAATAAATAAATCAGTCAGAAATCATAAAAAATTATTTTCAAATACTTTCATCACAGGTGAGGCAAACCCGTAAATTTACTGAACATGACTTTTCCTACTGGTACATATATAGCATTGTGGTCCGTATTTCTAAAAATCATGTCTTGAGGCTTTATGATGTTGCTATGTTGTGGTTAAACAGGAGTCATCAAAGATGTGTTAATGTTTTGATCTGAGGTAATCACAGCATCCTTCCAAAATTTTTAAATTACTGTTTTTGACCAAATCAATAGATTATCATAGTTTTTCAGCAGATACATATAAATATCAGCAATTGACATAGTTTGAAAAGTATCATATTTTTTTATCATTTCAATGCTGATTTTCCTAAAAAGCTTCATACTGTGACTCATTGCTGATATTTTTTCAATAAATTTCCAGAATTCCAGATAAACAAGAGTGCACACTCTGAAATGTCTCGCCTTCTTTACTGACTATTTATCTTATGTTGAAAAGTCTTAAAGATAAAGGTTTTACTACAATTATCAATTAACCTAAACATTTATAAATGAATTAGCACAGTAATATGAGTTTAAAAGCAAAAGATAAAGGTTTGTGTAATAATTAATCAGAAATTTAGAGCAAATTCCCAAAAGCAAGAAATATCTTCATTATTTGAATAATAAAACATACTGTTGAAAAGGGTAGATAACTCATGGTTTCACTGATGTAAGAAAAGACTGCTCAACGTGTTTCCTTACAAAGACCTTTTGTAGGATGCACTTAAAATTGTTCATGATTTCTTACAATTAATACAATGTATATTGAAAAAGAAAATATATTAAAAACTGTTATTTATTCTTAAATTATACAGCAATGTTCATTTACAATCAACAAAGTACATCATATAATAGCACAAACAAAACATGTCATACATGTATCAAAAGCTATGAAACAGGAATGTTATTAAACATGACAAGGCTATTCTAGAATGATGCTGATAGCACATGTAATAGATGTATGTTACATATATATGTATAAAACAATTTTTTTTGAAATTATAACATCACTTGTGACTCTCAAATGACTGTAAAAGCACTACTGGTCCAGCATGTCTAGTGGAGCAATATCACATTGCACTAGATTAAGTGGTGGAATCCAATAAAAGAAGAATGTGTCTGAGGACAAGAATGCCCCTGCTTTGCAATTTTCTAAATTAAAAAGGGGCATAACTCTATAAGAGTAAATGACTCACAACCCAAATTAGAACTCTGTCTGCGTGTTGTGGTTCATTGTGTATGAGTTTCATAAAATTTGCATGAGGCAAACTAAAGTTAAAGTGCGGAAAATGAAAATGGGACAACGGACAACGGAAAGACAGAAGGGCGGAAGTTCAAGGGTAACACTTAATGCCCCTGTTGCCTACAGCGGGGGCATAAAAATATATAGAAATAGTGTTATTTTCAATAGATATGTTACAAGATACAAATCAATGTGAAAAATACTCAAACTGAGGAAATAGCATGAACTTCACAAGAAGTAAGACCAGGTGCGACAAATAGGTAAGCATGTCTTGCTATGAATGATCACCCCACTTCAAGTGAAATCAAGATGATGAATAGGGTAATCTGTATATCAATAGATCGGACGACTATTCTGGTATCTCAAGATCTAACACTATAAACAAATCTCTAGCAAATTTGGACAAAGATGCATCATATCGGACAACCAATTTGTGATGTTGATCATAAAGTTTATGTAGTGTCAGAACCAGTGACAGAAGAAAATTTGAGGCAGTAATTGTATTTTGACCAATGGAGTTACGAGAACAAGCAAATCACAAGCATTGATCAACAGATTATATGTCAGTTCATGTATAAATCAGCTAAGAATTAAATGTTTCTATACAAGAAGACTTCTACCTAAAAAAATAATATCAAACCCTGCATTATTTGAAATACTGTGAAAGAACTTTCTATTTGTGGATGTCAGTTTTCATAGTTAGGGAAAATACTTAATGCTTTCAGTTTGTGGAACATGAATACGTAACCAATAGACAAAATCTGATGACTAAAATGGTTTTCAAATAAAATCCACTATTCGAAAATCAAACTGTAATGTCCAATATTGTTTACAATAAAACAAATAATACTCAAAATATAATGTGTCAGATTTAAATTACAAGGCAGTGAATTGAATACTTTTACATCAACATAGAATATTAAGTTATAACTTTGGTTTTTCATCAAATCTTTATGTGTTTGTTAAGTGTTATTACATTTTGAAAATAAAAAATTTTACCACACTACAAATATAAACTTGAATGTTGAAACCATATAATAGATAACTATTCGAATCCATAATTCTTTCAAATGCAACAACAGTAAATATACATCTTGCTTACAATTATAAATTGATTAATAAATATGAATGAGTAGAAATGAATGTACTACAGAGTTTACAAGTTGACATAACTTGTCAGGACTTAAAAAAACACTCCATTACATTTCCTATATATGCCAGATGGATGCAAAGCACCTTGAAAATATACAAGTAAATGGTGATTAGAAATAAGAAGATGTGGTATGAGTGCCAATGAGACAACTCTCCAACCAAGTCACAATGTGTAAAAAGAAAATAATTATAGGTTAAAGTACGGCCTTCAACACAGAGCCTTGGCTCACACCGAACAGCAAGCTATAAAGGGCCCCAAAATGACTAGTGTAAAACAATTCAAACAGGAAAACCAATGGTCTAATCTATATAAAAAACGAGAAACACTGAAGAACCACATCAACAAACGACAACCACTGAAACAGGTTCCTGACTTAGGACAGGTGATATTTGTTTTCTACATAATACAAACATTATTACTTTTTCACACACAAGAAACATCTTACCTTATTAATAAACAGCTGCGCCATGAGCGCATGATACGCCCATCGTCTTTTGTGTGAATTTTTATGCAATAATCATAAATAGTTTCTGACATGCGAAAACCCCCTTTTTACAAAAAAATCAATATCTCTAAAATAAAATTTTGAATCAAAACCAAAAATTATACAGAAATTTAGATTAATATAACTAAGAAGTGTGTTAAATTTTAAGCAATAATCATAAATAGTTTTTGAGATACGGCGCGACATTTGAAAACCCCCCTTTTTAAAAAAAAATTAATATCTCAAAAATAAAATTTTGAATAAAAACCAAAAAGTATACAGATCTTTAGGTTAATATAACTAAGAAGTGTGTAAAATTTTAAGCAATAATCATAAATCGTTTTTGAGATACGGTGCGACATGTGAAAAACCCCTCCCCCTTTTTTTACAAAATACTCAATAACTCAAAAATAAAATTTTGAATCATCACCAAAAAGTATACAGATCTTATGATTAATATAACTAAGAAGTGTGTAAAGTTTTAAGCAATAATTATAAACTGTTTTTTAAAAATACGGCGCAACATGTGAAAAACCCCTCCCCCTTTTTTAACAAATACTCAATATCTCTAAAATAAAATTTTGAATCATCACCAAAAAGTATACAGATCTTAAGATTAATATAACTAAGAAGTGTGTAAAGTTTTAAGCAATAATCATAAATTGTTTTTGAGATACGGCACGACATGTGAAAAAAAAACACACCTGTTTTAGTTACTAAGTCCCGTAACTCAAAAAGTTTTAATCTTATTTTCACCAAAAAGTATACAGATCGTTTGACCATCATAAGAAACAACTATGTTAAGTTTCATGAAATTTGGATAAGTCGTTCTCAAGTTACGGTGCGACATGTTTACGCCGGACAGACAGACGGACAGACGGATAGACGGACAGACGACATTTGTATACCATAATACGTCCCGTCAAAATTTTGACGGGCGTATCAAAAATGTTTTGCATTGGTATGTTTTAAATAAATAGGATTATCTGGTATTAGAATAATTTACAACTGAGTCCCCAACAGATAAGAATTTTGAGTAATTGATTTGTGATCATTGATCAATATATATGTGATCAGGGAATAAATTATTATTTCTCTAATAGATGTTAACCCTCTGCAATTTTTGTAACATAATAAAGTAAAATTAGAAGTGCATAGTTTCTTTTAAACGATGTTACTGGTCTCCTGTCATCAATGTTCATAGGCAGGGGAGTATGCTAGGTACCAGTGTAAACAAGTGAAACATGCATATTGGAAAAAAACAATGAACTTGATAGTTAGTGGTATATGGTAACAATGACATTAACAAGCATGTCAATAGTTATCTTTATAATTTGAATACTCAAAACTTGGAAATATTCATGGCAGTTTCATTTTGCTGTTTTTTAGCAGGAACAGTGCAGACATAAAAATGAAACTAGTACATGAAATCAAGCACAAGATTAGTATTTTACACACCAAACGTGAAATAAAAACAGCATCAATTTATATCTTAGAAACAAATCTTGGCAAACAATATCATTGAGGTTTAATAAATAGATCCAACCAACTGAACAGAAGATATAAATAATATTTGAAATATTATCTCCTATAAAACATACTTTATAATCAGTTTATGATAATATTTGGTATACACTGTTGTACGTAATAGTAAATGACAACTTTTGACTTGTATATCTGTATGATGAAACATCCTTTTATATGGAATCTATGCTGAGTGAACCACAATATACAAAGTGGCAGTCACACTCTTTTGGTAAGAGTCATACACACTCTACTTTTATTTGTAAAACACCTGCACTGGCTACACTGAAGTACTAGCAATAACACTTTTGTCAGTTTTCTGTACTATCAAGGCCTTCAGCAGCAAATTTTAAAGCATCTCTGATTCTGGAATGACTGGAAAAAAGATACATTTATTTAAAATATCAATTTACAAAAGTCATTTGCAAAGATAGTTAAAGTAAGCATAATTTTTTCATACTGTCAAGCTTCTTTTTCATCTAATGGTTTAAGTGTGATCTGGTCGTGTATCATTTAATATGATAATCAGCACTTCTAAAATGATTTTATCTATACTATATTTGAATTCCTAAGTGAACTATGCATCACTGTTTACAATTAAGTCATCTTAACCAGCAACTTTTAATATACCATTCTACAAAAAAGGGGGGATTTGGGAATGGGGGGTAAATCACAGAGGTAACAAAAGTGTTTTTAAATTTTCAATAAGCAGCCCCTTTTTAAAATTCATCACAACTCAACTTAATACTGCAGCTTTTCTATCAAAAACAAAAAATATTTCTGTTCATACTCACACTATCAAGTTTCCATATTTAATGAACTGCATAATGTGGGACAAAACCCTAATTTGGCAAACAACATATTGAACAGTACACAGTACTAAGTTCCATGTTAATGTGATTACACATACCTTAAACCAAAACGTTAACTATCTTAAACCAAAACTTTAACATGATACTCACCATCACATGACCATTGTCAATGAACTATAAAATATGGGTCAAAATCCTAACCTGGCATATATATTAAATATTGGACAGACGAACAGACCAGAAATCATAGTGCCCACTAATATTGCAGGTTGGACAAAAAATAGTACCTTGATGTTTTAGTAAAGTGAATGGACTGTGATACGTTGTTTTTAGGTGTTCTGCTAGAATCTGTAGGTTGTGATGGTAATTTCTCTAATGTGGACTTCAGCTGTTCCATTCTAAAATAAAACCAGAGGATTTAATTTTGTTGGATGATAATTGTTCTTTAATATCAATTTAAGGGATAATTCTAATCTGTTTTTTTAGAAGATTTCTGTTATTGTCAGTTAAGATTTGTCTAGTATAATTTCTTTATTTTTCTTTATTATATATGGTTATATATATATATATGGTGATTACAATTGGCTTCAGGTATAGTCATTTCTGCTTTTTATTTCTGTGAACAAAATCAGCTGTACTCTCTAATTTTTAATTTTAATATTCAAATAAAAGGCATTTGTGTGTTTTAGTTTATCTAAGATGCACTGACATATTGTAACTGCATACAAGTGGAAGGTTTGCCATTGCTGTATAAAATGTTTCTCCATATGTGAGTCATACAGTTAAAATATTGTACATTTTTACTGCAAATGTAAAAGGTAAAGGTCTCAAACAATTAAGCAATGTATTATTGAATTTATAATAATAGTTGCAACATTGTATTCTGCTTATTTGAGAAATTTGAAATTCATTTAAATTTGGAACCAATTTGACATTAAAACCTATCCTATTCTTTGTTCAGTAAGAATTATAGTGATAGCTGTTCATGTGACAAAGAATGCAACTATTTGCTTTAATGACAGTGTTTTTAACTTGTGTACTATAATTTATAATCAGAAAGTGTTACACGATGGTTATAACTGTCTCTTTTACCTTTCCATAAAATTATTTTCTATAGATTTCATATCACTGTCCATTTGTTTCATCTGTGTTTCAACCTGTCTTACTGTAATTACTGTAAGAACAAACATTTCAAGTTAAAAATAGACAGTTCAATATAATATGTAACAGGGTGAATATTACTTTAATTTTTTTATATTCAGCACTCTAGTTTTATAACAATTTAATTGTGCAGTTCAAAGAGAGTTTCAATGGAATCAGTTAATTTTAGATTGAGCAAAGTCACAAAAATGCCATAACTGTTGTGACTTTATCAGAATACTAAAAATATTATGACCAACTATACAGAGAATGAATGTGAATGACACTGTAGAACATATTTCCTATATGTATAGTTGGGGAACAATCTGATTAAAAAACCAATCCTGTGTCCATGCTTTACTTACAAGGATCTGACAGTGCTCGGTTCTACTTTCTGTTTAAAAGACCTTTCAGGACCCTCTGGTTTTGTCATTGGCTGATGTGATAGTTACTAGAAAAGGAAGTAAAATAGAGTCTTGTCAGATCCTTGTAAACATGCCATGGATCTGTATTCTAATCAGATTATTTAGGGAATGTTGTCTCAAGTAAATAAAGACCATGTCTCTTTTTCACCAATTTATTGTGTTAGTATATATATATACAGATAGCTAGAGGTTGAGTTATAGACAATGCTATGGTTAAAACTTACTTGTTGAAGCAGACATTGGTCTCATCAATGGAGCGCCTCTATGAGCAGCTCTTTTCAAATGTGCCTAAAAATTTTGTAAATCATGTAAAAAATCAGCATCAAAATATCAACAGCAAACACATGAAATGTAAATTTTGTAATTCATACAAATGACAGATGCCTAGTGATGACAATAAATAACCTTCCATATCAGCAGATGAGCTAACAACTAATATTTTTCAAACTTACACAATTCTCATCTTTTCAAGTAAGTTCATTGACCCAACTTTTTTCAAATTTTCTATTTCTAGGTGCTTTATTACATAAAAATACATATAATTATACATTTTTCTTACAATTAACCATACCATAGTTTCTTAAAAAATAAATCCCATAATTTACTATGTATGTTTACAGCATTTGTTTTAATCTGTGATGATAATAACAATACAGCAAAATAATTCATGAACAAGGATTTGTAAGACTCAAAATAAGAAATTATGTTGTCAGAATCAAAACTGAATCAGTTTTATAAAAAAAATATGAAATATAAACAAAACCACAGAACTTACCCCGTCCAGAATATCTAGATTAGAGAACTCTGCCTGAATATCTGACATATAAGATATATGTACACCATCATCATCATTAGAGAACGGATTTCCAGATATAAATAATTCTGATAATTCTTCTAAACTGTTCAAGGAACACTGTAATGAAGCACACAGATAACATTTATATTAGTACAAAAATTATTGATAGATGAAAAAAAAACAGTAGATTTGTACTCAAAAGTCTTCTGAACAAATTTGTATCAAAGAGTAATAAAAGAATATTTGCACAATTATGCAAGTGGCTTAGTGCAATCAATATTCTATAATAAAAAGTACTTTTACTTATCACATGGAAACCCTGCCATGCTGAGTTGTTTTTAACAAATATGAAAGTTATATGTAAATAACCATGCTGCTGCACATTGTCAAGGTAGGGTTGGGATCATATCCCAAAAGGTGGCTACCCCTTGAGATAACATTGATTTTGGTCGATTTTGTGACCTTATTGACCCTGCTGGAAGGTGTGAATTTTTGTGTCCTGCCCTGAGAGTGGTCCTTGGGGAGCAACATTACCAAGAGTGAGACCATTTGAGGAAAACATTGCCTTGCTGCAGTTGTCTATGGAATGCCATTTCAGTCAAAAATGCCAAATTTCTGAATTTTTACAATATTTGACTGAACACAATCCTCAAACTTTTTTTTCTCTTTGTTTTAAAAGAAAGTTCCTCTATGCTGGTATTAATTTGTTCTGTCATTTTAAAGTTAAAGAGTTTTCTGTTAACCAACAATATTAATGAAGCAACTTATTTGGTCTGCAGAACTCATGCATGCCACAAAACTATTTCTTGTTTATATGCTATAATACGCTTTCTTTATATGCCTGTCCAAAGTCAGGAGCCTGTAGTTCAGTGGTTGTTGTTGGTTCATGTCGGTCATGTTTGTTTTTTTGTAAATTGTTTTGTTATAAATTAGGCCTTTAGTTTTCTCAATTGAATTGTTTCATATTTTTCATGTTGGGGCCTTTTATAGCAGACTATACAGTATGGGTTTTTCTTATTGTTGAAGGCCCTATGCTGGTTGCTTATAATTGCTTACATACACTTCATTTGAATTTTGGTGGATAGTTGTCTCATTGGCAATCATACCATATCTCCTTATTTTTATTCTGATGGCCTGTTAGTATTTGCAAGATTGTTTACGGTGTTTGCTGTTGGTTTATTCCTACTCCTGATTTTGCTGAAGTCATATCTTGCTTTTTTTTATTACCTTTTTGACTTTTCTAAATATTTTTGCTGTTTTTAAGTCATTTTCATCTTTGGGGACAATTTAAAAAACTATTTCCAGAACCAAAATAAGTGTTGATTTGTATGGTAACAGACCTATGCAGTACCAAATGTGATAATAAAAAAAATAATGCACAAATTGTATAGAAGCCTAATTTCATTAAAGCAAACACCTCTAAATTCTAAATGTTCTAATTTCTTATTTTTTCTGGATCAAAAGCAGTTAACTTTAATACACAAATATTTAAAGGAGAAGAGCACTTACCACTTCCTCAAACGAAGCAACATTATTTCTGCTAATATTTAAAATTTCTAACACAGGAAAAGAAGGTGGTATATAAGATAACTCTGATAGATGGTTGTCTGCAGCATGTAACTCTGTTAATAACCTGAAATTGTAAAACATTAGTGGAATCAGAGTGTTTAAAGTGTTTATAGTACTATGAACTGCAAATGGATAAATGTTTAATGTGACTTATCCTTGCAGCTTGTTTTCCACAGCTTATTGTTTTTCAACCTTTTAATATGATGATATGTATTATATATTTTTTTTAAAGAGTATTTTTTGGTGCTCTTTCAGGATGGTAGCAATGGTTCTGATGAAAATAGCAAAAATTAAGTACACAACACTTAAAAATTTTGAATTTTTTTGACATTTTTTTTGCCAAAAAAATTATATATTTTTTTCAATCATAAAATGTCGGGGGATGGCATGCACCAGGTGAAACACTTCCTCACCTCTGCCGTTGAATCGTCCACTGCAGCAACAACTCTTCAGACAGAGTCCTTAAAAGACCTGTTGAAAGGCAAAAATTCTTCTATTCTAATCCTATCCAAAATGTCCTTACATTCCAATGACAGTTGTTATTATCAACCCTTCTCCTACTCCACCTATATTTCAGCTAATTACAGGTAGTACAATTAAATCATGCAAATCTATCTTGTTCTCTTCCTGAATATGCATGAAATATTTGTCAGTGGATGTTATGATTTGGTGTCTTCCCAATTGTCCCACTTTTTGAAATTACAGGTAAAAAAGTAATGAAATTTTGTGGGACAATCGGGAAGATGTTTGTGGGACAATTGGGAAGTTTAAATGTGGGACAATTGGGAATTGTTTTGATAGTAATTAAATTATTTTTATAGTGTGTAGCAGGCAATTAAAGGTAACTAACCAATGTAACTTATAAAATAAGAAATAAACATGAACAAATAATAATATTTACATATTTTTTTTTGCATATATTAGCAACAAAGTATCATCAAACACAGACTATAATATATATTTAGTCATAAAATAGCACATATCAAGCACTTCTCAATTCTACATTGATATATAATAAAAAGAGTTAAGCACACATAATAAACAGCTTAATACAATAAAGTACACACAATAAACAAATTAATTCATTAAAGCACACACATGACACATGACACGAAGAGCAGATACTATTAAGCACGCACAATGCATAAGATACAACAATAAAGCACACATGATTCATAACTTAAACATCACAACACATCATATAATTGCAACAAACTTAGTCAAAATGTAACAAATAAGTCAGAAGCAATGTCAGCATACTGAAACACAATAACTTCGCTATTCTGAAGATGGCCTGAGTTCCTGTAGGCATTGATTCACTTGTTTGTATTTTGTTCTATATGTTGGTCCTACTCCCCAATCTTGGTACTGAATGATAGTCATTTCGTTTCCTGCCTGCTCTTCTTTAAGATAGTTCAGTAGCTTTTACTATGTTTGGGTGCGGTACTAAGATCATCTTCTACAAGCTACTGTGCCATCCATCGAGGTGGTTTGTCGTCCTTGGTCCTTCGGTTTGGTAATTGTTCCATAGCTGCCTGTTGCTTTCAACCCAGTATGTTGTGACGTTATCCGTAAACGAAGTGATATTTGCTGTTGAGTCCAAATTTTCCAGGTCTTCAAGTGTATGGAACCAGACGTCGTCTATTTCTGTAGGTGGTACCAGAGGAAGAACTGCTGCCGACCGTACAAGTTGATGAATGTCTGGTTCTCCTTTATAGTTAAGAGACGAGTCTTGTTTACTGCACTTTTCGCCAAATACACTGAATATAGTGAAACAAAATGTCCTTCAATAGTTTTTCCTGGAAAGGATGCTCTGGCAGAATTCTAAACAGCAGCTTCGTAATCAATGAAGAAAGTTGTTGGGTTCAGGTTAATCTGACGTTTTAATTTAATTTTAATTTAATAATATTTTATTGTATTAATCAAGCAAAAGGATTGGACACAAGTTATTACAACTTATATTAAGTCCTCTCCTTACATATACAATACACATATATGATGACAGCAAACACATACATAGTATAGCGACAGTTATAAAGGAAGGAGTCACACGTTGGCATGGCAACAAAAAAAAACAAAAAGCAAATAGGACAGAGAGAAAAAAGAAAGCTGCTGACTTAGAACGTTAAAATCTTTTTGACTGTTTAATGAAATAACGAAAAATTTTAGAGTTAGTTTCGTAGTTATATGCATCTTTTCCAAACAATAGCGTTTCAATATCAATGTGTATGTTCATATGTATAAGATCATTAACCAGAGATATTCTTTGGTTATAATTTAATTGGCATTCTAGAAAGTAATGGATGGCATCTTCAACAGGAGATTCGCAGGAGCATTTAGAATCGTTCACTACATTTATCTTACTTAAGTCAGCATTTAATGAACGTTGGGTACAAGCAGTCTTTAGTAGTGTAAAGAATCTTTATATGTAAAGACTTTTTTTAATTGCATGTATTATTTTTAAATTTATTTAAAAACTTTAATAAAAAAATGTAATTAAAAATACAATACTGATATTTGTTTTACAAATAAGAGTAACATTATATTTTATAACTCAGAAATTTTATATTATTTCATCAAAAGTGCTTTAATGTGATGATTTAAAAGATCATATTTTAATTCTTGTTTATTTAGTAAAACAAACAACAACTATCTTGTTTATTTAAGAACATTTTACATAATAAAATAATGTGGGACAATCAGAACTTTTCATGTGGGACAATCAGAACTCTAAAATTTTAAAAAGTGGGACAATCGGGAATAAACCTATGATTTCACTTATCAACCAATCAATCAAATATGCATTTAATTTGCCACCTGTCATCATCAATCAAAACAAACAAAAGTAATTAGAGACAAGGTAATAGGGAAAACTAATACCTGCAACATTTTGTGAATGTTGATTTTTTCAATTAAAAATACTTACTTGAGCTTTCCAACAGGTTTAATTGTTGTGATTCTATTATTAGAAATATTCAATATCTGTAAATTTCCCATTCCTTTAAGTCCATTTATATCTTTTAAATCATTTCCTGACAAGTCTATATCTTGTAATTTTTTACAACGATTAAAATCCACAGTCCGCAAACGATTATTACTTGCATTTAATTCTTCTAAATTTGGTAAGTAGTTTACAAACTGCAAAAGAAAAACATTTAAATAATGTTGAAACTGACCAGTAAGTCTGGGAGAACATACTTTATTTATTAGTTGTTTTGGCTTTGAACTAGCTTTCATTCACCGCTAAAACTCTTAGATTGGAATTTTGTCTTTATTTCAGTTGTTTTTTGTGCTTTGTGTCGATCTGATGAGACAAGCCATTTCAAGCTGGTTTTTAAAGTTTGTTCTTATGTTGTGCTATTACACCACTGTCTTATGTTAGGGGAGGATTAAGGGCTCACAAATATGTTAACCTAGCCACATTTTATACGTTTCTGCCCCAAGTAAGAAGTAATTCAGTGTTTGTTGATGGTTGCTGTCTGTCAAATCTGTTTTTCATTTATTGTTTTGTTATAAATCAGGGGATTGGCTTTTTTTCATTTGAATTGTTACACATTTTGTTGAGTCAACCTTTTTAAAGCTGACAATATGGTATTTGTTTTTCTCATTGTTGAAGGACGACCTTTAACTGCATCAATATACTATATTTGGACTGTGTCGGATACTTGTCTCATTGGCAATCATACCACATCTTCTTATTTTATATTGTATAGAACAATGATTTTTATTATTAAAAAAAGTAACTAAAATTTAAAGAACCAAACAACTTTATAATCAGAAAAAATCTTCAGTTTGCATGGTCTGTTCAGACAGCTATCCTTGCATAGATACATACTTACCGACAAGTTATCTAACATATTACTACTGAGGTCCAGTACACTGAGATGTGAACAACATGACAGTTCTGGAGATTCTATTCTCATCAAGTGATTAGAACTCAGGTTTAATGTCCTTATCTTGGTACACTGGCTCAAGCTTTTTCCTACAGAATTTTAAAAATTCTTGAATTCTTTGCTTAAATAGTGACTTACATACTGACTTTGCAGGTCAATTTGAGATTTTCTCTTTTTAAATGTAAAGAGCTATTTGTTACACCTTGTTTATAGGTGGAAACAAAAACCTCTTAAAGTTCTTTAGATTTCCTAAATTTTTCTTATGTTTTCAACCAAATGCTACTTCTAATTTTGAAGCATTATGGGTAATATTTTCAAAAACTTACATCAAAACATTGTGGATGGCTAACAACATCCTAAACAATGAAAATAATGGGTGTTAATTTCACTTTATGTTACTAACAATTACAAAAAAATAACATTTCTTTTAAAATCTGAATTACGGCTTTTAAGGTTCACAATCTAAAAGATAATTGAGTATCCACTATCAAAATAGATTTAAAATACCAGTATACAGAAATATATGAAATTTGTATGATTCTGAATTTAACTGGTAATTTCCCATCATTCTTTAACACAGCTCCACTGCCTGCTACAGCGTAATTAAAGGTCAACATCTTATTGAAACTAGAGGCACTGTGAGCTTTAAATAATACCCATAACTCCATATACAGGAATGGAAAAGTCTAGGATTTGCTTATGGAAACTGCAAACAATACTTTCAATGAAAAAACAAAATAGGAGTATCACAATGAATGGCATCATATGGTTAAAACTTTGTCAGAGAAACTTTCAATAGAATTTGATAAGGATTTTAGGAGGAGTTGTGCATACAAAATAGATAACTCCAGATAGAGTAATGGCAATGTCCATGATTTGCTAAGGTAAACCCCAAAAATGATTCAGATTGATAACAAATAGATGGTGCACAATGGCATTATATGTTGAAGATTCCAAGAAAATTTCATTAAATTCTTATTAGTTTAGGTGGAAAAAACGAATACAAAAATGTACTGTAGTATGGGGATATTATGAAGTCCATGTCATGCCAAAGTTAACCCCAAAAATGATTCAGATGAAAAAAAATTAGATAATACCAAAAACATCATGTACGTAAGTTTTGCTTACTCAAACTAAAGTAATTCTCACCTATTGTTTTAATTTTATTGTGTTGTAACTGTAAATTGCTCAACTCCTTCAAACTATAAAAGATGAAACAAAACTAGTACATATATAAATCTTTGATTGTAGTATATACTGTTAATTTTTTAAGCCAGATTATCGCATTCCAGTCTTATTCAAAATTTACTGATAATATTGTTATCTCTTTTTGGGATATTTTTCTGATAAATGGATAAAAAATAATGCATGTGTTTTGTGTTTGAGACGTGAATCCTCCTTATTATTAAACAACTAAGGATTGTTTGTTCATGGTGATACTCTATCATACCTAAATGAGTGTAGTTTAGAGTACATTGATACAATGTAACATTATGATGATGTAGAAAATACTTTTTTATAGCAAGTATTACAGTACTCTAGAAAGATTTGTTTTGATATACTCTAGTGATTAGTCCAGCAAATGTATCATTAGAAAACACATGTATGTTGTTTGTGATAAATTTAAGAATAGTGCATAAGTAAACACTGGAAGCTTGATTTTCTTAAAAGCTGTGAGTACTCGAATTCATTGCCCAATACTTTCCTGTAACTGTTACTGTTGTCATTGCTAATCTTCATGTTACTTTATCATCAGTAAGGGAGATAATTACAATTTCGAGTTTCAAAATTGTTCTTATGAAAATCAACAAGAGGAGCAGCAAAATACAACTGTTCCTCTATCATTTGGTTATTCCATTAAATTATTAAATTCTTTCTTTTAGAAATTGTGTATAAAATCACTGAAAGAATTAGTTCCACACATTTTCGGACTATAATTTAATCTTTAGTGGCATGAGTAGGATATTTCAAATTGATTTGAATACATACCTATAGAGATTTTCCATCTGGTGTACCCTATTTCCATACAATTTCAGCTCTCTAATATCCTAAAAAAAAACTTTTTTTCTATATATCACATGAACACAATCCTGATGCCATGAATCTGCACTTACATGACTAAATTTGTTCTGTTTTAAGATTTCAATAAGCCAAATATGGGATAAAAAAGCAAATCGTATAGATACTCTAATAATCTGTAAATGGTTTATACTTATATTTTCATAGACTCATGCAAAGCCAATCTTTTTTGGTATTCTTATCTAAATAAATTTATGCAATAACTTCCAATGAAATTTTATGGAGTTTTAACAAAAGAAACAGCAAAACAGCATGTCCACTCCATTGAAGTGTTTCCAAACCAGTTGACAGGGGATAGACAAATTCCACAGAGATGTAGTACATATGTAATAGTATGCATTATTGTTTAGGGGCCAGCTGAAGCCCTCCACCGGGTGCGGGATTTTCTCAAGTGTTGAAGACCCATTGGTGGCCCTGGGCTGTTTTCTGCTCTTTGGTTTGATTGTTGTCTCTTTGACATATTCCCTGTTTCCATTCCCAATTTTATATATTTATAAATAAAACTAACATATCTTACCACATTTTCACTAAGGTTTTCTATTCTGTTAATATGATTACAGGATAAATCAAGCACTCTCAATTTCTTAAACTGTAAAAAAAAAAGAGAATAAAAACAATTAATGATGTAAATATTTATACTCAAATAATATAAATTTGCTATTATCAATATAAAGTTTCAAGACTTTCAACTTTCTCAAGAATAAGTACATATTCATTTTTCAATTTACCATTTAAACTCATGAGAATTAAGAAGGAGAAGGATGTGATTTAGTTAAATATAAACTTCTGTGACGGATCCAGCCATTTTTAAAAGGGGGTTCCCAACACATGCAAGTCATATAAAAAGGGGGATTCCAATCATATGTCCCCATATAAAAGCATTACTTGTCAAGCATAAAGTGGGGTTCCAACCCTACCCCCCCCCCCCCCCTTTCTGGATCTACCACTGAACTTACCAGTGATCTAATCTACCACTGAACTTACCAGTGGTCTAATCTACCACTAAACTTACCAGTGATCTAATCTACCACTGAACTTACCAGTGATCTAATCTACCACTGAACTTACCTGTGATCTAATCTACCACTGAACTTACCAGTGATCTAATCTACCACTGAACTTACCAGTGATCTAATTTACCACTGAACTTACCAGTGATCTAATTTAAATGTATCACATACATATAGATAATTTAACACTGAATTAAAAAAAGAATGTCATTAAGTTAAAGAGTATATTCAAAAGGAGTGTGTAGCCTTACTCTTTGTAAATTGTTGATCTTTGTCAGGTCAGAAGCATACAGGTTGATCTCGTATATCTTCTCAGGATCTCTCTCATGGTTTGCCTCAAGCTTCAAAATTTCAAATCAATAAATTACAGATGTAAACTATTGAAGACATTTTAAATCAAAATTTGTAAAATACTTAATTGGGTTATTTTTTGTCAGTCAGGCTTTGTGAAAAGATTGTCATATTAAATATGCACTGTGTAAGAGATGTAGGAGATCACCTCCAAAATAATATAAAATGGTGAAAGAAAGTTCTGTTATGCAGCGTTTTCCATTTGCGCCGATTTTTTTACAGGTAAATTACAGGTGAATTTTATTTTTCATTTATCATTATAGACCTCTTCCGTTCACCAGTTGTACAAACATTATGAATTGTCAATCATAACATGTATATAACTGTTGTCCTCTGCTCATCATGGGGAGGTGGAAGTAGGACTTTGAGCAGGATAAGTCAATTTAAAAGCACCATGTTCACATACTTTAAAATCAAGAAGTAAAAACCTAAAATAAAAGCACTATGTTTATACTAAAATGACGAATTAAAAATCTATTTACAACATTAAAATCCATAAAAACGGAATACATTAAAATCATAAATCTGTTCTTGCCGAGTATTTATAGGCAACACATCTAATATATTCCTTTCTTGTGATTTCGTCTCTATATTTGTGGTAATTGTCAATAACGAAGTCCATCTTTTCTTTGTCTGGCTAACGTACTGATGCAGGCATTTCTAAGAGTTCACATTTTAACATACGTAACGGCCTGGATTTTCTTAACTTAAACATAAGTGAACAACGTTTATAACCAGATTTTACCAACATACATTCAAGGTATAGTACATGTACAAATATTTACTCACCTGTGTTAAACTGTAAATGCAATTAGGAGCAAATATAAAATCGGCGCAAATGAAAGAATGAAAATTTAAAAAATCGGCGCAAATGTCATACGCCCCTGTTATGCTTTAAGTTGTATTCCTGGCCAATGGCTAAAATCTTGCAGGCGAAATGACGTGTCACTAATAGAAGACTAATTTAGAGACAAGAAGACTTATTTAGCAACGAGAAATCTGAATATTAAATAATTATCTAAAATAGATAAATATAGAAACATGCATTACAAGGTGTTTTTAATGCCACGCCTTCACCGGACCCACAAGTCGGAACAGGTTAACAAAAATGGCAACTGACAAGGAAAATCGATATTTTTGAAAGGACCATGGACTAATGAGAAACGTAGACATGAGAGTGCTAACAATAGTGATTTTCCATATTATTTATATTTCAAAGGGACATAGCTCTTTAAAATATAAAAATGTAACATGTATTATAGTCAATTATATAAATTGAAAATTGAAAATTATGTATCAAAATACATTGTTTATTATGTAAACTATAAATGTATAATTCCTGTGTGCATGTCAATTCTGATAGAAATATAGCCTTAAAATTGAAATTTCCCTTCGTCAATTTTTGAAGTGCAGTTTAATGGTAGTTAACTTATCTCAAGAAAATATTATCATATATTACTTTAACATGTTTAAACGCATTTAATAAAACCACTTACAATTTCCTGCTCAGATATAGTCTTAAACTTATGAGATACTTCATCATCATCATCAAGTTCTTTTGATGCATCTGTCTGCTGATTGCCTGATGAAGGACGACTGTGTCTTTTCGCAGATCCAGACGAGGGACGTTTACTGCCACTCAATTTTCTGTTTGGGATGTCTACCACATAGTCAATATCAGTTTCATTTGAATTCAGTGGAGGACGCCTGACTTTTTGTACTGAACTGGAAAGTGGTGGTCTTTGTGCACTGACTTTTGTTCTGTTTGGAACATTGACAAATTTGATATCATTTTCTTGTAAACCCTGACTGTAAGCGGCATCCTGAGTAATTGGTCCTCTGTAACTTAGTCGATGACTTCTTGAACTGTGAGGACTTGGAGGGCTTATTTTTGTTCTTCCACTGTCAGTAATTGGAAGAGTAAAGGAATTGCTGAAAAACATTAAATATATAAAGAAATACTGTTAACATTGAAATGTTTCAATGTTTTTATTATTCATGATTGTGGAAATTATGACAGGATAGGTTTTGCAAAAATAAAAATTTGCATAATCTTAAGTTTGATATAACTTCATGTGCACGTACATGTACATATCATTTCTTGAAACCATAATAATTAATCTAACATTTTTGTCCATTTGTTCAACAATAGCAATACAAAATGCATGCAGAAATTTTATAAATTTACAGTAATGATCATTAAAACAAGACATTCATTAAATTATTCCATATTTATTTTCTAACAATAAAATCCAATAAAAAAATTGAAACAGGTATCTAAACCATTTGTTAATATGTTGGTAACTTTTGGTTTATTCCAAAGCACAATCCATTTCAAGTTGGTGGCATATACATTCACCTTAATAACATTACAGTACCATTTTTCTGCACCAGATGCGCATTTCGACAATAAATGTCTCATCAGTGATGCTCGAGGCCAAAATATTTGAAAATCCAAAACTTATTAAAAAGACGAAGAGCTATAGACCAAAAAGGTACAAAAAGTATAGCCAAAGCCGGGCAAGAAAATCAGAGCTTTGCACGAGGAAGATACATTCCTTAATTTGAAATAATTTCTAAAATTTCGTAACAGCAAATTTTAAATCATATGTTTATTAAATGACTCAATTGAAGAATAAAACTGAACTGGAAAACTCTAAAACAGATCACATTTTTGTGAATATACATGCAAGTAAGCTGATTTTTATTACCCCAACAGGTACAGGACAAAAATTTTTTAACATATGTATATACTGAATACACTAACAAGGCATGCAAGGTCAACAACTTGTATCTTCAGAAAAAATTACTGGCAATAGTTCCAAGTAAAGATTTTCATAGAGTTGTTTGAACCTTCTGGCACTGTACACTGTTCGAAAGATCAATATTTTTTTTCTTTTAAATGAGCCATAAATCAAGATTTTAGGCCAAGAAATTTTAAATAAATGTTCTGGTTTATGCGTTTTGAAAAATATCCTAACTGGTCGAAATGGGACACTTGCTTGGACAGGTTGAGGAGAATCCTAATAAATGGGTATTATACCCAAACCGGGTATCAATTTTCAGTGATCAAAATATAAACTTTGGATTTAAAGATATTTTCTGTCATGGCGCAAACATTCGGGTAAAGGACAACATTTTGCCTAATGACACCATGACTGAAATATCATCAGGATAAAAGTTAACAGCCTTCAAAAAGTAGGATTTTTGGAGGCCATAATCTTTGTATTAAGTTCTCATTTGAACTATGGTCTAATAGGGGAAAATGTTGCCATTTATATGAATATTTGCACCATGACAGCTATAAAGATGAAATACAGGATTTGATTATTTATCACTGTAAATTGATACCCAATTTTGGGTATAACACCCATAAATGGGGATAGTACACATTTATGAGGATTCTCCCCAACCTGTTGGAGAATTCTAGTCACTTTGGAACCTGGTTAAATCGGCACCTGGTCAAATCGGCACCCGTTATAGTCAATTCGGCACCTAGTCAAATCAAGTCCTGGTTAATTCGGCACCCAAGGTAGTTATTTGCACCCAAAATTAACATTATGTATTGCAAGTTAACTATTGAAGACTTCGTTTTAATATTTTTTTTATATATTTTCACTCGAGGTGTCAACATATATTTGTTCCGCATAACAGAAGTTCGAATGGAAACTATGTTATAAACAATATGCAATAATATCTGTTCCTATTGGAACTTCTATTATAAAGGTACTTCTATTTCTGCACATTGTTAGTAAACATACAAAATTGGTGCCAACGCTAATGTATGATTCAATTTATACAAGAAGATAGGTAATGCAGAAAAAACCCCAATTTAAATTATCATGGTTAAATTTGTGTTATCCCCATCTGTGGATTAAAACAGCTTGGGTAATGGCTTTTTTGTTTTATTTTTTTAAAGTTTTTTTTTAATCATATAACATCAATAAAATGCTTCGCTGAGCGTAGCTGGATACGACCGCAGAGGTCCAACCCTGAACAGTTGGGCCGAAAATGGACACAATAGTCGCACTAAATACAGGTCTGAATTTGGATTGTAATTAAATATTTGACACATAATAGGTTTCTGACACCGAATAACTGTAGTCAAAGAACTAAGAATTGGTTATATGATTTGAATTTATATTCAATTTTTTGCTTTTGTGCAATACACTATGCTGTTGCGAATTGACCCCCCCCCCCCCCCCCCCCCCAACAAAAAAAAAATTTACCCCCCTTTTTTTTTGCTTTTCTGAAATACACTATGCTGTTGCGTATTGACCCATAATTACCAATCTAAATACATCATAAAAGTCTTATATAGATAATTTAAAAGCAGTGTAAGGGAGGTAATCCAACATTGTATACAACATTGTACAATTTTGTTTTTGGATTACCTCCCTTACACTGCTTTTTAATTGTCCATTAACCAGGAAGGCCTTGTTTTTCCCCTTTTTTGCCCCTAATTCCTAAACGGTTTGAGCCATAACCCCCAATGCCAATCCTAACCATCCCTTTGTGGTATGGAAACTTGTGGTATAATTTCAGAGAGATCCATACACTTAAACACAAGTTATTGTCTGGAATGCTTATTTTTGGCCCCTTTCTGGCCCCTAATTCCTTAACTGTTGGTACCATAAACCCTTAAATCAATCCAAACCTTCCTTTTGTGGTATTGAACCTTATGGTAAAATTTCTTAGAGATCCATTCACTTAAACTAAAGTTATTGTGCGAAAACCAATGTGTCTTCGGATGACGACGACTCCAACGTCATACCAATATACGACCGCAAAATAAAAATTATCTGAAAATTATTAAAAGAATAAATGGGTTATTTATTGTTTGTAATTGATATAAGTTCATAAGTTTTTAAAGTGATGACCAATCAAAACATTTTCATAGAATTTTGAGATTTTTAACGATGTATCTTTTTAATCAACCTCTGAAATTGTACAGTACTGAAGTTAAGCAACAAAAAAATATGTCCACAAAAAAAACCCAATAACTTTCTCCCCAAAACTCATACAAGGAAAGAAAAAAGTAAAAAATAATATTAGGTGCAGAAATGACTTTAAATAGGTGCCGATCTGACTAGATGCCGATTTGACTTTTTCCATAGGTGCCGAATTGACCAGGTGGCGATTTGACTTGTACCCCCTGTTGGACAGAGCAGCTTCATCTGACTGGAAGCATAAATTCAAACCAAGTGTAACTGGAGAGCATGATTCTTATAGGAAATTCACATGGACCTCAGTGTTACAAAGCAGCGCTTTAACTGACTGAGCTACAGAAGAACTTCTTTAGCTCAATTCAGCTTACAGTTATGACATTAGTCATTATGACTCCAACAACACCTACCCAGGGTAGAAATTCTCTCATATGTTGTTTCTATATGTTTTGATTCATTACCTACTTTTAATAAAGCTTATTTATAATTCATTTGTATATAAGTTTTACAACATATTTGATTTTAACGAGAATCTCTGTATTACTGAAAAATTATTACACCAGGGTTTTCGATATCACAAACTAGTCAAAACATTTACTAAATATTATCATCGTTACAAGGACATCATTCATATAATATAAATTAACATGCAGACATCTTATACGTTCAGGTATTTCACATCCAATCTTTTATGGTAATATTCTTTACAAAGCACAAAAATGTCGGCATTCACCTCAAAAGCTAACCAAACCTTTAAACAGACTTATTACGAAGGGATATAGTTACGATACTGTTGTCAAGTCATTAAGGATTGCATATTTTGGTATTAATATTGACTCACTCATAGGGTCTTTGCATCGGAAATAAACACATTAATTCTAAAACCAGTTGTTGGCATGATACGGGTTATGTTCTTCTCATATATTTTATGATGGTATCAGTGCTCCAGTTAGAAATCAAAAGGGGCAGGGTGCCAGTGGAGGGCAGGGCACTTTTTTATGAAAGGAAAAGGCACTGCTCATTTCTTTTGTCTACGTTTCTGTGTGTATCTAGAGTTCACATTCTTTTTTTTACTGTATATGTTGTTAATAAAGATGCATAAGTTGTTGTTTTGATTATTTATTCTATAAAATTTGCATTAGAAAATGTAATTCATACGACATGTTCATAACACATGTCAATACACATTCATACATCACATCACTATAAACCAATAGAGGCAAATTAACTTACTATCCCCCTCCCCCTCCTTTTTCCAAAAAAAAAAAACAACATAAACTAAACATCTCATAGTTTAGCATACATGTGACCAGGGGTGGGGTAATCGTAATCTGTAATCGTAATCGATTGTAATTGATTACATTTTTTCAAGTAATCGACAGTAATCTGTAATTGACATTTTCGATTACATGTAATCGTAATTTAATCGATTACAGCAAAAATTATGATGTAATCATCGATTACTTTTCGATTACATTTCGATTACTTTAGTAATATAGTTTGAAATAAAACCTAGTTTAAATGAAAATAGACAACTGCATGTATTCATCAGTTCAAAGTACTGATAAAATAGAATGTATCAATATTACTTGAGAGTTTATCAAATACCTTATTTAGATCTGTTGTCTCAAGCTGCATTATGATAAACCAGATCTCCTAGGCTAACAAATTTTACTTTATTTCCAGCTTTTGAAATAAATGACTTCCAATGCTTATCAATAATTTGAGATATTTTTTATTAAACAAAAAAATGTTAAAAATAAGAAAATAGATTCAAAATAGGGAAAACATAAATGTACTTGTATTCCTAAGTTAAGTTCTGTACTATACTAAAGAAGAATGGTTTTATATATGTACATGATGTAATAAAATTTTTTAAAGCTTAATTTTCAATTATATTTAGAACTTTCGCTTAGAGTAGATAAACTGTTGATTCGTCATAGTGTTATGACATCAAAATTAGGAAAGAATACAAAACATTTTTACAATGAACCAATGCATTGAAATTTTTGTTCAGTAATAGATACATGTATCCCATTGTGTCACTAAAATGTAAATTGTTTATGATTTTGAAAAGAGAACAAAGAATTCTCAAAAACCTTCTTGTTTTTATAATTACTAATCAGATGATCAAAGACCTCTAATCAATGAGATACAGACTATGTTTTGATTTCAATTATGTTTAATTAAATGAGAGATTTAATACATGTTGTTGCCCTAAGGTTATAAATTGTTCTCCATTGGCAATTTTATAACCTGTAATTAAGTGGATTATCCAAACAAAAGGATAAATTTATTCATGTAACTATAAACTATAAATTTCCATCTTTTAAAATTAGTTAAAAAACTAACTCTTCTTCTTTTTTATATATTTTTTTTTCATAGGAAACCTCTCATACTCATTATATTCAAATATACCATCCTGTTAAATAAGAGTAAATATCAAAATTAAGTCAGTATGACAGCAAAAATTTGCAAACTAACGAGAAAATGACCTACAATATAAGGAAGCATTTGATACAATTGTCGATTTCATTTCAAGAATGTTCTCATATATAGATATAAGAAGATGTGGTATGAGTGCCAATGAGACAACTCTCAATCCAAGTCAAAATTTATAAAAGTAAACCATTATAGGTCATGTTTATCATCGCTCACTCAAGAATATTTAAATAGTTTAGATCCCCTCTAAGAGTGTCTATCTAGAAAACGATTTGAAAACAATGCTTAAAAAGCTGTTTTTGTAAAGTTCCAAATTACCACTCTAAATAAGTTGTGTTTAATCTTTCTTCAATATATGTAATTGATAATAATCAAAAAGTAATGTAATTACTTTTGATAAAGTAATCGATTGCAATCGATTACATACAAAATTCGGAGTAATCGATTAATAATCGATTGCACAAAAATCCTTCATGTAATCGATTATTAATCGATTACATTTGTCAGTAATTATTTAGTAAAGCTTCATCAAGATGATGTCATGATAGTTTAACTTCACACTACCCATTTTTGTAGGATTGCAGCTTAACATCATCATAACAATTAATCTTACAAATTTCTTAATTGACAATGTATAGATCATGGATTGCTAAAAGTATGATTATCAAAAATAAATTGCAATATATTTTTTTTGGTATGTTCAAAGACAGTTAATATCCTTAAGGTAACATTCTTATATAATTTTGTATTCAATTGGTAATTTACTCCTATTTTTAATACTAGATAATATTTTAGGAGCACAAATTTGTAATAAGCTTAAATAGGGGAAGTAACTCAAAAATTAATTTCTAACCCGTTTACTGTTTAATTTGTTTGTCGCTCACAAGTTGAGATGGACGGCGTTTCTGTGAAGGCATAGTTGTATTTTGATGACTTAAATTCTATTCTAAAGTCATGAAAGTCTTCATTTATACACTCTTCTTGGAGATCGAAAATGCTGACCCAAGCTAAAAACACTCTCGATGACACATATGCATTCATCAAATTTATGACAAAAAGGTACATTGTCTTAATAAAATTACCTAGTTATTAACACCTTTGAAGTCTTATACACTGTAATTGATTGTAATGACATGATTAACCTGGGGGCAATCACCTGGTGTCATATATGTAAATTAACTTTGTGATAAGAAATCGATGAAACAAAAGGCAATTTTACCAAAACGGCACAAGGGTTTTTGGGAAAAAGGCGTCAGGACAGAAGGGCGCGGATGAAAACACCCAGGGCGCGGCAGAGGGCACCCAGGGCGCGACGCCCTTCTATTTTGGGCTAACGAGACCACTGGGTATGATACTAAACCCCTAACGGGAGGGATTGTACTTGATTTTCATATGATGAAGACATAATCTTTCAATCAGTTTAATTGAGGTCTGAAGCTGGCATGTCAGTTACTGCTAGTAGTCCTTTGTTAATTTAAGTACCATTGTCATTTAGTTTCTTTTGTTACCTATTCTGACATCGGACTTGGACTTCTTTTTAACTGAGTTTACTGTGCGTATCGCTGTGTGTTCGTTTATTCTACATTGGCTAGAGGTATAGGGGGAGGGTTGAGATCTCACAAAACATGTTTAACCCCGCTGCATTTTTGAGCCTGTCCCAAATCAGGAGCCTCTGGCCTTTGTTAGTCTTGTATGTTTTTTAATTTTAGTTCATTTATATGTTTTGGAGTTTAGTGTGACGTCCATTTTTACTGAACTAATGCACATTTTTATTTATGGGCCAGCTGTGAGCTGAGGACCACCTCCGGGTGCGGAATTTTCTCCCTGCGTTGAAGACCCGTTAGTGACCTTCGGCTGTTATATGCTCTTTGGCTGGGTTGTTGTCTCTTTGGCATATTCCCCATTTCCATTTCTCAATTTTATTAACACACCTCGATTTTGGTTTTCTAGGTCGAACAGGTGGGTTTCCAACAGGTAGAACACCAATTTGCCGACCTACAGAACTTGGTACTGATGTTCTTACTCTTGTCTTAACTTTTCCATCCATTATTATTCATTTTTCGCTAAAAGTGACGGGGTTTCGGTAAAAATGTTTACATTGGTTTCTAATGATAGCAGCCATTTTTGGAATTTGTGTTATAAAATCTTGACCGATAGCGGTATTGAAACGTTAAGTTTTCCGTCTACAGCATTAGATCAAAACGACGAAAAAAATAATTACGATTAGAGCTTTAATCTGATACCTAAACTACAATATGTTATATATTTTAATCATTATCAACTATATAACTTGTAAATTTTAAACCAGTGACTCTGAAAAATATTGTCGATGAACAATTCCCTTACTCCGACAAACGGTACACGTGACTGATTTTCAACGTTTTCATATGCAGAAAACACATCTAACAAAAATAAAACAGACATAGCAACAAATATAAACAAAAGAAGAGTTTATTCTAACAAAAAACACTAAAAAAGAATTATAAAAGATATAGCTATATAAATATTCTTAACATTAATTTACGAAAGCAGTAAAAAATATATGTAGTAAATTTAAGGCAACATATATGAAATATATAAATATTTTCTTCATAATCATTCTGAAAGTAAACAGATATTATGTAAAATGCGAATAAAAGAGAGGCGAAAGATATCGAAGGGAAATTCAAACTCTTAATTCGAAAACAAACTGACAACGCCATGGACAAAGACGAAAAACGACCAAAAGACAAACAACAGTACACAAAACACAGCATAGAAAACGTAGGACTGAGCAACACGAATTCCACCACAAACCGGTGGTGATCACAGGTACCTTGGAAGAATAAGCAGATCCTGCTCCACATGTGGTACCGTCGTGTTGCTCATGTAAGTACAGACTCGGTGATAAGTCTAATTCGGTAGGTCACATTCGAGGAAAAGAGGAGGGGATTATGGTTACGAGAAAGTGACAATTTCTTGGAAGTAGAGAATGATAGATATGAAAGAATTCAAAGAGAAAATAGAATTTGTCAGGATCTTATAACGTCTTAACGGAAGAAATTTGGAAAAGAAATTGACGTTATCCATACAGAATTTACCGGATCACATGCATAAAATAATAATATTGCAACAACTATTGTCCTTGTTTAAAACAGTGCAGCTTGTTGTTCTTGAGTTATTTACTTTCCGGCTTTATGATAAAGTTAATATTATGATTTATGATTTTATGCATTATGTTATTCGTGATGTTAATAGACACCAATTCCGTAATATAATACCAGAATCTTGTGCCAAAACGTCATTGATGCTTATTGATTGTTAAGCTTGACACGAACAGGTTGCACATTAAATGCTTTATAAAAGGTCCAGTTGAAGTAAATTGTGGAAATAGTGCTGACGAAGAAACTAAAGGTCTGTTACATAATTATATTATTACCTCTTTATATATTTCTAGCTTATGATAATAACATTGTTTTTACTTTACCATGATCACACTATATCCTATCAATACTCTTATATAAATTTAGAATGTTTTTCTGTGCCCTTCTGGTGATATTCTGCTGTGTTTCTGTGATTAAGTCCGAGACATGTTATGGAAAAGACGAGAAGTCAATCATATCTGGCATTCGATCATCACTGAAGACATTGGAAGACAAACTTAATGGTAAGATCAATACGCAAGACACATAACATATCTAGAATGGAGAAGAAAGGTAGAAAGACTTTTTTAACATTCTAATCACAAACAGATATACAAAGAAAATTATATCTTAAGAAAAACAGAACAAAAACAGTTAATAAGTGTACGACATTCGATTTCACTACAAATTTTGTTTGTAGAATATAAAAAAAAAAATGTTGCCAATGAGAAAATATCCACCAGATACCAATGCATGAGGAAATATCCACCAGATACAAAAAGACGAGGATGCAAACAACTGACAGTACAGTCTTCAACAATGAGCAAAACCCTTAACTCATAGTCGGCTGTAAATTTAAAGGTCCAAGTCATGATGATGATTTGTTTAAAAGATTAAAGAGAATTTTTTAATTGCCGAAACGTGTACATACATGTTGCCAAAGGTAAAAATGAACAGTTTTAATCGTCTCGTCACAGTTTCAGTAAGTGTGTCTTGTATATTTACCTCTTTCATTAAGGATTATTGCTTTATATAAGTTGTAGAAAATAAATTTGCAGTATGAATTTTTTTATTTGATCTTAAAAGAACACTGATGTTTTATTATACTTTCGTGGAAATATAGTGTAAGAGGTTTCATTGCATTATTTTTCGGTCTGTTTTTTTCCAGCATATTGGTCCTTGAAGGAGTTTGAACCAATCATTGATTAGTTTTTCTTGATTTTGTATGATCTTTTGTTATTATGACACGGCTTTGATTTTTTCTTGTAAAACGGTAGTTTGGGTTATATTAAAAAAAAAATTCCATTAACATAGATACAAACTCCATAAATTCCAGGATTAAAATTTTGTACGCTCGTTTCGTAGATTACAAAAGACTCATCAGTGACGCTCGAATCGAAAAATTTAAAAAGGTCAAATAAAGCACGAAGTTGAAGAGCATTGAGGACCAAAAATTCCAAATAAGACAGCTTTTGTTAAAAATATAAAAAATATAAAAAAAACCCTGTTGAATATGTATCATCGCTATTCTCTGTTTCATATATTAAATCTGTATATTCATTTATAAGGAAATTTTCCAAGATGTCCAGCAGGTTGGAAGGAATACAGTAATCATTGCTATTACTTTTCATCAAATAAAATGACGTGGTTTGAGGCTGAAGTAAGTCACGAAAAAATTTAAAGATTTTATAGTTTTGCTATATCTGATTGTAAATCCTCTCTCTCTAAGTTGTACTTTTCTTCACTTAGTTCCTGTGTTTTTATTGTTAGACATTGTTTATCAGACATTTTTTCGGGGTCGATTTCATGTGGAACATTTGTTCATCACTAACAGATAATAGAAACTTGTTCACTTGAGAAATAGGATACAGAGTACAAGCTAGTATGTGAATCTTTCAATTGGATAACAATAAATTTACGATGGTATGTTCAAGCTAAGTATAACAATCAAAATAAGTGAAGTCTGTTTGTTATATTTTATTTTCCTTTTCCGTATCATCATTCACATTTACTTTTTTTGTAATTGTGTGTCGAGATTAACAATATGATTTTCAAGCGATCGCTGAAAATATCATCGTGTCGGTTATTCAAGCTATTAAGAACATTTGTATATAAAAATAAGAAGATGTGGTATGATTGCCAATGAGACAACTCTCCACCAGCGACCAAATGACATAGAAGTTTACAACTATAAGTCACCATACGGCCTTCAACAATGAGCAAAACCCATACAGCATAATCAGCTTTAAAAGGCCCCGAAATGACAAATGTAAAACAATTAAAACAAGAAAACTAGAAAACTAACGGTCTGATTTATGTACAAAATAATGAACGAAAAACAAATATGACACAGCAACAAACGACAACCACTGAATTACAGCTAGGCTCCTGGCTTGGGACAGGCACATACAGAATGTGGCGGGGTTAAATGAGTTTGTAGGCGCCAAACCCTCCCCTAATCTGGGACAGTGGTATAACAGTACAAAATAAGAACAAACCATAAAAATCAGTTGAAAAATAAGCTGTATTATAAAATGTACCGTCTCTGAATGAAGCCTATTGTATTGTATTGTATTGTATTGCATTTTTGTATTGTATTGTATTGTATTGCTAATTTGTATTGCATTGCATTGCATTGCATTGCAATCATTGCATTGTATTGCATTGTGTTGCATTGTATTGTATTGCATTACATTGCATTGCATTGCATTGCATTGCATTGCATTGTATTGTATTGTATACTATTGTATTCAATTGTATTGTATTGTATTGTATTGTATTGTATTGTATTATATTGTATTGTATTGTATTGTATTGTATTGTATTGTATTGTATTGTATTGTATTGTATTGTATTTCAACAACAACTTTTTTTCTATGCAATTTTCATCGACATTTATATATACTTTGTTCTTAGATCTTTTTAACAAATATTTCAACAATAACTTGTAAATAGAGCTTCAGATTTTAAGTGGCTTGACAGAGTATCTGTTAATCAAATTACGCGAATATTTAAACTTGGTGTATACCGTGGTAAAATTAGCGAATGGCCAAAAGTACAACATCTGTTTGTTGATCTGTATTTATATTCAGTTTTTTGTATTCGCAGAGAAAATGTAGAAATGTGGGAGCATATCTTGTCAAGATTACAGATTCAAATGAAAACTCATGGATCAAGAAAATGATCACTAGTAACAGTATGTGATTTGTACTATCTGAATGAGGTTGTTCTTATTAGACATTTTCGGAAAGTCGTATATACAGACGCTTATATCGACACCCATAACTACGCTGACTAAAGTATACAAAGAACGTCTTCGGAATCAATATGATTTAATTTTGATTTAAATTTGTAAGAAAAACAGTTTTTTTCTAACACATGATAGTAATTTCACTAAAAGAACCATCACTTCGACAGCCCTTACTAAACGTTGGAATTTTTCATCAAATGCTTAATTATCACAACCTTCAAACATACTACGACAATTTATTCCGGCAGAATAAAGCCAACAATAATGCATGTTTGTAGATGTGAAAACTTAGACGATTATTTCGTTCAATCTTTGCAGAAGACTCAACTGTCTACCATATTGAGCATGTATATTGATGCAAATGTGAAGCTACAAACTTAGTTTTTTCCCTTTTTGAAATATGTTAATTTAAGTATAGATTCATGTAAAATCAGACAAACATAATACCACATACTTAACACCACTTTGTTTGTCTTACCTTCTTTTTGGGTGAATTTATTAACTCCCTTCTTTAACTATGCATAAAGCATAATAACACAAGGTTGATAAATTCACACAAAACAAGATGAGGCAAGCACAGTAGTGATAATTAAGTGTGTGGTACATTATATCAAAATAGAAAAGTAAATATCCAGTGCAAACAATAACAAATAATTTTTAAATTTTGCGCATGTGCATGTGCATGGTATGACATTTATTATGTTTAAAGTGAATGTTTAGTTTTCAAATTCTGCGAAAGCGCATGTGCA